ATTCATAGCTCAAGTCAATCATAACATAACTGGTGATAAAAGACAACTAGTTCAAGTATCAGGAAAAGGTTGTATTTTTTTTTTTTGGGAAAAATGGCTTTATAATTATAAGAATCTGAAAATAAGTTAAACACTAGACTATTTGATCGGCATTACCGTGAACAATTTTCAATCCTTTAATCATGAAAAAAAAAATTAAAACTAAAATGTTTTTTTGGGGTTAGATTCCTAATCAAATCATTAGAAATTGTCTAAGCTTTTTTTAATAACAAAAGCTCTACAAAATGAGATTATTTGGTGATCAAAATAATGTTATATATTGTCAGTTGTTTTTTTAAAAAATGAAATAAAACTAATGTCAAAACTAGAGTGTTAATGTATAGCATCATTAAGAAGCCTCTTTTTACAAGTTTCTCAAAATGTTCTGATAAAATGCAAAACAAAAAGTCCAAGCCTATAGTTATCTTAACTTTCAAGTTAATTAAAAGTCCAAAAAAAAGGTATAAGATACTTATAAATATTACTTGGATTTCTTTAGCATTTGTTTAAAAGTCAAAACAAGAAAAAAAAAACATAATTAAAAGATATTTAAGAATTCAATTAAACATAGTGTAGAATTTTGAAAGTTTTGAGAATTCTAAAAGAAATAATTTTGAACATTTAACGATTTAAAAAGAAAAAAATTAAAATTTTATGAAATAATTACCCAAACAATTAGAAATATTTGCTTAGAAGCTCACTCTATATTGTTCTTTAGTCCACCGTTTTTTTTTTTTTTTTGGTTTAAGACACTTACCTTGAAGTCTTTTTTTTTTCATCCTTTCACTCGTTTGATATATTCATTTAAATCATTAGGGGGTTTTTTTTTCTATGGTTTTGATAAAAAAGAAAAAAAGAAAAAAAAATTCTTTCTCTTTTCTCTTTTCTCTTTTCTCTTTTCTCTTTTCTCTTTTCTCTTTTCTCTTTTCTCTTTTCTCTTTTCTCTTTTCTCTTCTCTCTCTCAAAAAAAAAAGTGGCTTTATTTATAGTAGTGTTTAAAATACTTATCCACAAAATACACAACTATTCACATATACGCCATACATAATAAGTATATATATGCATAATATTCCTTATACCGAAAATGAGACACAAGCCACACTAGCCCTAAAAAAAAACAAGCCAGAGTGTTGTATGAAGAAGAAGAAGAAGAGAAAAAAAAAAAGGGTTAGCAAAAACTTTACTCATGACAAAAAAAAAAAAAATTTTTTTTCAAAGGCAACAAAACAAACAAACCATCTGGATCCAAGATTTAAGAAATGATTTAAATATAGTATTTCATTTTTTTTTAAAAAAAAAACACACACACACACACACACACACTTTGAAATTAAAAATAAAAAATAAAAGGAAACCTAAAAGGAAATCAATTGTTAAGTTCAATGTGGCGAAGAGATTATTCGAATCCATCTTGTGGCTTTAAAGTTCTTGGATTGACCTAAAACAAGGATTGTAAACTTCTATAAAGAAAAAAAAAATAAACCAATAATTATTGATTTATGGTTTTATAAAGCTTTTTTTTTTATTCAAATTAAACTAATTGAATGGTTTGGTCTAAAATGAAAGAATATATATATGTTGAACTAGCCTTGTAGTTATATTCTTACTCACTCGATGATTTAAACATTTCAACTTCTATAAACAGTCAAAGTAAAAAATGTTTTGTTTGTTTATTTGTTTCAATTCTTTTTGTACACTGTTTAAAAAAAATAAAAATCAAAGTATTGACGAAGAAAACAAGTCAATGTAAGAGCTAAGTAAATTCGGTTATTTATTTATTTATTTTTTCACTTTCTTTATAACTATAAGTTCTCCTAAGCTAAAAAGATACTTTTCTATTTGATCTGATGATGATTTAAATATTGAAATTAAAGATTTATTGTAAAATCAAAATATTTATAGATGATGAACAAAAAGAATAGTGTTGATACTAAGTAAACCGTTATATATTATACTTGTATATATATATAACCCTTTTTAATTAAAACAAACAATTCTAAATCATTTTATCAACAATAACAATTCATTCTATAAATACTAAAAAAAAAAGGCTAATCATTAAAAACAAAAAAGCAATTCTTTTCTGTTGTAAACTTTTTTTTTATTGTAGTCGTAAACTGTATCACAATCATATTCTAATGAATTATATTTAGTTTAATGTTTCTAAAGACTTACCTTGTTAACTTAACTGCAAATATTTATTTATTGATTAAAATTAAGATTAAAAAGATGTTTGTAGTACTTGATAATTAAATTGAAATGTCTTCCAGAATATCGTTGACTTAGTGTTTAAAAAAAAAAAAAAAAAAAAAAAAAAAAATAAAAAGAAATCAAGAATATTTTAAAACTGTTTACTAGAACATTAAACTTGATAATCTTAATAGATAAACCAATTACCCACCTATAATATTTAAATCTATAACTAACTTGTCATTAACTTAATCAAATAAATTCTTTATTGTTTCTATTTTCTTTGTAAACAGAGCCGAGTTTATGGTTGCATTATTTCCAAGCTGATAGGAATATGAGACGACATTAAACAACCTATAGTCAATTTAAACAATTTCAATATGTAAAATTAAAACTAATATTATAATCTAAATGGTTATTACTTTGTTATAAAAAGAAGCAATTTTTTTTTTCATTAATTGTAAATAGATATGTTGTTTTGTTTTTTTTTGACCTTGTATTTGTTTAAATAAATCATAATCATACCTAGTTTGACAGTTACCTTAATTGCTTATATATATCTTTAATTAAATCAATTAAAACTCTTTGGTCTCTTTTTTTCCTGCTATTTATTTATTTTTTTTTTCTTGTTTCTTTATAGTTTTTACTAATAAAGACTTTTAATATATTTTTTGTTAAAAAAAATCCCCTTCCTTTTTAAAGATTTTAAATAATCTTTAAATCTATATTAACTTTTTAATACTTGTTTGTTTTTTTTGTTTTTTTTTGTCATTTAATTGAATGTGATAATATTCATTAAATAAGTTGTTTAATTGAATTTATGATTCAAACAAACTTTTTTTTTATTATTAAAAAAAATTAATAATTATTGTTTCTTTTAATCAATATCATGTTTAAATCAATCATTTATGTATGTGTGTCTGTGTATAAAAAAATATATATAGCTTATCCTTACAGTTATATAATAAGACTTCAACGGGTAATATTTGAGCAAAGATGAGCTTTTTTTTTTTTAGCGTTAGTAATACAATGATTTCAATATAGATTATTCTGAAAAATCCACTAAATCCGAGCTAATACCCGATGACAAGTCGTCATAAACTTCTTTCTTTTCTTTTAAATTTTGTATATATATCCTTATCTCATTGATTATATTCTTTCTTTTCTTGTTTATCCGTTCCCTGTCACATCATTGTTAAAAAAAAAAATAAATAAATAAATCTTAAAATAAATCTTTCTTCTTTTTCTTTTCTCATTTTGTTTAAAAACCCGCTTCTACTTTTTTTCTTTCTTGATTGTTTTAAAATAAAATAAAAAAACTCATTCATATCGCAATATCATTTCCATCTTAGTCTACTCTTTTTTTTCGCAATTCCTTCTTTTACAATCTCTTTTATTTATTTCTTTTCTTTCCTTTCTTTCCATTTTCCGTCTCAAAAGAAAAAGAAAAATAAAAATAAAAATCTCCGTATCTCGTCATCATCCATCCCTACCTTCTCGATGTTTTCAAATTGTGCTTGCAACATTTACATGGTCCATGGCACCATCCGGACCAAGTAAACACTCACATTACACAATATGCATCATTGCAATATAATACGTATATAGTAATTACAAAAAAAAAAAAAAAAAAAAAACCCCCCATGTGGCAAGATCCATGCCTCAAAAAATAAATAAATAAATAAATAAACGGCAACAACTGTAATCTATTTTATATTATTGTTGTATTTTCCCAAGTTATTTATATTGGTACATTACTAAACTGCACAGCCTTACACTTTCACTTGCAATATATATACGCCATTCTCACAAATGCTTTTACAAATTATTGTGACTAGTTCAATTACACTATTTAATTGTAACAAATAAGTGATGAGAAAAGTGTTGAGTCATTCTTCTCGGGTTTGTTAAATCCCGATAATCCATCACGTGACAAGTATTAGTAAAAAAAAAAAAAAAAAAAAAAAAAAAGGTCATCTCCTCTTTTTTTTTTTTTTTTTTTTTTTTTTTTTTTTTTATCGGTTATAGTAACGAGTCATTTCGGAGTAATCCTAAATAAAACACAAAAGTATTGGCTCCGGCAAGTTGCTCGGCCTAAAACGGACATGTTTTTTTTTGGTTTTTTTTTTTATTAAAAAGACGAAATACAACAAGTTATCATGAGAGTCTCCTTTTTTTTTTTTTTTTTTTATAAAAAGAAGGTCAGTTTTTATATTCATATGAACATATATTTAAGAGAAATATACACACACAAAGAATTGAGAGAGTAGAATGGAAAGAACAAATTCAAAAAGAAAAGGCCCAAAAAAATTATAAAAAAAAAAAAACATTAAATCATCATCGTCAAGAGATAATGATGATGATGACTCATACCTACTGCAGTCTTAATTATTTTATCCAATTATGGGACATTGTAAAGCAATCGCAAAAAAAGGTATTCCAAATATTGGATAGTCTCATGTTCTTCAAAGACTTTCTAATTGTTGTTTCTTCTTCTCCTTCTTCTTGGTTTCTCTCTCTTAATAGTAATTATTATTCCTGCCTTTCAGTGATATTTAACAAAAAAAAAAAAAAAAAAAAATGTCCTGCTGGCCCATGAAAGATCAAGTGCTTCTGAAAAAAAAAGTGTAGTGGTTGGTAGTAGAAATATATACAGTAAAACACCACTAACTCATTTTCCTTCAAAAAAAAAAAATAAATAAATAAAATTGACACTTGCTTTCATGCGCCTATAAAACCATCTCATTTTTTTTTAGCAATCTTAAAGATCATTAGGCAACAGCAGTAGAAGAAGCTAGATTATCAACACTGGGTCTTGAAAGTTGATCATGTCCAGGGTACAACTGGCTTATCGATAAATCTGGATTCAACAAGTGTCTGATTTTCAGCCTCTTATGCTCAGGCTCAGTCACACCACTATGTTGACTCTGCAAAGTTTTACCACTTTGCTCATTAATATTAGTCGTATTATTATTAGTAGCAGCAATAGGATCATTTTTGTGAGAATTCATAACCACAGCTCCATTAGCATCCACTGAGTTTGAGGCACTTGGGTTTGAGGCACTTGGAACTGAGACTGGAACAGATGACAATACCGGAACCTGAGCAGGTACTGGAGCTGTAGAGATAATGGCACGTTTGGTTTTTGCAGAGCATTGGGTGCAAGTTGTAGTAGATCTTCTCACACGCTCTGCTTCATCATCGCCATCATAGTCTCCATCAACACTAGCAAGTCCGCGTTTTTTGTTGAAAAGAGCTTTAGACTTACGTTCGACTGAAGTGGGGGGTTGCCACAGTGTTTGGGAAACCTTGGTGTCCATATTGCGGAACCGGTCGACCCACGCAGTGCGTCGGACCCCATCCAACGAGTTTTCGTCGTTATCACTAGCACACTCAAATAATACCTGGGACCAACGTTCATAAACGGAATAGTCAACAAAGAGGTTCCAATCGACTGCTTTAAGGAAAAGCAGCTCATTGTCACGTAACTCCTTTACCCCGAGTCCTGAAATTTTAGACCAAGCAGCAGCAGAATAGTTGCGGTCCTGCGAATACTTGGATGCAAGCATAAGAGCTGCCAGAAATGCGCGGCGTCCACAGCGCAGCTGTGGACTAGTTCCGGAAGGCACGTCAATGCCATGACGACGATTGTGTTCGCGAGCTTTAAAGACGTAAGGTTTGATAAGAATGAGGTAATAAAGTGTGAGTTGAAGAGTAGAGTAAGAAGTGCGAGCACGACGCAAAGTTTCATAAACAAAACGATGGAGGGGCATAGCTCTATGGATATAGCATTGAGACTCAGTAGAGAAAGACCAAATGGCTTCAATGACAAGGGTTGAAGAGTTGATAAGGGCCTCGATAAAGTTTGACTTTGAGGGAATAAGAAGAGGAGCATGCTGTTGATGCTGTTGATGCTGTTGATGCTGTTGATGCTGTTGTTGAATAGGTTGTTGCTGTTGCTGTTGCTGTTGCTGTTGTTGAATAGATTTTTGAAGTTGAATAGATTGCTGAGGTTGGATGGACAGTTGGTGCTGTTCTTTTGAAGGAATTTCTGGAGAAGAGTCAACGGAAGAGAAGCTAGACTCAGCTGGAGAATCTTGAGAAGAAAAGCATGGTGAAGGCGATGAGGACGAGCAGGACTGATCACTGGCAGTATTCATGGCGAAAGGTCATTAAAAGAAGTATTTCGTAGTCGACAAGAGGTCTAAGTTAGAATGGATAAGTGGGTTGTTGTTATTGTTGTTATTGTTGTTATTGTTGTTATTGATGTTGTTGATGTTGTTATATGATGATTAGTTGTAAATAGATGATAATAGATGATGAGAATAAGAAAAAGTTGTTGAGATATATATATATATATATATATATATAAGCCCAGAGGTTATATAAACCAAACAATGAGACAGAATGACTCTTGACTGGAATAATATATATAATTCTGGGGTAGAACAATGGAAAGAATAAAAGAGAAAAAAAAAATAAAAATAAAATAAATAAAATAAAATAAAATAAAAAAAGGGCTGGGATTTTATTATATTTTTATTGTCTTTCTTGTGATGTGATTTTTTATTTTTTAAGAGGGGGGGGAGAGAGACGGGATTATCTCTTCATTGCGGGATGAGTCAGGGTTAGGGAAATTCTTGTATATTATTATTATTATTATTATTATTATTATATCTGTGTGTGTATGTGTGTGTGTGTATGTGTATGTGTGTGTGACTCAACCTTTATCAGTTGGTGACTAACTAACTAACTAACTAACTAACTGACTGACTAACAAAAGGCCCTGCAAAAAAAAATAAAAAAATAAAAAAATTTTTAGTTGATACGGAAAGACACCCGGTTTCAATAAATATGACTGAGCCTCTAGTGGCGGTGGCAAACAGAAGATGATTAAAGTTCCTTGATTCTTAGATGAATGAAAGATGATGATGACAAGGTTTTTATGAGAGGAGAGGAAAAGAGAGGTTTATTTTTTTTTATTTTTTTTTTAAGGTGAAAGATCTGCGGCGGCTGTCAATTCAAAATGACTGTGGGCCGTAGGTGTTGGTGATAGTTTTGGTTTGGTGGTTGAAAAAAAAAAAAAAAAAAAAAAAAAAAAAAAAAAAAAAGTGATGATGGTAATTATTATAATGGTGGTGGTGGTAGAATTTGAGTGGGAAAAAAAAAAAAATTAAAAATAAAATAAATGGCAAGCCGTTTTTTCCAGGAGGAGATTAAAAAATTTAAAAATAAATTTAAAAATAAAAATAAAAATAAAATAAAATATTTATTAAAAATGTTACACTTTATATTACATTTTACATTACATTTTATTTGTAACAAATCAGTTACATATTTATTACATTTTTTATTGTAACAAATTTTTAAATCACATGATTATACTATCACAAGCGTTTTTTTTTTTTTTTTTTTATTTTCCGCTGTTATTGTTGTTTGTTGTTTGTTGTTGTTGTTGTTGTTGTTGTTGATATTATTGTTGATGTTGGTGAAATTATTATTTTGGCTGCAAAACCTCCAAAAAGACGAGACCAAAATACCAATTTTTTTTTAACTTTTTTTTTTTTTTTTTTTTTTTTTTTTTTGCATTCCTCAAACTTATTCCATCATTTGTTTTTCTTTTTTTTTTTATATTTGATTTCTTCCATAAAATATAAGAATAAGAAATAATAATTCAGAGTTAATAATAATAATAATAATAATAATAATAATAATAATAATAATATTTTTGTAAAAATCTTCTATTACTTTTCCTATTCTATTCAAATAAAATCTTAGATAACAATTAATCCAAAAAATCTCATAAATAATAACAACTAATCTTTCAAAGGCTCCACTCAAAGAGCCACTCTTGTACCCCTTTTTTTTTCTTTTTCTTCTTCTTCTTCTTCTTCTTCTTCTTCTTCTTCTTCTTCAGTCATTAACATTATCCTCATTCCCTCTTATGATCCCTTCCTCTCCATCCCCACTATCTTCAAAGCCTAAAGGCACATCAAACTTATCAATGCCTTCTTCCGCATCTGCCCAAACTTCATCTTCTTTAAACCTCTTTTTCCAACAAACCCCTGCCTCTTCGGCTTCCTCCGCTCACACAATATCACCCACAAGAGCACACCAAAACCATTCAATCTCATCAACAATACAAAGGAGCCCCTCCCAAGCATCCCTCGGAACAGTAGCAACTACGGGGACTGCAACTGGTCTTTTCTCAGCCCTCGCAGAAGCTGCCGCTGCACCTCCAGGATCCTCATCCTTAGCTTCAAACGCTGCTGTCCTAGCTGACCTCCCTGTCATAATCTCTGCTCGTGATGTCGCAGACACAATCTCCGTATATAATAACCTTCTAACCGCTGCTAACTCCTACCGTGAGGCCCTCCTCACCGTCTCTTCAGCAGCAGCGGAATTCGGCGCAGCTTTAGAAAACGCTGCTCGATGCAAAGGCGCAGGCTCCTCTGCTGAACCTCTTCTAAATGCAGGAGGCCTCCATTATCTCGTCTCAAACCACCAGCAAATCCTCGCACGTTCTATTCAAACTACTTTTGAAACGCCTGTCCGCAAACAAGTCGCAGCTTTTAAAACCCACATGGCTGCAACTGATGCTTCCTTTCGTGAACAGCTCGCAAATAAGTCAAAAGCCCTTCGTGTCCAAGAAGAACACAATGCCCGTATGGCCCGCCGTAAAGTTCGAAATTTGGCAGCTTATCGTACCTCTTTACTCGAGTTAACCTCCCAAATAGATGAAATCGACCGTCTTAAATACGACCATTTTGTTTCCCAATTTGACCTTGCACAACATACCTCAAACAATATCCTGGCTTATGCTGCTGCAGTTGTGCGCGCTGAAGTCGAAATATACGAAGGAATCGCCCGTAAAGGCTGGTCTGGTGGTGGTTTGGATGACCTGATATCTGCAGGTCCTGATCCATTTGCTCCTGTTGAAGAAGAAGATTATGATGATGAAAACGGTGGAAATGGAGGTCCCTTTTCATCTTCTTCATCTACACCATACTATTATGATACCGGGTCAACCAAGTCCACCAAAACTTACAAACCTTACAATGATAATAATCTATTCTCAAGCCCAGAAGTCTTTTCTAACAAACTTGCATCCACCTTCCAATCTTTTGGCTTTAAGGACAAGAACAAAAACAAATCTACAGGCAGCATTACCAATGATAAAAGTACTACCAGTAGTCCAGAAAAGGTGGCTGCACAAACAGATAGCAACAATAACACCACACTAGAAAACTCTAAACCCTTTTCGGAATCAACCATACCAACTGATATACCCGAACCCGCATCCTCTTCATCATCCACCGAACCTAATGCTTCCTCTTCCAGTGGGTCTAGTGGTAACGAAGCTCATAATCTCTGGGGGTCTGCATCTTCTTACTCATCATCACCTGCCATCCAACCTTCCTCATATAATATCTTTTCTGCACCCTCTCCTAGCCATAGTCCTCTAGCATACTCTGGGATGGTCAATGGCGGAGGTTCCATGCTTGCTTCAGTACCTGTTAGTAGCAACGGTCTTGATCAGCATTTATCTTCTTCTACACCTCTCAGTATAAGTGGGTCAGGTGGCAGCCTTTCAGGGCCATCTTCTTCAGGAACTGCTCCATTTTTCGGCAGCCCACCCTCGTCATCAGCAGCAGCAGCACTTGTAGGTGTGAAATCATCTAGCCATGTGCGACAATCCAACGGCCGCGGGATTTTTTCAGTTCTTCCTACAAACCGGTCCATTCTTCCTGCACCCCCGGTACCTCGAAATCCTAGCGTAGTCGGCAGTGATGGTGTGTCTTTTAATTCGATTGATTTGGATAGCAGCAGCAGTGAAGATGAAGACGAACAAGAAGAGTCATTAGAACAGGAAGGAAAAGGAGAAGGCAAAGAAGAACAAGAAGAAGAAAAACATGAAGAACAAGAAGAAAATCGTGAAGAAGCTGTAACAGAAGAAGAGGAAGATGTGGGTGCAATCGATGAAGATGTGGCCGAAAGACACCGCCGAAGTGAAGTTTTAGAACCAGGTGGTGAATATGCAGTCAGCGATGTTGCAGCTGCCTCTGAGGATTCTGACGAAACAGTCGAGAGTATTACTATCAAGGAAGATACACCAGCGTCGTCATCTCTTCAACCACCTGAATCTGATGGTTCAAGTATAAGCACAGCTCAGGGAACATCTGCGGCTATTACTGAATCCATAGGGACTACTGCAGCAGCAGCAGCAGCAGCAGCAGCAGCAGCAGCAGCAGCCTCAGAGGGAAACACAAGCATTGAAAGTGTAACAGAGATCCAAGAAGATGATCAATTGGAGACTGAATCACTGGAAAGTCGAACAGGTACTGTAACAGAACTATCGGCAAGTCACGAAAATGAACAGCACCAAGATAAAAGTAATGAAGATGAAGATGAAGATGAAGATGAAGATGAAAATGAGAATGAGAATGAAGATGATCTTATGCTGGGACATACAGGATGGAAAAACGTACGGTCTCCATCGTCTGTGTCAACGACTTCTGATTCTTAAGCTACATGTATTTAAAAAAAAAAAAAAAGTAACGGGAAATGAACAATTGGAACGATAATGATGATGATGATGATGATGATGATGATGATGATGATAATTATAATGATGATGATGATGATGATAATTATAATGATTGTAATGATAATGATAATTATAATGAATAAAAAAAAATTTTTCTTATCTCTGTCTTTGATAAAGATATGCATCACCTCATATATATATAAATATATATATAATATTTTGTTAATAAGCATACGTCAATCTATCTTTTCATCACGGTGTTATAAAAACCTTTTTTTATTTTTGTTTTTTGTTTTTTTTTTTTTTTACTTGGACTCTTCGGCAGCAGCAATGGCAGTGGCGACGGGTCCCTTCTCAGTCTCCTCTTCCTTCTTTTGTGGGAAAGCAATATTGCTGAATGCTTTAATGGGAGTATACCCCAGACTTGTCTGGTAATTGTACAAGCGCACAACTTGGTATGCAGCCACGGTTCCTAAGAAGAAGTTAACAGAAGCAAGAAGGAAATTCTTAGGCTTGATGATCATGCACCAACGAGTCCAGATAAGACCGGTGGCCATAAGAGCAATCTGTTGGGTGCCCGAGATGGTTTCAACAGGACGGTTCATGTCACTAATGCCGGCAAAAACAAGCGCCCATTTCATAACAGGAGCCTATTTAAAATAAAAAATAAAAATAAAGAAATATATATATATATATATATATATTATAATGAATTCAAAAAAGTTCCATGGTTAGTGGTTGTTTATCTTTATCAATGTGTGTGGACCCCATTTTGATGACTTTGTTGTTTGTCTACTTTATGCTTCGGCATAAGAGGAGAAAAAAAATAATAATAATAATAGAAAGACAGAGAGAGGGGTTGTATTTTTTTTTTTTTTTTTTTTTTTATCGCCGGAACCATACCCAAAAGTGGATCGTCTTAGGACCCGTCTCGGAGTTCATAAATCTCGAAAACTTAGAAGCACCTGCAGAAGCCATTGTGAATAGTTATATTTGAGGTTATATAATGAAAAGATAAAAGACAATGTTTCGAACGGGTCGAATGGTTGGTGGTGATGATGATGATGATGTTGGTGGTGGTGGTGGTGGTGGTGATGTTTTGTATAAAAAAAAAATTTTGATAGACGGATGTTAGTCGGTGTCTTTAAAAGTTTTTTTTTTTTTTTTTTTTTTGTGAGGGGAAATTTTTAGTAATAAAAAAAAATATAAAATATAAAATAAAAAAAAATATAAAATATAAAATAAAAAAAACACAAAATGTAATTTCTTATGAAATCTATTTAGACTTTGTATATACTTCTCTTATCTTATATATATATATATAAACATTAACATTAACATTAACATTACTCATTAAGATTAGGCAACTCCTATAAACCAGACTTAGCCTTACGGGCCCGGTACGCGTCCCGCTCTCTGGCCCGACTACCTCCTTCACGTACACTACTACTATATTGCCGCTGTCTCCGTGCTAATGACCCATCAGGGTCTTCACGCAAGTACTTCCCAGCTTTTCTATTTTTCTCATCATCCTGCGCGATCAACTTTGCATCGCGTGTACTCACCGTAGCCCCACCAAACCGTTTCCGTCGCTGCTGCTGCTGCTGCTTCCCTAAAGAATCATCACGGGGTTCTCCTCCTTCTTCTTCACCATCACCATCATCATTATCACCGTCATCTTCTTTTTCTCTTTCTTTCCTATTATTTCCATGACCTTTGCTCCCAAACTGATGCATGTATAACGAGTATGGATCATCGTTCTCTTCGTCAGACAAATCACCCCCAGCTTCTTCATCACTTGAATCATTCCTACCATTTTTAGCGTTTACTTCTGTCGATGGAAACGAGGTTGTAGCACCAACAAGCCGTGCACGGAAACCGCGTAGCAGTGCCAAAGTTTCAGCTTCCCTTCTCTCAGTCCCCTTTTTGGCCCGTGCTTTAGATGCCTTAGCATATCGTGCCATTTCGTCGTCTCCTTCCATAGCTTTGGCCGTGGACTTTTCGGATGCTGTTGACTTCTCAGATTTTTGTTTAAGCGCAGATTTAAGTGTCTCAAATTCGGCTCGCAGCTCGGCTGCTGTTTTGACTGAAACACCTGCAGTTACTGGCGTTTTGACAGATGAAGCATGTAAAGAAGACGATTCGATTTGTATCGAGTTGTTACTCTGAAGAGATTCTTCTGGGCTACTTTGAATTTTTTTAGCTTTCTTTTCAGGTACTATTTGCTCCTCTGACTTCTCGGGCCTTTCAGGCTTTTCATGCTTTTCAGGCTTTTCAGGCTCCTCAGGCTCCTCAGGCTCTTCTGTAATTATCTTTTTCTTCTTGCTCTTTATTGCTGGTGTTTTCATCACAAACTTGCGTTTCTTTGCTGGCTCTTCCTCTTCCTCATCTTCGTCTCCATCATAAGCAACCTTGACTCGCTGTTTCACCTTCTTCCCCCGAACACTCTCCCTTTTCTTTTGTTGTTGCTTCTCTTCTTTCACTGCGTTTTTGGCCCGTGCCCGCTCTTCCATACTCTTAATCTCAATGTCCTTAAAATACGGCTCCACAACCTCAGCGCGCTCAATCACAACAGGATATAATGGCCGATCATCTCCATCTTCACCTTCAGGTGCCTCCATTGCCACATCATCAGATACCATTTCCGCAAGAGTGTACAAACTTTGCGGCGTCAGTTTCCCAAAAACAGTATTTTTCCCGTCCAGCTGTGGTGCTCCTCCAGGCGCAAGTGTCATTATAAACTGAGAACCGTTACTATTTCGAACCCCCTCTACGTTCGCAGTCCCCACAATCCCACGACGATTAAACTTGAGACGTGATTGAAACTCGTCTGGAAATCCTCCACTACCTGCTGCATCACGCCATCCAGCACCACCTTGAATTATGAACCCTCGAATGAGTCGCCCAAATGTCGTGCCATCATAATAACCTTCACCACACCGCTGCAGAAAGTTGCGACTAGCTATCGGCGTCTCCTTTGCCCAAAGTTCAATCTCCAGCGATCCACGAGTGGTGTGAAGAATAGCTCGAGCAGTCGTAGGTGGCTCAATCCCATGGAACCCGCCTGTTTGATCGTTCATGTTGTGTGCAATTTTTTTTTATAAAAAGAGTGGTGGGTGGGTATACATAAAATTAAACTTGATATGAAAGTATGGCTAAAGTTTTTTTTTCTCTCAAAACTGAACCTTGTAAACACCAAGCACTTCATTTTTTTTTTTTTTTTGGTTTTTTCAAAATTCAAAATTCAAGATCAAACAGATTCTATAAAACTTTTTATATCTAGCCTAATCGGACTCAAAATGTTTATTATTTATATTTAGTTATACTTATATTTTCTATAAAATAGCTAAAAATTAGGAAATAGATTGGAAACCTTAATGTTCCATGTTGGACCTAGCACAAAAAGTTCAAAATTTTAATCAACAAGGCCTAAATATCTTAACCTATTTCTATTTTCACCATTGGCCTCAATTGAATAGGTTTGATTCCATGGTGCTATTCTTAACTCATGTTGCCAATTATTTTGTAAATCATGAGCTCTTACATGTAAAACCCCATTCAAATCAATGTCAAAAGTAATAGTGATACGAACCGAACCAACAGGTCGAGGGGGAATTCCCTCAACTCTAAAATTTTGAAGAAGATGATTATTGCGTGCAATTGAATCTTCTCCCTGATATATAGGAAAATCAACAACAGTTTGATTATTATGGGAAGTAGCTACTAGCGCTTTGCCATTAGCAGGTAGAGCTGAATTTCGACCAATCACTCTATGCATTTCATCTTGAGCATCTTCGAATCCTAGCGACAAGGGTGTTACGTCAATTAGCTCAAAATTGGGTTTTCTTTGTGCTGTACGTAAATTCCCTAGGCGTGCTGCCAAAAGAGCAGCTCCTGTTACTACTGCTTCTTCAGGATTAATATCTTGATTTACAGACCCTGGAAATCTGTTTTCCAATAGGGTTTTTATGTATGGTGTGCGACTGGACCCCCCAGCAAGAACAACATGGTTTATTTCAGAATTTTTACCGAGCCCGGAATCTTTCAAAACTTGGTCGACAGTATCCAATGTTAATTGAAATAGATCGCGGCATAAGTTTTCATATTGTGCTCGGGTAATACTTAATCGAACTGATTTACCTTTCGGACCTCTTTCCAAAATATTAGTTGCTTCCTGTCGAGTAGTCAACTGAACTTTTAATAGTTTTGCAACTATCCGTAAACGTAAGACAAACGTGGTTTCATCATCTATGGATGCAAAATTAAAGTTGTTTTCATTTCTCAATTGAGTGATAAAATGATTAACTAATCGATTATCGAAATCCTCACCTCCCAAAAATGTGTTTCCACCTGTGGCTAATACTTGGTATTTATTTCGTTCAACTGACAATATTGTAACATCAAATGTTCCACCACCTAAATCAAATACCAATAAATTAACTTTTTCATCTGAATCTCCCAAATTTCCATCTGCATATGCAATTGCAGCAGCAGTGGGTTCGTTAATGATTCGCAATACTTCCAGCCCTGCTAGCCGTGCAGCGTCAATAGTTCCCTGGCGTTGTGAATCGTTAAAGTATGCTGGGACTGTAATCACAGCTTTAGTGACATCTTTTCCCAGATGATTAGACCCCAGGCGTCTCAGTTCTTTAAGAACTAAACAAGAAATAACTTCAGGTTCAAGTTTTAGTTGTTTATTGTTTAATGGAACTTGGATTCCAGGTCTGTTGTTATAATTAACAATATTATAAGTGTTTGCCAATGATTCACGAAATCTCCGTGTTTCGAAATCATCAAATTTACGACCAATCAGTCGTTTAGCGTTGAAAATCAATTTATGAGGAGTGAAGTCATGAATGTCTTTGATTTCTTCTCCAACCCTGATTTCATCGTCACCAAAATAAACTGTGGATGGTGTATAGTAGCTCTGATTGTTGTTTGCAATGATTGTGACCCCATTTTTTTTTAGATAGGCAATACTAGAGCAGGTAGTGCCCAGATCTATTCCAACAGCAGCACTTTCACTCATTGCAATTTTAAGAGGTGTATTATTAAAAGCTAGAAGTTTCTTAAAAATGAAGATAAAAACGATAAAAAAGATAAAAAAGATAAAAAAGATAAAATGAAGATGAAAAGAAAGGGAAAGGAAAACAAAAAAGGGGCTAATATTTAAGCACTACATTTTATCGATGAACAATATCGATATCGTTAATTTTTTTTTTTTTGGATTAATAGCAAATAGATCTACTTGGCATGGATCACTAAGCGGCTAAATACAGTGTATACCGAAATTTAAAAAACAGTGTTAATTTAAGTAACTCTATTAAAAATACCTAAAACTTTGGTTATATTAACTGTTAATCTAAAGAAAAAATTAACTTTAAAATGCCCAAAAATTAGTGTAAGCAAAAAAAAAAAAAAAAAAAACAAGTGTTGACAAGAAAAATTGTAAACTTGAAATGCTTCTTAATTTTAGCAATTAACAAATAGACATTATAGGAAATAAAATGCAGAAGATTACTGTTCATTTATTTTTTCTGTTGATTCCGATCAATTACCGTTGATGATTAAAATGCCTTTACATGTCGAGACGAGCATTACTTTCAAATGCAAACGAGCATGAATGTACAGATTTCTTTTATTCTTCTATTCAATGAGGGTTTTTGCTAGTTGCAATTTTGATATCAGTTTCTGTGGTTTAAAGTTGATTTTGCCGGTCACGGATTTCTTCTTTTGGAGTTTAATGCTGCTCTAATTTTGGGCCCAGGTTTTTTGTGACCGCTTTCAATTGTACATGAACGTTGACACATTAAATGGCAAAACTACAAAGCATTAAACATTAGACTTGGAAATTTCTTTTTAATAAGTTTTGGTATAAATACTTTTTGAAATCCTCAAGATTTCAAAATGACTTCATCTTTTTGACTATAATTATTTTTCATTTTGGTAATGCTCTTTCAAAAACTTGCGACAATGAAAAACTTGCAGATATACAAGGTTGGCATATTTTGCGTATTGGTTCTTATAAAACTTGCAATTTTGGTGTTTGAGGGAATGTACGTGGCTCCAGATTTTCATGACGCTACGAACTCAATGGTAAAAATACATGTACCAGCAATGAATGAAACCACATACCGCCGACTCGTGGAGGCTTTATGGGAGCCTGCAGGAGGGTTTGGTGAAGCAGGACATGGTGAAGGAATGGCGAGGCAGGCTCGTCTTTGGCGGGATCTAAATGAGACGTGTGTATGGCCACGACGGGCGTTTGATGTGCATTTTGACGCGTTTTACTATGCAAATGGGTCTCGGGTTGAAGCTTTGGATGCACGCAATTCACCTACATTGGCTGAACGGATTCTCACAACAGGATTAGATTCTGGTGTGGCGGAATGGATGCGTGAAATGACTAGTGACGAACGTGTATATCGACGTTTAATGTGTTCTCGATCTAGACGATTGACTTGGCCGCGGCCTCAGGGAGACTCTGAGCCTGCTGTTAGTGATAAGCCTGCACCGCCAGAGTTGTGTGAACTTTGGGTGCGCGTGCATGGGTCGCGCAAACGGATGCTTATTTCAGTTTTATTATTTTCAGACGGTATTATTTTTTTTTCATTTTTAGCAGCCGCCGTGGCTCGAATTTTGCGTATGCGAAATACGGAAGATGGACTTGATTACTCTATGAGTTTTTATATAACACAGCGACCGCCCTGCAGCGGGATTCCAGGATATCGTTCAGTCGAACTTTGGAGCAGAATGCCCCCAACTGCTACGTTTATTCAAGTGGATATGTTACTGGCATGTTTTCATTGTGTGCTCAATCTAGCGTACACGCTTTATTTACCCCACAGAGTTGAAGTACCATTAGCTGCAATTAATACCCACCTTTTAGATTTGGGTGTGTCAGCCAGACTTTTGAATCGTGGAGTGACGTTGGCATACTCTGTGTATCTTTTAATACCAATATCTGTCGTGGTTGACGTGATATTAGTGGCACCATTAGCCATTTATGAATTTTTTGTTTTTAAACAATTGGCTGCAGAACACCGTGAGCAGCGAAAGATTCAGGCTGCTGCGGCTGCAGCTGCGGTGATTGCTAGCTGTGAATTTATGAATGACGAAAATACAGTACTGGACTTGAGCCAGGAAATGCTGGGCCTGGACCCAAACGTGCTAGCCCGGTATGTGCGATATGATCCAATGTTGGATCAATATGTACAGGTACCACCTCCGGCTTATTGTCGGATTCCTGCGAGGGGTGAGGCCTTGCCTCCATATGAAGCATAGATAGAATTGTATTGTTAGGCTGAAAGGTTCCTTTTTGTATCACGCTACATATATAGAGGATGCGTGATATTTTTTTTTTTTGGGAATTAATGAATATTAATTAGCATTGGTAGTTTTCAAGACCTTCTTTTCTAGTCATTTGCAACTTGCGTTAATCGGATATGTGATGTCTGTAAAGTTATATGTACAAAAATAGCTACAAAGGGGAGTGGTGGAAAAAAAAAACATTATATACTTTTATTTACTTTTCTTCTTCCTGAACAGGTTCTTCCTCCTGCTCCTCGGCAGTGGCTGGAGCATGACGAGCCCGCTCGGCCTCGGTCTCTGCGAGAATGCCGCGGCCGACCTGATCAACGTAGCGTGCAAATGGGAATTCGCCCAAACCATTCTTGTTGCGGATCTTGTCTGCAGCCTTGAGAGATTCGGCAAGTTTTTTGTCATCAAGACCTGGTGCACCACCAGCAGCCACGGCGACAGTGGCCAGTTGGGCATCAAACATGTATTGGCGGATACCTGGGGGGACACGTTTGTTGGGAGAAGACGACGAAGGAATGGCCAAGTCTGTAGGAAGAGCAGCCGCACGGGTAGCAAAGGGAGCAGCAAGGTCCTTAGCAGAGGTTGCATTGAGACCATAAAGTACAATCCATTGAGCTTGAGCATCAGCATCAAGAGATTTTTCGGGCAGCAGAGAAGCCAGAGTGGTATAAAGGCGGACCAGGTCCTTTGCGGTTTGGACCTTTGGGACTACGACGGCACGGATGGCGTAGATGCGTAAAGCCTCGCGGGCAACGGTGATATCAAGGAGTTGAGGAGCCTTGGGGAGAACCGAATCGAAAATGTATGAGCGCGTGGGGTAGAGAGCGGAGCCCTTGGCAGCAGTGGTGAGCAGGGCAGCGAGATGCTCTGGGAGCAGCTGCTGGGGGTACTTTTTAATGTATCTGTCAAAAATCGCACGCACAGCTGCAATTTTTTCGACAGGCTTCACCAACAGGTTAGCTTCGGCTTCCTCACCTTCTTCAAGGGCAGCCTCGATGGCTTCCTCAGGAGTCTCGACTGAAGCGGTTTTGATGAGACGCATGAGAAGTTTGCCGGAGGGTCGCGCAAGAATAACCTCCGAGTCACGCAGTGTGTTGCCGGCCTTGTCGGTAACGTGTTCAGAAGTAGAACGAAGGATTGTGAGATTCTTGGGTCGCAGAACCAAATGACGGAACTTGGCTGGGATGTCGAGGGGTCGGAACCGGTGTTGGACTTCGCGATAAAACTCAGTGAACTTGGCGTCGGCATGTGCAACATCAAAAGTGTAAGAAGGCTCACTGGAGGACACAGAAGAGCGAAGAGCATCGTATCCAGCAAAAGAAGCGGAACGAGAAGCTGTGGAATATGCCCGGGTTGAGGCCCGAATGAAGCCTGGGAGCTGTGATCTCAGCATTTTGGTTGGTTGGCTTTGTATGGGTGGTGATGATGGTGGTGGTGATGAAAAGAGGATTTTTAGAGTGCCAAAAAATTTCACTAGAAAAAAAAAAAAAAATTTCAGTGGTTAGGAAAAATCTGACTAATCAAGCCACGTGACCCTCAAATATTCAACTTTTAATAATTTTTTTCTTTTTTTTTTTTTTGTAGCATTATGCTTCCCCCGCTATAAAACTTTTAGAGAGATAGCCTCAACTTTATGTTTGTCAACAATGTCTTTCATTAATCATTAATCATTATACATTAAAATTTGTAATTCATTGTTTATTGGGTTGTTGTAAACTGATTAAAATCCCATTCAGAATCATCAGCCCAATCTTCATTCTCGTCATAATCTGAAATATGTAAAACAGACTCGCTTTTCTCCGACGGGATATTTGACTGGGCCCCGTTACTGTCATTGTGAACAGATGATAATACGTTTACAGCTTCACTTTTTGCAACCTCCGATTCGCTTGGAATACTGCCATTGCTTCCACTATTAGTGCTGCGACGACGTCGGCGCCCACCTCTGGCACGATGTCGACGACCGCTGGGCACTTGTTGACTGTCTTGGTCAGTAGGATTAATAGCAACCTGCTCAGCAGGCTTGTCATGTTGATGTGGCTTGCGCCATTCGACAGAGTTAAGTGCTTGCATTCGACGTTCACGGTGGGCATCACGTTCTGCAGCCCATTTAGATGTCTCTCCATCAGCCTTGTTATTTTGAATTTCTTCTGCAGTCTTGTGGTGGTCTGTGGATGACACTTTTAGTTCAGCAAGACGAGTTTCTAGAGGTGGCACATTAAAGCCACTGGGTCTACCTGGTGGCGATGTACTTGAACGACTAGCTCGTCGTTTATGTGCGGAACTTCCACGTCGCCTTGGCTGTTTCCCGTTTTTTTCTATACTTGCTTGTTCGGCTACTGTTGTTGGCTCTTGTGGGTCTTGTGTTGACTGAGCAGGTCCAGTTGGTATATCTGATTTTGATGTGTCCAAGCGTTTCATAAAGGCAATGGCCTCCGACGACATTTTATCTTCTTCAGCAGCTTTTGATCCCTTGCGCCTACCACCACGGTAGCGACTTTTGTTATTTGTTGGTATTGTTATTGAGCTATGGTTCCCACCGCCTGACGACACACTCGTTGTGCTTTTGGCACTGTCTTGGGATGTCACAGACCCGCGGTCACTAATATCTGTGTTTGATGCATTGATATCGTGAGAACCATGGCTGTGCTTGCTAGAGATGCCACCTGCAGAACCAGAAGGTGTTGTTGCAGCAGGTCCCGTGGGTAAGGATGTAGTAAGGACCTGAGTCCCGCGAGGTCCTTTGGGTACATGTGCAAGGTCTGCAGAGTTTGCGACTCCTGTTTTCTTAGGAGCTACAGGTATAGAATTGTCAGATGAAGTTGATATGGAGGCCCACTTGCTGTTAGAAAGAGATTCATGTTGGGAGCTTTCTGGTTCCGCGGGGGTTGAAGAGGTAGCCGTAGCCTGAGTATTCCACTTTGATACGAGAGACTGAAACGGGAAAAAGTTAGTTTAAAAACCAATCTTAGTATCACTTTAAGTAACTAAGAGCATACCATGATGATTGAAGAGTTTAATTAAAGTAGTAAAATTAAAAAAAAAAAAAAGAGAATATATTTATATATAAAGCCGAGAATTAAAGTGGTTTATGGGTTGATTTGTTGATAATCAGACGATTTGGTCTTCGAACAAAGCGGGGTGAGAAAATGAGTATATTTTTTTTAATGTGGAATTGAGAAAGGGAAAACAACAACAACAACAACAAAAAAAAAAAATTAAGCTGAGTAAGAAAACTGAATACGCGAGAATTTGCGTATTTTAATTAAATACTAATTAGTTGAAATTTATATCTAAAGAATAAAATCAATGAATGGGGTTTGAAATGTATTGGCAAGTTTATTGAAAAAAAAAAATTGTCTTGTTGAATTTGTTGATAAAAAAAAAGTTCTTCTTTTTCCTTGGTGATGATGCAACAATCAAGCAAACAAAAAAAAAAAAAAAAACTTTGTGGAGATGTTACACTTTAATTACAATAGTAGTACATATTCTTGTGACATTACACAAAGCTTTGTTAGACCTTTTTTAAACTGATGGTAGTCATAATTTAGAATGTTAGTTGGGAGAAGAGAAGAAAAAAGAAGATGATGAATTTTTTTTAAGACTTTAAACGTTGGATATTTAGCTATGTAGACTATCATTAGTTCTGTTGAAAAAAAAAAGTTTTGTATTTAGCTTACTATTTTTTTTTGAATATATAATGATGTATAGCTAAATAATTGTATGTGCATCAAATCATTCAAAAAAGTGAATCAATCAAAAGTTAAAACTAAGTGTAGAAAACAAAAATACGAAATACCAAAGTATCAAAGTGGGCTGTAAAAAAAATAAAAAAATAAAAGAGAAACTATAGAAAATAAATTTCTAATAAAAGATTTTAAAGAATGAGAATGAAATATTATCAATTAAGAATTGATGGTTAAGTAAACCCTTCCTCCGTTAAAAAATCTAAATTCATTTAATTCCAATGAACAAAAACATTCAAATCAATTAAAAAAACTTAGTATTGTTATCTTTAATAGTTATAATGAAGGCTAATTAAGAATTTACTTTAATCGTTTGACTTTGTTTAATTTAAGTTTAATGGAATTTTTTTTAAAATGAAAAAAAATATATATATTTTAATATTTTTCAACTGCTTATTTGTATTTATTTATTTATTTATTTTTTCAAGAAATAAAGACTTTGTGAATCTTTTGAAAATTAATATTTTACATAAATTTTCTATCATTCGATAAAACCACTTTTGAAATTACAAAAAAAAAAAAATGAAAGTGCTGATGTCTTTCAGTTAATTATTGTAATTCTCTTGTAGCTAGGTTTTCAAGATGCCTGAATTTTGTTGAATTTCCTATTTATCATAAAGAAGAAGAAGATTGAATTGCAAGAAGAAAAAAAAATTCCCATCATGAACAGTAGGTTTTGTTATAATACCACTGTTACTTTAGATGTACATTTGAACAGAAGTTTAAAGAAAAGAACACATGATTAATAAAGTAATCTATAACATGAGTTAAAAGTTGAGCAATAAAATCCTAATTATTCAATTGAATATTAACTTATTGAATCTATTTTAAAGATAATATTTTATTCAGAGGTATAAACAAGTAAATCATAATAATTATGGTTAGTTTTTTTTTTTTTTTTCATTTGAAGTATTCTTTTTTTTTTATAAGAAAGAATGTAAATTTTAATTTTTTTTTAAAATGAATTTGCTCATTCTGTATTTTTTTATTCTATTCTATTTCATTTGAACAATTGATAAGTTTGAAAATTTATTAATTTGTTAATTTATTAGTATAAAAAGATGAGAAAAGAAATAAACTTAATGTACAGTATCTACCATAATTTGATTATAATCTTTTTCATAATTATGAAATAAATGAGTTTCACCTTTATTTTTATTTTATTTATTTTTTTTTTTCATTGACTGGTTTGATTTCTAAACTTTTCAAAAAAAAATAATTTATATGAATTTTTTTTTATAATGAATATTCTTAAATTGAATTGACTTTTTTTTTTCCATTTACTGTTATATATAAATTTATATATACATATATATATATATATATTTTTTTTTTCATAATTATAAAAATTTATATATTAGTCTAACCAAATACTGACTAACAAAACTTCCATTCTTTTCTATTTTCAGCCAAAAAATAAATAAAATAAAATAAAAAAAAAAAAAAAAAAAAAAAAAAAAAGCTGTTTGCATTTCTGAAAAAAGGAAACAAAAACAATGTCCAATGTGATGAATGGTTGATATGCCGTTTATCCACAATGGCCTGTTTAGAAGAGAAAAAATTAATTACACACTCCTCTCCCCATTAGCATTTACCATATATGGAATATATATTCGTTTTCGGATATCAAAGATTAAAACGGATGAAGAACATTTGTATCGGGTCGATTCTTAAAATATTATATATATATATAAACACAATAAACCCCAGATTCCACAAATTTTTTCTTTCTTTATACTTTTTCAACTTTTCCACCTTTTTTTTTTTTATTTCTCCATAAAATATGACTTAAATTTTTTAAAACTTTTTTATATTTAAAGCAAAAAAAAAAACAAACAAACAAATAAAAATTAATTTTTTTTTTTTCAAACTTTTTAAAAATAAATAATGAACTTCTTTTTCGCTCTTTCAGCCTTTGTTGCTATTGCCCAAGCAGCCATTCAAGACAATACCGCCTTCACTTTCCTTGTTCTGCGGTCAGGTTCTTCTATCCATTTTTCTACCGTTAAAGAGACTAGTGACCAAAAACTTGTCATTGATAGTTCTCTTAATACAACTTTTACTGGTGTTTTCCTTTCAGATGGCACTATCCGTGTTGGTGACTCAGACCAATGGTTGGTTGTGGGTGCAGACCAACAACTTACTGTCCAGACTGGATCTCCACAAACTTTTGAAGTTAATGATCAAAGCGTGTTGACATTGGATGGTAGCTCTTCAAGCTTTTATGTGATTGAAAACGAAGATGGAACTTATGGTATTTACAGTGGTTCTGGGTCTACTCAGACAAATGCTTTCCATATCAGTCTTCTTGTTGACTGGGATAGAAGAGCTTCTTCTGCTTCTTCATCCACTTCCACTTCCACTTCCACTTCTTCAGAATCTTTGTCTTCATCTTCGACTATTGTTTCTTCTTCTTCTTCTCACATTACATCTACTCCTAATATCACTACTGCCACTTCTACTTCTAGTGAACTTGGCCAGGTTACAGAAACTGTCACAATTTGCAGTAAAAATGGAACTTGTGCTCATCCTTCAACCTCAGTTCCTCAGGTTAATGGTGCTGCTTTAGCTGTTGGTACTACATTTTGGGGTGCCGCAGTTGCTGCAGCTGCAGGTGTTGCAGGTATTTTCATTCTTTAAACAACAACAACAACAACAAATTGATTTAATTTCAATCAAACCAAATCTAAATATAACAATTGATGATGAGGAGAAAAAAAAAAAAAAATAATAATAATAATAATAATAATAATTTTTTTTTTTTGTATTATGAAATTTATAATTTATAATTTGTAATATTTCTTTAAAGATTTGTTTTTAATTAATTCATACACGGTTTTTTTTTATTTTTTTGTAATTAATAAATGAAAAAAAAAAGATAAAATTTACTTTTAAAAGTTATAAAAATTGAAAGTTGAAAGATTTTTATTTTTTTGGTATTAAATGATTAATTCTTATTTGTTTTCCTTAAGAAGGAAATTTTTCCAAAATTAGTTTGTACTTTTTAAAAAAAAAAAAAAAGAAAGTCTATATTAAAAAAAAAAAAAAAAAAAAGCTAAGACTATAGTCAAATTATAAATAAAAATTAAATTTTAAAAATAAATAATAAATAATAAAAAAATGATTTCTTCGTCAGATTCAAATACATATATATATATATATATATTAAAAAAAATAAAACCTTTTAAAATGGATTTTCTTACTTATTTTCTTTCTTTTTTTTTTTTTTTCTCTCATCAAAACATTTCTTTAAAAAAAAAAAAGAAGAAACAATTTTTTTTTGTCCTCACAAGAAGAAGAAGAAGATGATGATGATTTCTCACTTTTCATGCACGTGTTTGTCATTTAGTGACAAGTATCTATGGGTTTACATTAAAATCGTGATATATTTCTAAATGACCCAGAAGATTTTTTTATAGAAATGAAAATAAAAATCAAAAAGAATAAAATCATTTTAATCGTTAAACATATATATATATATATATAATTTTAACCATTTAATTATATTATATACGCATTATTTTCTACTATTCTAACTTTTGACCTTCTCTTTAAAATTCACAAATAGAAGTTCTCTCTTTTTTTTTTTTTTTTTTTTTTTTTTAATGCTAAGCTGTCTAAATTTCATGCCAATCTTTCATTTAATAATTAAAAGTGAGGAGGAAGAGAAGGAGGAGGATGGGGAGAGGCTTCAATTGTTTTAATATAGTAGTTCATGTATTTTTATTTTATTTTATTTTTTTTTTATTTAATTTTTTTACTTTTTTTTTATTATTAAAAAAGTTCCCAACCATCATCAAATTCATGCACTTGAAGAAATCAATGAAAAAAAAAAAAAAAAACCCTTAAATCTCAATTTGGACCCCTTAAAAGCGATATTCATTCATTCATTCATTTCTTTTTTCGATTAAAAAATAGATTCTATCAACAAACTTCATAATTAAAAAAAAATTATATATATATAAAAATAATGATATTAAAAAAAAAAAAAATGAGAAATAAAAACGAAAAAAAAAAAAAATTGTACATATTATATATAGAGAAAAAAAAATGATTTTAATTAATTTTTTTGCAACTTGCCTTTTTTTTTTTTTTTTTTAGTTTCCAAATTAATAATAAATTTTAGTCCAAACTCAATCCATAAGTAATAAATAAACCTTCCTTTCTTACTTTTTTTTTTTTTTTTTTTACAACACAAGAGCTGCAGAAGGAGCATTGCTTGGAGCAGTTGTATTCCACAAGCTCCGTCTAAACTGCTTGCGACGCTCCATCATTTCCTTCCATCCTGCCTCATCGTCATCATCATCATCATCGTCTCCATTGTCACTAACATACTCGCTCTCAGGTCGAGTCTGTACATTACCACCAAGCGGACTAGGGTTTCGTGCAACAGCAGATGATGGAGATGAAGGTGGTTGCAAATCTGATCCGGCAATTGCAGGTACAGTGCCATCAGAAACAAGTGTAATTTGTTGTTGTTGTTGTTGTTGTGGTGGTTGAGCTTGAGCTTGAGCTTGGCCTGCTTGTTTAGGAAACTTAAAAGAAGGTGTGCTATTGGTATGCTTGTGTTGACGGTTATTTGCATTTGCCAAAGCAACAGTCGCAGCTGCCACAGCCACAGACTTGGTAGCCTGTTGAGGTACCGGATGCATAATCTGTGGTTGCTGTTGTTGTTGTGGCTGCTGCTGTTGTTGTTGAATAGGCTGTGCAGAAATCATAAGTTCATTAGAATGAACACTACCATGAATAGAAGGCGAGTATGACCTAATAGATGGTGCACCACCAGCCCCCCGCATCATGGGTGTCATCATGCTTTGCGAGCTAGGATTGTTAATCATATCAAAAGAGCTCCAATTCTTGGTCGGTGCAAACTGTTGCATTGGAGTCATGTATCCAGCTCCAGGAGCACCCACACCCATAACAGAGGGTGCTGGTTGGGCAGCAGAACCTTGCTGTTGAATTTGCATTTGTTGAAGAATCTGGGTTTGAAGAGCCATCATCTGAGACAACTGTGCTTGAATCTCAGATTGCTGGCCCTGAGGTTGTTGCTGCTGTTGTTGTTGTTGTTGTTGTTGTTGATGATCATCAAGCATTTGTTGTTGGTAAACAGATGATCGCTCAATTTGATCAATAAGTGTGTTTGTACGCTCCTTGGCCAAATTGTTCATCATCGACTTGCGACGTAACTTGGCTTCTTCTTCCTTGGCAATCTCGCCAATAAGACCACGGTTCATCGTCATACCAGATTGTCCAAAAACGGCAGGAAGACCAACCGAAGGGTTACGCATAGCCAGGTAACCATCGTCGGGTGCCGGAGTAGTTGAACGAATAGGGGACCCAAATGACCGAACAGAAACAGCGTCTCCACCAAGTGGTCGAGGAGTTGTAGTGCCCAAAAGATATGCAGATGAGGCACCTGATCCAAGTACATCACCTTGGGAAGTTGCCGAAGTGTTTGAAATGCCTTGAGCCATAAGGTTGGGCTGAGAGCGTGCAGTTTTAAGACGTGAAGATGTAGGGAAACCATGTGCTTGTAAAATACCAAGAGGAACATCATCATACTCATCTTCATCCGAATTCTCACTGTCAAAGTCACCAGAAAAGGCTGCACTGTTAAGAACAGGATAATTGCCGAGCCCAATCTGGGAGCCAGTAAGTTTAGTCATTTTTTGACGGTACACAGCCAAATGGGCGTCTTGTCTCAAACGCATTCGAATGGTTTGTTTTTTTCTCTCCTCGTCCTCCTCCAGACGTTTAATGCGACGATCTTCATCATCTGCATCATTAGTTTCACTATCATCATCATCATCAGAAGTGTCAGAAGCCTTCAGATCGTCGTCATCATCGTCATCATCATTATCATAATCGCCATCATTGTTTTTTTCAACTTGTCTAGTTTCCCCACCTTCTTTAAGCTTCTTGGCGTTTTCCTTGTCACTAGTGTTTTCATCAGTACTAATGGAACTATTGCGCTTCTTTTTACGGCGCTCCTTTTTAGTGTCAAGTTCTTGTTTGTACTTGTCATACTGGCTCTTTGTCATAACTAAACTGTTGGAAGACGAGGTGCCAACAACACGCATGCGAGAACCTGTGGGGTCGATTGAAGGTCTAAGGTTGGGAACAAAGTCGAGGGCCTCATTGTCAGCAACAGAAGAAGCAATAGAGTTGCGCTTATTTGCATAAGTATTTGTTGAATCTTCAAAAGGTCGTTGTTGTTGAAGCAAAAGTTGGTCGCGTTCTGAAGATAATCTATTTGTAGAGCGGATATTATTGTTATTGTTATTGTTATTATTGTAATTAACACTATTGTTTCCAAAACTAGAAGAGCGATTCATGCTGGGGGATAAGGCGTTAGAATTTAAGTCATTAACGTTTCGCAATGATTGACGACGCTGGTGTTGTTCAAACGGAGTGACTTTAGCCTTGTATGTAGGGCCCAATTCAATTTCATGGAAATGCTGCTTGGGCTGTGGACTTGAAAAGACCAATGGAGCGTCTTCTTCAGGGTTAGTTGGAGGATTTTGTTGTGAAAAAGTATAGGGGCCATTTGTATCTTCTGAGCTTCTTGTAGATGCTTTGTTGAGGGCCTTATAAGAACCAAATCCTGGAAACATGGACTTAACTTTAGCCACGGTAGAACTAGTAGAACTAGATCCACGAGGGTTTGCATTTTGAACTGTTGAAGGAGTATTTGAAGATACAACTCTGACTGGTTCATAAGAAGATCCGGATCCTTGAAAGTTTGAGCTAGATTGTTTGAGGCCACCTCCTTGAGATGAGGATGATGATGAATCTGGTCGAGAAGATTCATTATTGTAATAAGTAACACCATGGTGATGGTGAGGAGCTAGGCGATTAGGATCCAAGGAGTTAGAGCCATTTGACTTGTAGTCTGAAAATGGGAAATCTGGACGAGTGCCATTGACAGGGCTAGGTTGGATACTATTATTGTCATCGTCATCAATGTCACTTCCTTCTGTGTCAGTGTTTCGGAAAGATCCTCCATCGGCATAGTATGAATAGTCTGGAATCTCAAGGCCAGAGGAGAAAGAACTTTGGTGGGTAACGATTGGTAAAGTCTGAACTGCTGGAAGACGGTCCAAATCAGTTGAGACTACAAGACCATGATTATTGTTGTGATTATTGTTGCTGTTGTTGCCAGAATGGGCCGAGTAATCGAAATTCATAATGGAACGAGGCCGGCGACTTTTCTTTTTTTGAAAAGGGTCTTTATCAAAAAGACCTGTAAGATCTGTATAAGATTCGTTTACAGCTACCGGAGGAAGCTGGATAGAAGTTCTATGTTGTTGTTGTTGTTGTTGTTGTTGTGAAAGCACAGGGGTTTTGTCCACAACTATAGAGGAAGAAGGTCTTGAACGAGATGTAAAAGAGAGAGAGCTTCTCTTTGAGCCAAGATTAGAAGTAGGAAAAGTAGAAGACTGAGCTACTGGACGGTTTTCAGAAGACCTTGGACGTTTTAAAAGAAAGGCGGCTAATTTTTTAGTTCCACTTTGAGATGAAGTTGAAGAATAATTGTTATTGTTATTATTATTATTATTATTATTATTATTTGTTAAAGATGAAGATGAAGAAGTTGTTGTTCCTGCTGAAGAAAAGCTGCTGGCGGAGCTGCGGGAAGACGAAGAAAAGGAGGAAGTAGAAGAAGAAAAAGCAGAGGAGGCGGCAGCCAGTGAGGAATTTGGCGTGGCAGTTGGAGAGGGTAGGGGTTTGGGTAAGGGTTGAATGCTATTTATAGAAACACGGGGGTTAGGGTGGTTAGAGTGGTTGTTATTGTTGTTGTTATGGTGGTGGTTGTGATTGTGGTTGTGGTCTTGCTGCAGCTGCCACGTGATAGATGCTGTAGTTGAAGTCATAAATGTTTGTTATGAAATTGTTGTTTAAATTTAAATTTAAATTTAAAATAAAAATAAAAATAAAAATTGATGATAATAATTATTAAAGTCTATAGAAAAGAATATGATTTTTTAAAAAGAAAGACAATTATTATTATAATAATAATGAATAGATGTATATATATAATATTTAAATATAAATTAAAAAAAAAAATGCTTCATTAAAAAAAAAAAAAAAAAAAAAAAAAAAAAAAAAAAATAGAAGAAATCCCCCGTTTTATATATATATATATATATATATATATATTTATATTTGTATTTATTCTCTCCGCAATCAACCGCATACACGCAATCGAAAAAAAATTTTGAAAATATAAAATAAAGCATTATTTATATATATTATATATAATAATAATAATAATAATAATGATAATAATCAAAAATAAACCTTTTTTATTTTTTTTTGTTCTTTATTTCTTTCTTCCTTCCTGCCTTTAATTATTTTATATATATATATATATATATAAATATATATAAATATAAATATATAATTTTTTGGCCCTGACTTGTCCAGTCACGTCTTGACTTTTAACATTTATATATCTATAATAAGTACTTGATATACTCACTAATATATATATATATATATATATATCACTATTTTTTTTTTTTTTTTCATTTCCCTTAACCGCCGCCCGACCCGCCTAAAGTTATGCCGCTTAGTAGATTCCCGCCTTTTAATGGTTTTTGATTGAAAAGCTTTATTATTATTATAATTATTATTATAAATATATATAATAGGATTCTTGGCTTAAGAAGTATTTCTACATAATGAAAGCTTGTATTAATTGAAATCTATAGCCATTTTCCAAAAAAAAAAAAAAAAAATTAATCAATTCTATATACCCCCCTCCCATTATTAATACTTTAATTGTTTTATATATATATATATATTAATAATAATAGTAATAATTATAACCATATATTCCCCCCCATCAATTGTCTTCTAAAAGTTTCAATTAATCATCATCATCTTTATCTCATAATCTTTAAGACTAACTGTTTTTCTTACTCTTCTTTTTTTATTTTATTTTTTTTTATTTTCTCCTGATCTGAATATATATAAGCCCTGGTTTCTTCGATCGTGATTACTTGTTTTGGTTTGAAACTTTATGTATCGCCAATTAATAATAAATCAACGTTTTTTTTTTATCTTTTTTTCAAATTTTCTATTTTTTTTTTTTTTTCTTCTTCATCCCTTAAATTATGATGATCTCTTCTCTATCTCTATCTATCTCTCTCTCTCGTGATGTTTGCATTTAATTGCACAACTTTCTATATAAATAGATAAGCCTTTCTCATACTTTATACCCTTATTTGACTTTAGTTTATATATATATAATTGAGTTAATTGTCTTTTTTTTTTATTCTTTTTTGGTGCATATTATGGTCTACGCAGACTTTAAATATTATAATTATTATAATTATTATAAATACTACTTCAACTAATTTATAATTATTTTCATCTCATTTCTTGATAATCATCATATTCTTATCTCTATTTAAAAGAAATAAAGAAAGAGTAATTAATAAATAGAGAAAGAAAGAAATAATGAAAGAAAGAAAAACTCAATTCCATAAAGAATCACCCCCCACCCACCTACTCCTCTTTCTTTTCATCAAACCAGCCTCTTTATTTCAGGGCTTGATAATGTAGTATAAATATATAGTAATTACTATGATATATATAAAAAAAAAAGAGTATTTATACTAAAATAGTTTGAAGCTTTATTTGCCATCTTTGATTAAAAAAAATATATAATAATAATAATAATAAACTTATGCTAAGCTATTACCTTAACTATAATTAACTTAATAATAATAATAAGCAATCAAACTATATCAAACTAATTTAATAACTACTACCAAGAAATCCTCTTTTTTTTTTTTTTTTAAAGTTCCTGCTTTCTTTTCAACTTCTCCTTGTTCTGGGATTTTTTTAATTTTTTTAGTTCTCTTCTTTGCTTTTCGATCCTTTGCTGTGGATTTTTTTTATATACAAACCCATATTCTTGTCAATTCCAGTATAAAAAAAAAAGAAGAATAATAATAATAATAATAAACAAAAAAAAAAAATTAATAATAAAGTCCATATTCCATCATCAATTTGTTTCTTTTGTTTCTCTTCTCCACTTGTTTTTTTTTTTTTGTTTTTTTTTCACTTTCTTGCTTTTAAAAAAAAAAAAAAAAATTTCTCACATCGGGGGAAAAAATTTATACATACATACATATATATATATATATATATATATATATATATATATGCTTCTAATCAACTTTTACTTATTTAGGACATACTCCAGCCAACCAGCATCTCGCCTAAAGGATTTAAATAAAAAAAAATAAAATAAAAAGAATAGTCTTCAATGTAGAATTGGAAATTCAAATTATCAATCACCCGCCTCGGATAAAAAGTGAATTTTTTTTTTTTTTTGTTTCTCGATTATCTTCTCATTCAAATATTGGACCTTAAAAGAAAAAAAAATCATATCGTTTATCTTTTTATTTATTTATTTAGATATTTTTTTTAAATCAGTTTGAAACTGATATATAACCTTCAATCATATCTCTTTTTTTTTTATATCTTTCTCCTTCATTGACGTAGCCCTTTATTTTTTTATTTTATTTTTATTTTATTCCCTCTTGTCTAACTGTGCATATCATATGCTTATTATTATTATTATATCTTTTGTTTTTTTTTTTATTTATATATATAGTCCTTTTTAAATCAAAAAAGCTTACATTTTATTTTATTTTATATAAAAAAAAACGTCTCTCTCTTTTCCATTTTCCCCTGGACACGCGGGCTCTTCTTTGCTTTTCCCATCAACTCAAAACTAGCATACACATGTCTATTTGTTTATCTGTTTATCTGTTTTTATCTGTATGTATATATGTCTGATGTTAATAAATTCAATCATTCAACGTATACAATATTATTATTATTATTATTATTATTATTATTATTATTATTATTATTACTATTACTACTACTGATGCTTGTTTCTTGTTTCTGCCAGGCTGTTCATCTCAAATTGTCGCTTATCTTAACTTCATGACAGAAATTCCCACTTTTGATTCTCTTTTTCTTTTTTCTTGTAGAAATTTTTACTTGCATATATTCACATACAAAAAAAAAAAAAATTGTATTTTTTATATATATATATATTTTTACCATTATTATTATTATTATTATTATTATTATTTTTATATCACTATTAACCATTTGCTTATAATAAATATATATACCGCTTACCATTCACTAATACTACTGTACTACTACTACTACTACTACTAATACTAATACCACCACTACTTCACATTGATATTATTATCATTTGCTCAAGATAGTTACTATCACGACAACTTCCATAACCCGGAGGAGCATTTTTTTATTTTTTTTTTTTAGGAGAGAAAAGACACAAAGAAAAAAAAAAAAAAAAAAAAAAAACCCATTCATTAACTCTAAAATCGCTCAGCCCATATATATATATATATATATATAGGTATATATAGGTATAAACAGTTAACAAAATAAAAATAAAAAAAAATTTAAAGTAAATAAAATCAATTGTTAATGTGTATATCAGAAACAATAAATATATATCAGTCATATTTTCCTTCTTCTTCTTCTTCTTCTTCTTCTTCTTCTTCCGGAAATTTAAAAACTTTTTTCTTCCTTTCCATTTTTAAGCAAATTTTTAATTATTTCTTGCACCCTTTTTTTTTTTTTTTTTATTTTATTTTATATTTTTATTAGACAACATTTTACATTCCATGATTATTAAAAAAAAATTATTTTCCCTTTTTTTTTTTTATTCATTAAATACGAAAGGAAGAAAAAAAGGATAAATTTATAAAAAAAAAAAAAATTTAAGAATTTAAAAAATTTGAAAAAATTTTAAACAAAATTAAAGATAAAACATCAGCCGTGCGTGCATCTACCGTACGGCTGGCACTTTAATCTAAAAATAAAATAGAAATATGCGCCTTCCTTTCAATCATTTTTTTTATTTTTTTTTTTTATTTTAATTTTTATTTTTAAAAAATAAAAATTGACCTGCAATAGAACCCCAAAGGAAAGTAAGGCGACATAATGTTAATGTTGAATCTTTACGTGTAAATTGAAAATTATTTTTTAAATTAATTAGGAGGTAATTATTCAGGTGAGATGATTCAAGTGATTCAAGTGATTCAAGTGACTTACAATTCTATCATGTTGACAAAAATTAAAATGGAAAAAAAAAAAATAAACAACCCCTTTATTTCAATTCAATTAAGTCTAAGTCTATATCAAGTCTAGTATTTTAAGTCTAAATATTTTATTAATAAGGTACTATGTGTTAATTATCTTTCTCTCTCTCTCTCTCTCTCTCTCTCTCTCTTTTACTCCCCTGATTTTAGATTCTTAATATCATCATCTTATTTACCCGACATTTACTTGCCTTCAAACCAAACCAAACCAAAAAAAAAAAAAAATTACTTTGAGATTATTTTTAATTAATTCAGGGGGAGGGGAGGGGAGGGGAGGTTTTGGTGTTCAAAATATTAAAATAAAAATAAAAAATAAAAAATAAATGAGTGTGGCTTATCGTAAAAAAATTTAGTTTGATAGTTTATGTGGGGAGTTAAAAAAAAAAAATAAAATAAAAAATAAAATACTCCTTTCATCTTTTTAAAATTACTACAAATAATATCTTAATAAATCACTTTATATATTTATATATATTTATATATATATCATTTACTATAAAATCATTAAATTCATTAAAATCAATTGATACTGAAAAAACCCCCAACAATTGATAAATAGTTATCTTCCATTCTCTTCTTATTGTAGTTCCCATGCATTAAACAAACTTTCCATACTTTTCCTCTTAGAATGAATGTCGTCTCCCTTTAAAAAAAATTAAAAAATTAAAAAATTAAAAAATTAAAAAATTAAAAAAAAATTAATGTTTTTTAAAATCATAATAAATAATCTTCATTCTATGCCATCGTCAATCTTTTTATCCAAATCCCTGGGGAAAGTAAAAAAAAAAATTAAATAAATAAATAAATAAAAAATAAACTCTTCAATCTTTAACGGCATTTTTTCTTTTTTCTTTTTTTTTTTTCCTTTTATGCTTCTTCTTTATTTCTAAGTTAAAAAAAAAAAAAAAAAAAAAAAAAAAAAACCTATATATATATTATACAACATACATCAAAAAACCTTTAAAATAATCCCAACTTACCCCGAAGTTTAGCAGCCGCAGATTTATGTGAAGATGTATCCCCAGTATCATCATAATCCATCATCGACATGGCTCCAAACTCAGTAAATACCTTGGGATCAAGTCTTTCTTCATCGACCTTTTCAGGAGTCTTTACGTTTTTCAGGGGGTCTGCATCCCTCTTACCATTCTTACCATTCTTACCATTCTTACCATTCTTACCAAATCTAGTCTCTGCCGTCAAATTTGTGTCACTGGTAAAACTAGTATGGTCAACTTCTTTACTAATTTCACCATCCTCACCCCCTGACGCAGAACCAACTTCCCTCAAAGTCTCAGATCTGTTGCCTACTCTTTCAAGTGGCTCTAATGTAGCTCCAACCTTAACACTGTGTCTAGTACTAGAACTAGAACTAGAACTAGAACTAGTACTAGTACTAGTGCTTACACCAACTTCATTGCTACTTCCGTTTGTTTCATCTTCTGTTTCCACAAGTCCAGGCGTTCGACCACTGCTCCCGCTCCGTCGTCGCACGCCCTCGTTGCCATGTCTAACAGGGGTATGCGGCCGTGAAAACGAGGTTGCAGGGAAATGTAAAGGCTCAGTATGGTGACTTGGGGTCCGTGAAGATGACGAGGCTCCACGAGATAATCGTTGTGATACCCTTACAGATGCAAACTGTAAACGGGTGGGTGTCAATGAACTGGCAGATGTCCCCATCAATGACCCTCCTGACCCACCACTTGTAGTTTCAATATCAGCAACAGGCTCGTTTCCTAATGGATCAACATTAGCCTCAAAGGCTGAGGCTGAAGCTGAGGCTGAAGCTGTGGTTGCCGTGGTTGTTGTAGTAGGAATACTACCATCGTCATTCTCTGTTGCTGCGGCTGTCGTACTCAATGACACAAGACCCCCTGCGCTTACAGAGTAGTAAGAAGATGACGCAGCAGAAGTTAAAGAAGGAGCAGTGGACGACGACGATGACGACGACAACGACGACGATAATGATAACGATGATGCAGGCAACTCTCCAACTTGCTTTGGATTATGCTGCAGCTTCTCATCCTTTTCAATCGAACTAGAAGACTGTGACAGCGGAGAAGATGTGCCTGTTCCTGCACCTGGAAATTCGGAGGACGACGAAGACGTGATGTTGTTGAAAATAGATGCAATTGCAGAAGCTGCAACAGTTGCAGGTGATGATAATGATGATGGTAATGGTGATGGTGATGATGACGATGGCGATGACGATGTTAATGATAATGATAATGACGATGACGAGGGAAATGACGTAGATGATAAAAGACCCGCGGCTTTATTATCCTGTTGCTGTCCATCAATTGTAGTTGATGTCTGTTCTATCAACCCCTCCTTTTCTCGCGGCCGTGAATTCATCTCTTCAGATGTGCGACCAAACAATTCAGCCCAGTATTTGAGTCCACGAGTATTTGGCACAAGAACCATCTTATCTGCATCATACGCAAACTCTCTAGTACGATCATACCCAGTGCCTTTGCTCACAAACTCATGCCTCCGCGCCAAAAAGTAGTCCCATACAGACCGTGTTTTCTGCTCAACTCCTGCTGCCTTGCGCTCTGCTTCATTGTTATACAAAAACGTCCCGTACTGACAGCTGTATGTGTGATACAGTAGCCGCCGCAGGAACCGCTCCCCAAACTCAAACCGTTCAGGGAACTGTACAACCATTTGATAAACCGCGTCCAAAAACTGATGAAATACTGGAGACGTGTACTTCATGCTGTTGCCGCCACCACCAACTCCACCACTACCAAGACTCATGGTCGACTTGACAAACTTACTCCCCACTTCCCGCAAAACTTGATGTGCTTGTGCGTACCCATTACTGCCTCCATTGCTATTTCCATTGATTCCATTGGCCCCACCACTAACATTCCCATAATAGTCACTTGACCCCCGTGACCCCACCTGCGTCTCCACAAAATTGCGCTCTGAGTTGAGATGGCCAGATCGCTCTGCAAACCGATGTCCAAAAGACAACCATTCCTTTTCCACAAGAACCATAAACCCATCCAAAGTCCGGTAATATGGATCAAGCATAATCTCTGCAAGTCCTGCTAACTGTGCCGTCCGATCCCAGCCGTCAGAACAGTGAATTATAACATGCGAAAAGGCAACATGAACCTGCTGCGCAACAGTTACCGCACCATCCATAATGGTAGAAATGTATCGCAGCCAATTAGACTTGTAAAGAGCTTCTTTGGATGGCGGCCGCGAACTCAAATCACCTTCCTTGAGCGCTTCAACCATCCGGTTGAGTGAATCACGCATGACGTGGATATTATCAATGCCAAGATATACCTTTCGTGCTCCCTTGTAGTTTTCCATATTCTCTGACCCAGCCCCCAAAGCTGTTTGTGCCATGGCGTTGGCAGTTGGTCTGGCATCTACAATCAAGTTATCCTGTTTGTTTCCTGGAGTGATAGCTGTAAAATCTTTATTTCTCTGGCCATTTGGCAAAGGACTATTTACTGGCTGGTTAGAGGCAAAAATCGCTGCTGCAATCTTTTCATCTTGAGCTGATCGGCTCTGTTTGAAGCCCACCATGGGTTGAGAGCACCGCGTGATGGTGCACCCGTTAAATGCATGATAGTAAGTGAGAGCTGGGACACGCGCTTTAGATCGAAACTTGGCGCCGTATGACAAGACAGAATCCGAAATGCATGCTGGAATAACAAGAACAGCGGGGTATGTTGGTGACAATTTGTAGTCAGCATTAATATTGGTCAAGCGCCAGTTGCTCTGGGCCACAAGGGAATCGCCATTCGATTGATGGGGGGCATTGGCTGGGGGGAGAGCACCCATGCGGCGGAACTCTTGAAGAGGATTGTAAAGAGTCCATCCATTAAATGAGCGCTCGTGAGAAACAGGTTTGTAGATAAATGCGTAAAGGCGTGACACATCCGAAACACAAGTGAGACGGAGCAGACTGTCAAAGGTATCTTTTGCGGCCGCGTCGGTGGTAAAGGAAAATGCAATGTATGTAAAGTCTTTACATCGAATGCGAAGGGTATTTGGAGTATGATGGGTGATTTTTGGGATTTTTACGATTGTTGTTGTTGTTGTTGTAGGCCCCGCGTGTTGCTGTTTGCTGTTTTCATATGGATTTGAAGATATTTCTGTCGTTGCAGCATTGTTATTTGAGATTGATGAAAGCGCATATTCTGGAACTGGAGCTGGAGCTGGAGAGTTGCAGTATCGGCGCTCAACGTGGGAGATTATCGGGTAGCAGATCCAAAGCTCTCGTTTGGATTCGTTATCGCGAAAGATGACGTGGTGGGTAGTGAGATGAAGAGTACCGATGGAGCTGTTCCCCAGCCGAGTACAGATAACGTCCGGGACCTAAAAAGGTTAGTTTTTTTTGTGTTATTACTAGATTATTAGAATCAGAATCGAATTTAGCCTACTTTTGCAATTTTGATAAAGTCCATGGTTCGTGATTATAAAAGAAAAAGAAGGAAGGTCAAAAAAAAAAAAAAAAAAATGCGAGATATTCGTAAAAAAAAAAAAAAAAAAATAGTGTCAAATAAAACTGACAGGCGGCGGTAACAGCAGTAGCAGCAGTAGCAGCACTTAATTTTAATCGTTTAGTGAGGATGGTTTTTAATGTTGGGCTGAGCAAATATATGTCACGTGAATCATAAATTTGTTACAATTACAACTTTTTAATTAATTAAAATAAAAAATAACTTAAATTACAACTTTGTGTTACATATTTTGATTACATTATGGTTTACATCACAGTCAACCAATCAGTGCGACCCGGTTTCTGTACAAACCAAAATAAAAATAATAAAAAAAAAAGAGAGAGAGGACTTTTTTTTTTTAAATCTTTTTTGGCTTGCCAGTCTTCCCTAGTACATCATCATCATTAACCACCACAACCACCACAACCACCACCACCACAAATATTTCAATTTCTATACTCATAATATAGAAGCAAACTAATCCACCCCCTCCCATCACCAAATACCATCCTTTGAACAATTAACACATTAAAAATGGTTAAACCAGACTTTTGGGCCCAGCCTCTTCGCGTATGTTGATTGTAATTGCCCTTAATATCCTTAAAACAATGCTAACCACAAAAAAACTTTCTTTCTTTTTCAACCGTTATACAGTACATTAGATGGAGTGCTCACGAACAACCCACCCTCTTCTACACTGTCATCATTGGTGCTGCCGGACCTCTTTTCGCTCTTACTCTCACTCCCCTGCGAAGGAAGTATCTCTTTGCTGATGCCCCTGAGATTCCTCTGACTTACCCTCTTCCTCAAGCCAGAAACAAGGAACTTGCCGGCTACGATGACGAGTAAATTATAAACTTGAAATGAATGAAATGAAAAAAAAAACAGTACATATCATAAACTATACTCATACCCAAACGCTCATATTCACACAAACCTCATAAACAACCAGCCATGACCATTCTCAGTAGAAGCTCCTGGGGGGCTCTCTCTCAGAAACTGCAATGTTTCAATGCACATCTGTTTTTTTTTTTTTTTTTTTTTGAAAGTTATTAGAATTTTTTTATACGTTATTATCAAAGTTAAAGTAAATTAATTGCATTTTTTTTTATTATCATCAAAATAAAAATCTCAAGTTTGAGATTATGGATAAGACTTGGATCTTTTCAAATATCGATTGGCTCGGGGATTGCTGTGAAAATTACGCGTAGATAATTACTTGTGGGGAGTGTAAAAATATGGTAGTTAAACAGATATCGTATGTTATAAACACACCTAGATCAAAAAAAAAAAAAAAAAAAAAAAAACACATCCACTAACCTTAAAACTTTTCTACAATCATGATAAAGGCTATTGTCAATCGTATAGACTTGTGATTCAATTGATTATCTTATATTATTTCAAGTTAATCCAAAAAAAACATATTGCACTACCCAATCATTATAGAAAATATTTACCATGATTTATCAGGCCCATATTAATCTTTCAATTAACATGATCATGTCAATTTTAAAATCATGAATCTTGTAAATTCATTTCCCAAACACATGTGACTTTACTATTATTTACTACAGGTACCAACTACATAAAACCAATTTTCATTTAAATTTGAATACTAGAATGTTAACTTTTGAATACTTTAAATAAAAAACTACAAATATATATATATATATAAACCTAAAAAAACCAACAATAATACCTCAATCCTTTTTAAGACTGCTTTCTATTGACAAATCATTCTCCGCAATAACATCACTTTCAATAAACTGATTCAGTTCTTCTAATGTTTGTTTTGGGCCAGTGAACCACTTTCTTGCATCAATGTAGTAATATGCTAACGACCCTAGCCATACAGTTCCATTAATAACAGCTGTATAGTTCATTGTATCTTTTGTAGGATCTGGTCCTGAAAGGGGGAACATTGTTAAACACACAATGACAAACGTGCCAAAAATAGTTGCAATAGATCCCACAACTTTAGACCCAATTCTACCAAGATAAAAGGGACCTGGCTTAAATGTATCGACATTGAAAACCACGCGCATAAAAATGGGGATAATCCATGCGAGGTAGTTTGATGCAACGGCAAGCGAGAAAAGAGCACTGGTGGCCGCAGTGTCAATTAACGAAAGCAGGGCAATGATGAGAGCTAATGTGCAAATAAACCACATTGCACGGAGAGGAGATTGTAATTTGACGTTGAGGACACGAAGCCAACGAGAAAATGGAAGAGCACCATCGCGAGAAAAGGCCCAAACTTGGCGAGACCCTGCAACAGCAACAGAAAATCCCATAAACCATTGAATTACAAACAGACAAGTCATGATTCCTATAGTCCAACGCTTACCTAAAGCATCATAAAGAATTTGAGCCATTGGTTGACCAGATGAAGCACCTAGAAGATTTTCAATGTTTGTATCCATGGAGGCTGCAATAACTGCATTTATGAAGAAACCAAGGATTCCACATAATGAAATAGACCCAACAATACCAAAGGGGACTGCAACAGATGCATTGGAAGCTTCTTCAGCCATATGAACACATGAATCAAATGCACAGATTGTCCAAACTGGTGAGAGCCAGGAGAGGATAAAGCTGAAGCCTTGGGGCCATGTATAAAAGTTTTCCATATGGCTAAAAACGTATTTACCTGAATTAATACCCCCAGCGTTCCTTGCTTTACCAATAGGCAAAGCAATCATAGTGACCACAATAACGACAGCATTTGTAATAATACAAAAAGTTTGCATTTTAGCCACTAGTTTAGAGGCAAGCGCACCTGCAATTCCATGACTAATGACTGTAGCTGCAAACACGCCATATGTGTGGTACTTTGTGGGACTATATCCTCCATCGGTAGCAATTGCAGGGACTGAAAGTAGTAAAACTGAAAACCCATAATCAATTGACACAAGAGCACCAGTAAGACCAAGAGAACTGGCATAACCAGCTAAGAAACATAGAGGCTTACGGACAGATGGAGGTGAAAACTTGTATGTCCACCAGTAAAGGCCACCAGAAGTAGGCATGGCAGAACCCATTTCTGCCATAGACATACCAACGGTCAAAATCAAGCATGAGGCAATAAGCCAGCCCCAAGTCATGCCAACTGGTCCTGCTGGCAGAGAATACACAAGAACTGAGGCAATGGAGGGGAGTAAACTCATAATACTAAAGGCAATTCCAAAGACTTGGATAACCGAAAAATTGCGTTTAAGCTCAGGAGTATAGCCAAGTTCTTTAAGGAGAGTGTCGTCTTTGTTGTCACCAGGCTGATCACCTAGTTCAACGGAGATTACTTTTTCGTCATGTATACCCATTGTTTGTAGAATGAAGATGTAAGATTTTTTATTGAGTGAAAAAAAAGGAATAAAAGAATGAAATAGAGATATTTTAAAGACTATTTATATTTTAAACTAAAAGGATAAAAAAAATCATAAGTTTCATTTGAACCACATAGCTAGCTATTATTGAATAAACTGGTTGGGTCGTTAAGTTTATTTTTTTTTCAGTACTTAACAAAACACTCAAGCCGCATATGATTTTTTTTCTGCTTTTGGAAAATAAATAAAAAATGGTACAGTAGCAGAGGTCACTTGAACAATAATAATAAAAAAAATCATTTTTTAAAAAAAGAAAAAAAAGAAAAAATTTTAACAAGTAAATTCACTCGGTCTATAAAAAACATTGGTTGAAAATTGAACATATTTTTCAAAAACATGGTGGGGGGAAAATTAATATTCGGATGGAGCTTCTTCAATGGGTAAGAGATGGAGGGGTGGTCTGCTCCATTATTACTTTGAGTACTCAAAGATGGAGAGAACATTAACAAAATTAAAGAATAGGGCTTGCATGAAAGAAAATGTGGCTTCCTGATGACCTAGAAAAGAGAGCTGTAACCGAACATTTGCTAAAAAACAAGCACTTCAACTGCTAGTTTAAAAGGGAATTAAAGACATGAAGGTTTTTTGTATTTCATTTGTTTTTCCATTCAACGTTTCTATTCAACTCCTAGTTTTAACATTTTTGAATCAAAGAGCAAAATGAAAAATCTTTTGTTCGTTTAAATAAATAAATGAATGAATAAATAAATAAATAAACAAAAAAACCATGACAAAATAAAGCATTTTGGGCTCAAGTTTTTCTAAGTTTAGAAATTCAAGAGCTTGTCAGATCCTCATAAAATAACATCATTTCACGTTTTTCAAAACATATCATTAGGGAAAATGAAAACTACCGATTTTCTCCGAGAAATGAATATTCCATGCAAAGGAATAAAAAAAGAAAACCAATTTGAATGTTAAGCTTAATTGATTTCATGTTAATCTAACGGTCGGTTTCAATATCTGTTATGACAATCGATCCGTATTATCGGACCCTAGAGCTGTTTCGATACCCGACTCATTTGAACAAAAAAAAAGTGTTAAAAACCATCAAACTATTTGATTGAAAACTGGAATCGAGTTTCAACCCGAAATCTACACTTTAATTGGGCAATATAAGTCTATGACTTGATTTTTTTTAAGCTTATAATTGTTCCATGTGACGATAAGCCACCTGGAGCCTCGATTTTTAATTCTTGGCTCTTTCGATAACATGATAATGACCTTATCGGTAATAAGGAACAAAAAAAAAAATTAATACAAATTTCATCATCATCTCATGAAAAATTTCCCCAGGAATATATACAATGAATAAAAAAACAAGCGTTTCGTCTATTTACAGATGGATGAATAATTAATAACACAAAAGAAAATGAAAGCAAATTGATCAACAAATACCACTTTTACCCGACACAATTACCACTGGTATTGGTTAGATCCTCTGTAAACCTTGATGGGGGCATTGTGATGTTGCTGCCAAACCTTGCGGTTGGCAATGCGGTCCTTCTTAGCCTGCTCAAACTCTTGCTTGGTCTGCTTAGTCTTAAGAATGGCCTTGATGTGAATGTAAGGGTGGTGCATGATACCAGAGCGACCACGACCCTTAAAGTGAACACGTTTCTGAATGAAGGGCTCCTTTCCAACCCAGATCTGAGAAATGTAAAGCTGTTCAGGATCAATCTCAAGCTTCTTTGCATGGTCAATACCTCTTGTGAGCATCTCACCAACATCACGGGCCATGCGCTTCTTAGAGAAGTGGCATTGGGTGATAGCTTGCTTGAGATCCATTTCACGCAGCAGTCGTGTAAAGACAGTACCCTTCTTGTAGGAACCCTTAATGCGGACAGATGTCAGGTAGACGGAAGGTTGAAGGAACTCGAGCTCCTCACGGGTAAGAGAAAGCTTAAAGCGGCGGCCGTCAGGGAGAGTGATGATTTGCTTAGGAGAGTAGGAGCCATACTGAGCAATAGCGGCCTCGTAAATTTCACGCTTGAGTGGTGACAGAAGGATTTCTGTAGGCTTCTCAGGCTTGGGGAAGTTGTGTGCAAGCACGTCGGGGTCGTTGGTAAAATCAACCTTGGTGTAGTCAATGGCCTCTTCCTCCTCAGAGCCATCTTCCTTCTTTTTCGGGGTCTGAGATTCACCAGCACGCGAGGCCACAGTGTCGAGAACAGTAGAGCCGGTAGGAGTCGTGATGTCTCCAAAAAGAGACGAAGTGGATTGCTGGTCTTCTTCAACTGCAGTGGAAGTCTTTTTCCAGACGGGGGCTGAAGAGTGAAGTGCACGCCGCAAGACAGGAGCAGCAGTACGGCATTGTGTGGGAGCTGCTGAGATGGAGAGCTGTCTGAAGCAAGACGTCAGTGACCGGGAGAGCATTGTGGGATGGATGTGAGGGTGGGTGTGGTCAATGAGGGATGATGATGGGTATGGTATATGAGAGGGTATGAAAATTTTTGGTGGTGGTGGTGATGGCCAAGACAAAAAAATTTTAATTGGTGGTTGGGCAGAACAACAAGATCAAAAGAAATTTCACAAGATGACTAATGATTAATAATGAAAATTATTACAATATTTTGTCACAAAACAATTTCACTTGTCAGGCACGCTTTCAGCCTTTTCTTCTCCACCGAGCCCAACAAGGCATCGTTATTTTTTTTTTATCGTTGCAGTTGCTTGCCTGGGAAAAAAAGGAAAAAAAAAAGAAAATTCTTTATTTTATTTTTTATTTTTTTATTTTTTTTTTGATACTAAGATCCACAATTTTTAAATGGATCTTGTTTAAAATTTAAAATTTTTTAAGGAAATGGGGGAGGTGTTGAAAACTAAAAAAAAAAAAAGGATTACTTTCAATATAATACTTTTTGGCAAAAAATACCCCAAACTATAAATCAATTAATTTCCATTTTGGTGATCTGAGTAGTGATTGTGCAATACTTACGTATATGCTCATATATATATATATATATATATTAAAACATTTAAATTTAGGAATTTTTTTTTTTGTTATTAAAATTTCACTATGTTGAAGCTCATGAATTTGAGTGAATATAAAAAGCCAGATGGCACTTTATAAATAGGCATTGATTGTAGTCTGGTCAAGCCCCTCATCTAAGAAACTTTCTGGGATAAGTTATATATGAGTCTTTCACTTACTAGATTAAGAAAAAAACTGGGTATTATGCTAAAAAGATTATTTACTAAAAATCAATCTTTTGTAGAATAAAAATATCAAGAATAATAATTATAAAATTTTTTTTTAAAAAAAAAACGACCCTTTTCTTCTTTCCAACTCATATTTCTTCATTTTCTGAGAAACAAAAAAAATAAAAAAAAAATAAAAAAAAATTCTTTTATCCCTTCTGTTTCAATTATATCCATTAATTTATTAATTCATCAATTTATTATTTTCAACTTCTTCTTCGTTATCATTCAGCTTACATCTTAAATAATTTTTTTTTTTTGACAAAACGAACTTGTCCTTGTTGAGGCCTCAACGTTTGCTTGTCACCTATTTTTATTATTTCATGTCACTTTCATCATCTCCACCGACTGCGCTGGGGTCCCAGAAGCAGCAGCAAGAGCAAGAGCAAGAGCAAGAGCAAGAGCAACAGCGGCAGCAAAGACAGCAGCCTAGAAATGAGACTCTGCAGGGGACTTTTGACCAAGGTTACGTAGCATGTGAACCTAGTCTTGGAGGAATTATTAGTAACAGTGAAAACCGCAGTAATAGTAGCAGCAATAACAATAAAGACCGGCTCAAGGAGCGATTGTTTTTGGACCCTAGAGCACTACGGGCTGCCCAAGAAACCGCAAATATCCCATCACCAGCGCTGGATTCGCCGGTGACGACTGGGTCTCCATTTGATGATAGTAATTCTATTGATATGTCTGCTATGACGCAAGTGCTTAAGGCATCGTCTTCATTATCGCCATCATCTTCTTTGTCTTCTGCATCGTCATTATCGCGTCCAGTCAGCTATACCCCAGAAGAAGGCAGTCCAACAACACCTGCAAGAGCCCGTAATCATCACCATCACCATCATCATCATAGTCAAAGTCAAGGACAGAATCAAAGTCATGGTCATAATAATGTGTCTGGGCATGGACATAGTCACAGTTACAGTTACAGCCATGGAGTTCATGGCCATTTGCGACATCCGTCATTATCCTCATCTTTTTCAACCACCTCGAGTTGGTCTACTGGCACAGCCACAACATCGAGTCTGGCTTCTGCACCTACAAGTACAGCACCGTCTTCTGCTTCGAGCACATCGAGCCATTATAAACAGCAGTACCATAATCATCAAAAGGAATGGCGTACGAATGCACAAAAATTGCCGGAGCCGGTCTCGGGATCCAGAGCCATGGGGGATAGTAGCATTACTCTTCAACAGGGTAGGGAAGATGGAGATAGCGGCGGCGGCAGCGGCGTCGGTGGTGGTGATGGTGGCAGAAATAGTAGTGATGGGTGCAGCAATGTTCTAGGCAGTGGATATGCACGGCTGGGTAACCATGACAACTCAGACAATAGGTCCTGTTTAGGAGGAGCCCCCCTGGCTGGATCGTCGCTGGCTGGTTCTCAGGCTGGCGGCAGGTTGGCTGGGTCGAATAATAGTGATGGTGATGATTTTGGGTTTACAGTTACCACTGGGAAAAGCAAGAGCAGTCCAGTCTCTATTTTTGTTTCTAATGGTACCAATAGCATTGTTGGTGTTGCTGCTTGTGAATCTGAAGAGCCCAGAGTTGGAACAGAAGCTAAATGCACCACTGACGACACCGAAAGTAATGCTACTGCTAATACTACTGCTACCACTGCTAATACTAATACTAATACTACTACCACCACCACTACAAACTCTGTTGTTAGCACCACAGCGCCCCAAACCGCCAGCGTAGCCGCCTGCCACTATTCTCCAACCCTAACCTCTCAATTATCTGCCCATATTAACACTACTACTGCTGCTACTGCCACCACCATTACCACTGCTGCCACTTCCATTTCAACCACCACAAACTCCTCCTCTTCTTCAACATCACCATCGTCATCCATCCCAACATCACCTCTACGCCGATACCTCCACATTAGACCGCCAGACCCTGTTCTGGCTCCGTCCACAAACTTAAAAAGTAATTTAAACATTCATCAGGTGACGACTCCGATCTCACCGGTATCTCGACAGACATCTTATTCAGCTGTCACCTCTCCCATATCTCCACCCTCTGTAGCCCCAAACCATTTAAACAAGCAGCAACAGAATACCAAGCAGAAACAACAGCTTCAACTACAGTCTCAACCGCAACAACAATCAAAACAACAATCACCTGCCGAGCTACAACATTCAACTTCTTTAGACTCATCTCGAAACTTCACGGCTATCCCCACAAAGCAATACCGACATCAACATTCAGCTTCCGTTCCGGTACCCCCTTTGCAACTACCTCCTTCTTCATCTCAACAAGCTAAAATGTCAACATCTTCTCATCCTCCTTCTCAAGCTATTCCCGCCACTACCCAAGCTCAACAAACATCATCGCACTATAGAACTTCTTCGCGACATTCATCAAGCAATGGGGTTAATAGCAATGGCCATGGCAATGGCCATACAAACGGCAACACTAACGGCAATGGAAATACAAACACTACAAATACTTCATCTTCAACAAACCCTCCCCAAACAAAGGTTCACCGACGCCGGTCAATTGGCAACTGGGATCTTATTAAAACCGTCGGTGCTGGTTCTATGGGCCAAGTAAAACTTGCCCGGAACAGAGTCACAGGCGACTACTGCGCCGTCAAGGTCGTCCCCCGCGCTACCGTTGAGCACCGCCGGCGGCTTCAGCAGCAAGCTGCAGAAGGCCATCCGCCAGAACCCCAGTCCAACAAAGAGTCAGACGAGTCGAAAGATATTCGTACTGTCAGAGAAGCTGCAATTGGCAGGCTTCTTCATCACAAGTACATTTGCCAGCTCTATGAAATGCATGTCATGTCATCACATTACTACATGCTTTTTGAGTATGTTTCTGGTGGACAAATGCTTGACTACATTATTGCCCATGGTTCTCTTAAAGAAAAACAAGCACGAAAATTTTCGCGGGCCATTGCGTCGGCCTTAGATTACTGCCACCATAACAGCATTGTTCATCGAGGTATTTATTTTAACATTGCTACAATTGCTTTTTTCACCTCCTTTTTTTTTTTTTTTTTTTTTTTAGAAAGAAAAACTTTACTAACACTAATTCCTTTGTCTAGACTTGAAGATTGAAAACATTCTCATTTCTCAATCTGGTGATATTAAAATTATTGATTTTGGTCTCTCCAATCTTTTCTCAAGTGATCACCTCCTGCGTACTTACTGCGGATCTCTCTACTTTGCTGCACCAGAACTCCTATCCGCCCACCCTTACGTGGGCCCCGAAATTGATGTGTGGAGTTTTGGTGTTGTACTTTATGTACTAGTCTGTGGCAAAGTCCCCTTTGATGATCAGTCTATGCCTGCTCTCCATGCTAAAATTAAGCGTGGGTTTGTCGAGTACCCTCCCACAATCACTCCAGACTGCAAAGATCTTCTCTCACGCATGCTTGTAGTTGACCCAACTAACCGTGCCACTCTCCAAGAAGTTCGCCACCATCCCTGGATGGTCAAGGGATACGACAAACCTCCGGACTCTCATATTCCTAATCGCCAGCCTCTGCGCTTGCCTTTAGATCCCGCTGTTATTCATGATATGACGGGGTTTGAATTTGGTTCCGAAGAGCACATTACCAAGAAGCTTACTGCAATTTTGGAGTCTTCTCGCTACATTAGTGCATGCCGCGAGTGGTACCGTGTCCGTGGCATTGATATGGACTCAGGCATTCCTGTTGTTGATAATAACAACTCTTCCGGCTTAACTGGCTCCGCTCATGAACAAACCAGAAAGTCAAGACATTTTAGCATTGACTTTTACAAGCGCAGATCTTTTTCTGGTGATGATCTCAATGGTAATTCAAATTCCCTCCCAATTGGCTCTCCATCTGGGCCCATGCGCACTCAAGATCCCACAAATGCATACCATCCTCTGATTTCTATTTACTTTTTGGTTCATGAAAGACAGGAACGACTTCGCAAGGCTAAACTAGAAGAAGACCTTAAGCAGTCTCAACATTTGTCACCACAACAGTCTTTGTTGTTGCAACAGTCTCAGCAGCAAGCTCAGCAGCAACAACAACAGTCGCAGCAAATTTTACAGCAACTTCAGCAGCAACAACAAGCTCAGCAGCAACAACAGGCTCAGCAACAGCAGGCTCAACAGCTGCAACAGGCTCAGCAGCAACAACAACAACAACAGTCGCAACAAATTTTGCAACAGCAACAACAGCAACAGCAACAACAGCAACAACAACAAGCTCAAGCTCAAGCTCAAGCTCAAGCTCAACAGCAACAGTTTTTGCAACCTGCATACCAGCCTCAGACTCAACAGCAGCAACTACCTCATACTACGTCACCGCAGATGGTGCATGCTGCTATTGCATCGCCATCACTGCAGCCGCAGCAACAGCAGCAGACTCCAACCATCCAGGTTCAAGACCTCAGCACTACTCCATATTCGGGACAACAGTACAGAGAACCTCCTCAATCTCCTCCACACAGACAGTTTGCATTGCAACCCACGTCTCCTGGCGCACCTACTCCTGCTTATAATTATCAACCTCTTGTACCTCTACCTCAACAACAGCAGCAACAGCAACATGATGAAAAACGCTTTTTGGCACCTTCTATTCCTGCTCCTGAAGCTGTTCACACGTCAGCACCTACCTCTTACACTGCTTCTTCTGCATATGCACAGCCACAACAACAATCACAGCAAGGTTTGACTCCTAGTACTTCTAAAGGCCGTGCACGTTCAAGAACACACGGCGAGTCTGATTCTTCAGAGAAACTATTTATTTTTGGCGGGAGTAAAAACAATGCTGCTAGCCACACAAACAGCAACAATAGTGGCGGCGGTGGCCTGAGCTTTACTACAAACTTATTGCGTCGGTTTAGCTCTAAAAGAAAAGCCTCAAGAGAATCTCCACAACAGCAATCTTTGCTTACACGGCCTCAAAGCAGACATCATCACTCGCAAAGTGCTGCTCCTGCGTTTAACGATATCGGCTTGAATGAGGATGGCTCAACGTCTCCTCCTTCGAACCTTTCTCGTAATGCAACAACAACTGCTGGCTACAAGCAGCAGCAGCAACAACAACAGCAACAACAACCTACTGCCAATGTCACTTCTCCTCAACAGTCTTACAATCCACAGCAGCAACAACCTCCCCAAAACGCTCAACATCTTTCCAGATCTGTTTCGAGCAAACCTTATCCCAAGCCTGGCTATTTGGACCCCAATGCTTATGCTAGCCACTCAATCAGTGCAGCCACGAGCGGTGGCTACGGAACAGCCACTACAACTCCCGGAAACATTGCCATTGCTGCCTCGAAACAAGGGACATTTACTACTGGCTCACTTTCTCGAAAGTTTCATCCTTCTGCTCGTGCAAAATCTCTTGGTCATGTTCGCCACGATCAGCAGCAGCAGCAGGGTAATGTTCCTCCTCCAAGACCACCTCGCGACGACCTTGGATCGGTCCCACCTGTGCCGGCCATTGCAACGTCTTCTGGCACTGCTACTCCTGCCGATAGCGCTGACATTGCAGATGAATTCTTTGATCAGTATTATGGAAGCAACGACTCTGACGAGACTGAAGGCAGAAACAGCAGTAGTAACAATTCGAGCACTAACCAAGTTTCTAATCCTATTGCAGGGGCTTCGGCAACTGCCACTATTACTTCACCTACCACGAGTAACAGCACATCTGGAGTACCGGCTAGAAGTGCGGGTGCTAAGGGTTCTCTTGCACCTGGTGCGTCGATTGCTGCAACTGGAGGACAGACTCTTGTTAAACAAGCATCTAACGTTTCTTCTAACCACCCTGCTCCTGGCCAACCTGGAAGTATGCCTTCGATTGATTATCCCAAGCAGGTGTTTCTCAAGGGTTTCTTTTCTGTTCAGTCGACATCCACCAAACCCCTTGCCTACATCCGGTCCGATATTATTCGTGTACTGAACCAGCTAGGTGTGGAGTACCAAGAGATTCGTGGTGGATTTTCTTGTATTCATCGTCCTTCGTTGCGCGATGATGGCAATATGCATAGCCAACAGTATCTTGCGGCGCCAGGCTCGCCTGCTGTGGGAGGAGGTGCGGCGCACTCGCCTCCCAACTCGCCGCAGGCTGGCGATGCTCCTCAGCGCGGGCACTGGCGTAAGCTGTCGTTTGGTTCTGGATTTTTCTCTAACCGACGGAGCCGGCACCAGAATGAATCTACCAATAATATTTTTGATTTGTCGTCCGACTTGTCTACGGATAGCGTGAGCGCGTTTACAAACAATGGCCTCATGATTACCAATTCCAGTGGCAGCAATGCTCAAATTGCACAACCGCCACTGTCTGCGGCTGGGTCACTTGGAAGCCCACAGTCACCGTCTACAGGAGGTAGCGGAGGGTTCCGCAGTGGAGGCACGAATGGCGGAAATGGTGGCAGTGGCACGTACAATGCAGGTGGGTCTGACTTGTTATCGTCAACGACTGGAGCTCCCACGTCTAATTTGTCGCAGGTGCGGACTCCTTTGCAGTTTGAGATTTGGATTGTTCTTGTGCCTATTCTCAAGTTGCATGGTGTACAGTTTAAGAAGCTACGGGGTAATTCGTGGTTATACAAGAATCTTGCGACGAAGATATTATCAGAGCTTAGATTGTAATTTTATTTTTGGCTATTAACAATTAATAACAAGAAATGAAAAAAAAAAAAAAAAATTACAAGAAACCAAAATTTTAAAATAAGGAAACAAAAAAAAAAAATTTAATTAAAAAAATTAAAAAAAAAAAATAAATAGAGAAAGGATTAGTGAGTGTTTTTTTTTTTTTTTTTTTTTTTTTTTTTCAAATTTAAAAAACAGAAGGAGTTGGAATGACATAATAATATATAATAAAATTTACTAGTATATTTTGAGATTGAAATAAAGAAAAGTATATTTGAAATATTCTTATGAATTTGTATGTGATCTCATATCCTCATGAGAGTATCTAGACAATAAATCAATGAATTGAGTCAAGTTGAGTCAAGTTGGGTCAAGTTGGGTCAAAACTGTGTCAAGTTGGGTCATGAAAGTAAGTTTTGGTAAGTTATTAAAATAGGTAAGCTATAAAGTACCAGGTAAGAAATAATTTTGTAAATTATATATCACGTGAATACTTATAGTGTAATACATTGATCTTATAAATGCTTAAAATTTTTTTTTTTTTTTTTTTAAAATTTCTTGCAGCACCGCCTTTTCTTCTTCTTCTTCCTCCTTCTTTCTTCTTTCTTCTTCTCCTTTTTTCCATATCAACAGAATTTTAGTCATTCTTCGGTTCTTTTAAGCTCCCTCTTTTCAAACACAGCCACTTTCTACCACCCTATATAAAGGCACATTTTTCTTCCCTTTTAATTTTTTTTTTTTCAACTTTACGGTTTATCTTTTAGTTTTTCTCTTTTATCTTCATCACTCCTCTTTTTTGTATGTCCACGTCCATCGACAACCTCAAATCTTTCGATCCCTTCGCCGACACTGGTGACGACGAGACTCACACACCTGACCACATCCACATCCGATGCCAGCAGCGTAACGGCCGTAAGACCATCACCACGGTGCAAGGCATTCCCAAAGAATATGACTTTAAGAAGATTCTCAAGTCCTTGAAGAAGGACTTTGGCTGCAATGGCCACATCAACAAGGACGAAGAGCTTGGCGAAATTCTCCAGCTTCAGGGCGACCAGCGCCAAAAAGTTACAGACTTTTTGACCCAACAGCTCAATATCGATAAGAAAATTATCCAGGTCCACGGCTTTTAAGCCTTTGTGCCTGTGGATATATAAAGCAAAGCAGAGTGGAAATGAAGAGGCTCATGCTATATGGTATTATCATCATCACTATGTTACTATCCATGCTTGTTTCTTTTAACTTCATCACTTGTTATTTTTTACGATTACTGGTTTCTTTTTGATTGATTATTATTATTTTTGTTGTATTGTTTTTTTTTTCTTGTTCATTATTTTTCCCAGAGTTTTTTTTTTAATTTGACAACACTTGTCATGATGATTGGGTGTACTAATTAGGCTTAATCTCTGGCGGTGGGTGGCAAACTAAAAAGCTTGCTGTTTGAGTTTTTTAACTTTAATAATCTGGGATTTTTACTGAATATATATATCAAAATCAAATATTAATATCTTTTTTTTTTTTAAAAAAAAAACTTCTTGTTTATTGTAAATGTTTTTATCTTATAAATTGTAAAGGAAAGAATTTAGTTTATTATCATTGAGGTGTTTAAGGAGACCTAATTAAAAAAAAAGGTTTTATGGCTGCGATCTAACACTAACCAGCTTTGTCATTGACACGGCCATCCACAATAGTGATGATTATTCTTTCTTCTAATTCATGATGTCACTACTAAGAAGTTATTAAGAGCTTTTTGGTGTTGAAAGCACTTCTATGATTATACTTTCGGATTAGAGTGAAATCCAGCCGAGGCTCATCTAATGTTAAGACCCACGATAATGTAAATAAAAAAAAAAAGAGACTAAAAAAAAAAGACACCTGTAAAAATTCATCATAAAAAAAGAAAACCAATTTCATCTCCTGATGAAAAGTCTTGAAGATATACTTTATTATATATTAAACAATTAAAAAAGCTTAGATTTTCTCATACAATATGCATTCTAATACTAATCAAGGTCCAGAGAACCACTCAAGGGGCACCACATTCTTTGCCAAAAGCAGGATATATAATTACTTAACTAGCAAAAGATTATAATGTAGGTAAACTATAGTTAACCATTGCTTGCTGTTTCTTTTAATCATTCTTATAGGAGGAGTTTGAGTACATGATTGGATATCTGTGAATAATACACGTATTTCCGCGGACATCTTTTTTTCGTGTGTTTGTAGAAAATTTTATGATGATAAGCCTTTACATCGTATAGTTAAATAAATAGCTGAACAAAGTTATAAGGGCCAAGTTAACATTTAATTAACGTTAAATTAACATGATAAATTTTTTAACAAAACTGAAGCTTAGAGATTCTATTTTGGTTTACCAGTACTTAAATATCTTATCAGAAGCAAGCAACTTGATTAAATAGTATTGTAAATAGAATGAACTAACTTCTTTCTTGCTTTCTTATCTAAAAAGCCAATGTGTTTCTATTTCTATGACTAGTAATAGCAAGCAGATCTATGTTTTATAATTTAGACATTTTGTTTTACATTTTTTTTTTAAGATTCATTTTATCTATTCTAAGTTTATAGTAACATGTTTCCTTAAAAAAAATTAGAAAAATTTCATGGAACCTTTTGAAAGAAGAAAAAATGCACTGCTGCTGCAACTTTAGATTTCACTATATGTTCTTTAAGGTTGACCTTATCGATGAGAGTCGTTTACATATTTTTTCATTTTCTTAAATTAAACTGTTTATTAAAAAATGAACTATTATTTATGAAATTACTATTCAACTGCTTGATCGTTTAGTAGACATTATTTCTTTTTTGTTTTTTCATTTAATAACTATGAATCAAAATGGAACGCTTATAAATGTCATTTTGGTGACATGATTCTATATTAAGTATCAAAAGCGACCATCTACAAACACATTAATCGATTTTTTCCAGAAAGAAATAATTAGAGGAAAAAAAAGAAGCTTCATTATGTATAAAACTCCACTCTACCATCTCACTTTTCCAGTATGATTCTAGTTTCATAAAGTTGCATCAAAAACATGTAAAAGCACATGCACTCCACGATAATAAGCCTTACGATAAACCGTCAAAAAGCCGTCAACCAAGCTGATTGATATAAACTACTTTTTTAGGCTAACTCTGAAGAAAAATAGTTGGTAATAATAGCAAAATCTTGAATAACTGTAGTTCTTTTTCTTCAAAAAAGACTATTAAGTCATGGCTTTTTTTTTTTTTTGAATTTGTATCCGCAAATCGGTCCAGATACTGAGATAGCATCTTTTTTTAAAGCTGTTGTAAACATGCTTCTTCATATCCGCAAATCGGACTAAGTACTGAGCTGGCCTTTTTTTTTTCTTTTTTTTTGAAGTAGTTTAACATTATCCAAATTTGGACCTTTAAAGGTGGGGCCCCAATGACTTTTTTTTTTTACTTTTTAAGATGATTACTTTGAAAATTTAGGACTTTGTATTCAAGGCTCTACATTGTTATAATCAATGTTAAGTTAGGTTTATATAACTACTTTTCAAGGATCGGTTACTAGGAATTCTTTTACCCTAGTCTCAACGATTGCCAAGACATATATAAAAAAAGAATCAGCATCAGGTCCAAATGCTAATTGTGTAAAGTGAAAAATAAAATCAATGAGGTAATACCTTTTTAACTTGCTGCATAGCACAGGATACTGGCCGAGTTCCGAATGATTAATGGGAGCCCAAAGTCAAGATGCATACCTTTTCTAGGAGACTAATACACCATCACCACTGTGGAACTAACGTCAAATATATAATCTTATCATTTCCAGTAACATATAAAATGGAAACAATATCTCTCAAGCATTTGCTCATTATTATTATTCAATAATGTCTTCTAATACTTCTTTAACATCTTCCAATGACAATGATCCAGTGACCAAGGATCTCTGTCAGCACAAACGCGCCAATGTCATCAATGCGCGCGAGTTCTATGCTGCCGACCAAACTCTTACTATTGAAGATCGTGAGAAGCTTGCAAAAGTTTTCACGACTCAGCGCAACTCAGAACTTGCAAGCAAGGTTTTTATTGCCTACATGGTATTTCTAATGCCTCGTCATGTTTCCAAACTTTTAAAAAAACCGTTGCGTCCTTTATCAGCAGTTCCTGCAGTTTTGGCTTGTTCAGCCTTAATGTTTGGTTCAGATAGGTTTTGGAGACAAATCTATAACTGGAACTATACACTTAACCATACACCAGAGTATCAGACAAATACAGCTTATGGGAAAGTCATTGAGTTGTTAAAAGGATACCCTGCAGCTATTGGACGTGAATATTTTACTGAGACGAGTGTGAACGAGAGCGCGCGGTTTGCTGATCCAAACTCCATTGACTGGAAGAAATCTCCGGAGTTTCCTCTTATTCTAGGAACCTCTGATTGGACAAGTATTAGGACATACATTGATTTCATTCCTAGTCCCAAGCGGGAAAACAATTAAGCATTATAGATAAATTTAGATAGAATTGCATTTAAAGCCCAAACGAAAGTTTGTTCTAATGAAAAAAAAAAAAAAAGAATAGATTATTAATCACATGACACAATTATTACTAAGTGAGGGTTCACGTGCTCCATTATTACCACTACCACCTCCTGCCCATGCAAAACCTCCCTTCCCATTCAGAGAGAAGCCCTTCCTCTCTATACCATATCAGCCCGGGTTTAAATCGCCAACTCTCAACCTACCAGACAATTTTTTACCACCCCCAGCTAAATTTATTATAACCCTCAAAATACCACCAACCTCACAACTACTAAGGACCTTTGACATGGCCCAGCTCTTTCTATATATCAACTCCCATGTTTTATGAACCTTCCCAGCGCCTGCGTTGGGCCATAATCAACGACAAACTTCCTATTGTCGAGCACATTCTCAAGCGTTGGCCAGACCTTTTGGAGAACCCCGATTCACAGCACGAGGGATGGACTTCGCTCCACTATGCAGCATACCATGGTCGTCACACCATTTGTGTTTTTCTGATCACTGCTGGCCATGACCGTGACGAAATCTCTCTCGACTTTAACCGCAACACAGCCCTCCATCTTGCCGCACAACAGAATCGTGAACAGACTGTTCATTATCTCGCGCAACATTTGCGGAGGTGTCTCTCATGGCCAAACGCTTCAAAGGACACTCCTCTTCTTGTTGCGGCACGTGCCGGCCACCAGCCCAGTCTTGCACTGCTGCTGGACTTTGGCGCTGATGTTGATGAACAAGGCACAGACGGCGACCGTGCCATTCATATTGCTGTGGCTTTTGGCCAGGTTAAAACCATCCGCACTCTAGCTGAACGAAAAGCTGATCTTACATCTCCAAATGCTCTTGGGTGGACTCCTAAAGACTACTGCTACTCGTACCAGACCCAGGACTTTTTGGCTGCACTTATTGCCAAAAGCACAAAGAAAAACCTGGCGAATTCTAATACCCAGCTCGGCACTTCATATACCCCGTTTGCTAAAAAACCCCTCCCAGCTCCTATATCTGTTTCCGCTGCAAATAAACATCCGCCAATCTCATCTTCTGCTCCAGCATCAATGAAACTTCCTCCTAAACCTACCACGCCGACCCTCGCGCGGCCCACCAAACCCTTTGCATCTAATGCCGCAGGTTCTCCATCGGCCCCACCTTCCACTGCCAACTCTCCATCATCTCCTGCAGTTTCCACACCTATTATGCCATCATTCCCTCAAATTCCATCTCCGGCATCTTCACCTTCATCTACTACTCTTCAATCGCCTAAACCTTTAACAAATAACGCTCCAGTTGCCCCCTCTCCCTTGCATCACACCTCTACCATTCTTAACGTTCCTCTTGTTGCAAAACCACAAAACTTTCACCCTCAACAGTACGTTTTCCCACCTCCCCAGCCTGCATCCTCTTCTTCAGCAAATACTCCCGTCGGGTCACCACAATTTAGGCCATCAACATCGGCCTCCGCTTCAGGCACAGCCACAACAGTCACGGCACCACGCAAATCATCTTTCGAACAACAAATTTCCTCTGGTTTGGACACATCGCCTCTTCCTTACCCAACATCTTTTAATCACACAGGGTCGTTTTCTCTAAACACTTCACAGAATTCTTCTGGAGTCACTGTCCTTAGCCAGCCTTTGGTACAATCATATCTGCCAAGATCTCGAAGTGACAGTGTCGCAACAAATGCATCGAACTCTTCTTCTTCATCTTCCTCCTCGACTTCAGGCTTGCAAATGCCCATATCTCTTTCTCATCATAACCAACAACAGCCAAGTACTCCAAAATCTTTTACTACAACAACTACATCCCCACCTCTTTCCCCGCCTCATAAAAATGTTATTGGCCAACAATTTGCCTCTCCATCTTCAGCATCTTCTTCTGGAATGTCTGCACCGGCATCCCCATCAGCAAACGGTCCACCCTCTCCCCAGAAAAAGTTGCCCGCAATGCTTAGCAGTAAAAGCAATTCCAGTCTTTTGCTTCCAGAACCGCAGGTTCTACCCAGTGTTACTACTAGGAAAATTCCACTTTCTTCATCGAAAACTTTGACACCGGTCAGCTCGACTGCCAGCACCTCTAAGCCTCCTTCTCCAAATTCTAAACAAAAGATTCCCTCTCCAAAATCATCTTCTTCGCTCAAGAGCTACCTCAGCTTACAGTCGCTTAACGCCTATCACGTCCAACCTCGGATGCAGTCACTAAAGCCAACACTGTCTTCTACGTCTCTTCACAAGAAACAAGTAAAACAAGAAAAACAAGAAAAGAAACTCAAGGAAAAGGAAAAGAAACAACAAAAGCCACCACTAGTTAAGCCCAAAATTTCTTCACCTTATGTTAATGCAAATATTGGATCCGGATCCAATCCGAAGCCCTTGGCAAATTCTTACTCCGGATCTTCAACCCTTAAGCCATCAACAACTGTTTATTCTGGATCTGCTAGTTCCAATATCAAGTCTTCGTCAAGCGTGTATACCGGATCTACCAACTCCAGTATCAAGTCATCGACAAATGCTTATTCTGGATCATCCAGCTCCAATGTCAAATTATCGTCAAATATCTATGCCGGATCCACACCTTCACAAATCACTACACTTCAAAGTCAAGCTCGCAGGCCGAGCTCATCAAATAGTAATCAACCTGCTTCCCAGCTTTCTGCCACATCTTCGGTTCTCCAGCTTTCCGCCACGTCTTCTACTCCTCTCCCGTCATCACAAACTCCATCAAACCTTAATGCCTCAGTTTCCAATTCTTCCTCAAGTGCCGCAACTGCCCCACCTCTGCGTGCAAAACCACAGCAGCCATCGTACCAATATACCACGCCTTCGTCTGCTGGCGCACTCAGTGGTGCTGGAACTAGGGATTTTCCCTTCCATCCTCAACAATTTCCCATAATGCCACCGCAACACAATGCTGCTGCGGTTTCGGCTTCTAAGTATGCTTTGGCCACAGCTGGTGCACCGCTTCCGTCGGGACCTGCCCCTGGTACGGCTACAACTACACCCAATGGAACTATGATTGGTATTCCGGAGCACATGATGCTTCAAATTTCCAGTAATATGACATCTACATCATCGGCCACAGCATCGAGCAATAATACATCTTCTGGTACACAAACCTCGGTAACTGCGGGGTCTTCAGGAGGGGCTTTGGCTGGATTCAATCCCTATTTTTTGCAAGCTGGAATTAGTGTTCCAGCTTCATCATCATCAACTTCGTCTATATCGTCGTCGTCTTCATCGGCAACTATGCCGGCCCTTTCACCTACAAGTTCTAATGGATCAGTAACTGCGTCATCGTCAGTTGCAACAATAACATCATCTAACACATCTCCCAACACAGTGACAAACTCTAATTGTGTGAGTACCACGGGATCTGAATCAAATGGCGATATCACAAGTCAGGAAGCTTTCTCGCTTTCCAAATCTGTTACTGCGAGTACGTCTCATCCTGGACCATTTTTACAACAGCAACAGCAACAACAACAACAACAACAATCGTCTTCTGCACAAATTTTACCAAAGGCACACGGTCAGGGTCCTCCACGTCGGCCTTCTAAAACAAACAACTCGTCCAGTGCAGGATCGAATGGCAGTGCTAACAGCGTTAGCAGCGTTAGCAGTGGCAGCACTAATGGACAATCATCCCAAAACCAATCGGGAAATCAAAGTGCTACACCTGTTTATAAAACACCAAATTTGCGTCAAGCTTCTTCATCATCTACCGACTTGACGACTTCGGGAAGCGGTCCTTATCCTCCTCATATCCATTCTGGTACTTCAGGAAACAATTCACAACAACAAAATTCTCAACACCAACAAGGCCATCGAACTGTGAGCCAGCAAAACCAAGCGGCAGCGGCTGCTGCTGCAGCTCAACAAGCAATACAAAAACCTCGGCCTCCAACATCCTCTCAAAATACCGGTCACGACTTGGATAACCACCATTTGCTGCAACAACCTTCGTCAATCCCTGTTCATCGTACACAATCGACTACACCACCAATTCCTCCCAAGCGTGTTTTTTCCAACAGTAATACCACAGCCACTAAGGCACATCATGATCTTGCGCAGAATACCAAAGCAAACAATGGAATTCATTCGCATGCTGAAAGGCCACCGTCCCCACCTCCAAAGTCGGCTCAGCGTGTTTTGAAGGTCAGTGATGTAAATGATTTGACTGGTAATCACTTGACCAAAAACATCAGCAACAGTAGCACAATATCGACAGAATCTAATGGTTCTGAAGCTTCTACAAAGTCAAATGTATATGGTTTTGATTTGAAACCTCATACCGGAACGAAGCATACCCCAATGACTCTCGCACACCCTAAGCCTATTAAACCACTCAAGCCTCCACATTTGCATAATTTTGCGTCACGAACACCTTCTCCTGGAACGGCGACTAATGGACAAGGTTTAGCACCAAAAAGCAATGGCCATGGCGACTTGACAAAATTAATTGCTTCTGCTTCTTCTTCCAATTCTTCGCTAGTGACGGTAACACCGTCTACAGTTCCAACCCCGTCAAAGCATCACGAAGCACCGCTTCATGTATCGATGGAATCAACAGCTGCAGCTGCAGCCCAAGCAGCTCTTGCTGAAGCAGAAAGGTTTGAGCATAATAGAGTTTATGGAAATTTTGAGGACCCGCTTCAGCTCCACAACCATAGTTTTGAGGCCCATCATGTGCCGGCACATACACCACCACCACCAACCTCTATCCAACAACAGCCTCCAGGATTTCAGTCTCAAAACCCAGTGCGCCATGCTGGGAAAAAACCGTTGCAAGGACATGCAACAGCCCATGTGGGACACTCACTGCCCTCTCCTGGCCATCCTGGCCCTACAGCTACACCTCAGCACCCCGCGCAACGCGACCATCATCCTTACCCACCCATGCATAAGCCTGCCAAGGCCCAAGGTAATGGAGGTGGTGCAACTGCTGCTGGTACTGTTCATGGAGGAGGAGTTGGAGCAGGAAATGCGTACTTTACTACAGGAGCGGGTTCTTCCCAGGGACATTACGGAAATGTTCATCCGCTACACATTCCAGGGACTTATACTTCTGCCCATAGTGAAGAAGCTAAATAAAAAAATATTTGATGTACAATCGTTTATACGGTGCAATTTTTTTTATAGAAAATTGATCAAGGAAATCCATGAGTTTAGACTTAATTTTTTACCTTTTTTTTAATTGAAAAAATTTTAATATATAAACTCACAAGTATAAAAAGCTTTTTCTTATAATTATGAAAAAACAAACTTAAGTGAATATATTTTTTTTTAATTCAGTGCAGGCTTTTAAAAAGAAGTGAGTTTTGACCGGGTTATTAATGAGCTTAAACACAAATTTCGTAAAAATTAAATCATAGCATACTTGAGAGGTTGAAAGTGTGTTTTGATATTCAAAAAAAAAAGAGGTCAATTAAGAAAATGAAGAGAAATAAAACTTCGAGAATGAAAAAAAAAATGGTTGAGAAAAGTAAATGATGTAGAGGTTTATTCAAATTTTAATCCAATGTCTTTTATCAAAAGCAATAATTAACATTAATCATTAATGATAAAGATATATTTCAAATATATTTATAAATATAATTAATTATATTATATATAATATATTCATCTTAAAAAATAAAAATAAAAAGAAAAAAATAGATATATACATATATATGTGAAAATATATATATTTATAAAACTGACAAAAAAGGGGCACAAATTAAACAAACAACGAAAGATAGGAGATAACTGGGTGAGAAATGGTTGTTATAAAAGAAAAGAACAATTTATAATAATATCCAAGTTTTGGAACCCCAAGACAATTTTGTTATCTTTTTTTCTTTTATTTTTTTTTTCATAAACGTAAAGCTTTTGTGGTTTCTATTCTGTCATACTTGCTAGCTCAATTTTTTTTCCAGGGGGGAGGGGCATTTTTTTCTTTCTTCTGTCATTATCAATCTTGACTAACCATTACATTAACGGTATTCATAGGGCAAACTCCGCGGATTAAACTCTAATATGGAAATAATAGGCGCCATTAATTTTTCCGAGACAGAAATAAAATAATTTACACACAATATATATATAGATTTATATTTTTTGCAAAAAAAAAAAAAAAAAAAAAAAACGAGTGAATGCGTAAACGTTGTCAATGATGTTTAAGGAGAAATCTGCCAGGTACCAAACCACTATTTTCTGTGTTCTTGGCCCAGATATGTGCAATTTGTAAAAGTTGGGTAATCATCATTCACCGTGTGATATTTACACAAAGGTCATACTCACTCATTGCAGTTCCACATAGTCCCCAAGTTTTTGGATCCCAAGTGTAATTTTTTTTTATCCTATCTTTTAGGAATCAAAAATGAAATCAAGATTTTCCGGAGTATTCTCTAAAAGTGACTAGGAAATAACTTTGATGCAAGGAAAAAAAAATAAGAAAGATAAAAGAAAAAAATAGAAAGAGGGTCGTGGTTGGCACATATGCGCATTGAAATGTGAATCAAACCTTGGTTAAGAAAGACTACGTAACTGCCGAGAGGAACCTTGAAGAAAAAAGGCTTAGTATTTTGACATTCAACGCCAAGGCCGATTAAGAAGAACAAGGGCTAGGGCAAACTCTGAAGATTTCTTGCTAAGTGGGCTGTGCTAATCAAAATGTATTTCTACCCATTTGCTCTTTATCTATCGGTTTATCTATTTGACCTTTATGGAATATCAGATGGTAGATCAATTTAGCGAAGCTTTCTTTTAGATTTTTCGTTTATTAAATAAAATTAAAAATGAATAAAAAAAATGAAGATAGCTTTAGTACATCAATCAATAGAGAAAATCACTTTTTTTTTTCTAATAGAGTGGGCAGTAGATCTTTTTTCTCCAAATGGTCTTTTGGTTTGTACTGGTGCAATGATACTATTTATAATACATGCAATATAGTTTGGGTGAAAAAAAAAAAACTAGGTAAGCTTATTAACCTAAAAGTGATATAAACTTTTTTTGAATTTCCGAGACCATCTCAACCTCTAACGTCGAAATCTTTTTTGTCTTACAAGTCTATTTTCATTTTATTGGTCTTTTAAAAAACTTATTTCCTCAGAAAAGACTCTTGAGAAATAGAATGAAAAACCAAACATTTTAAATACACAAATATATAAGTACAATGATTTATTTAAAACTGCTGGTTAAGTAAAAGGTTGAGCTACCAATATAAATTGTAATATTAGAATTGTTTTTGTATGATATTTAGGTCTAAGCTTTAGAAACCATCAAAACTTATCAAAAAACATACATTAGACACCAAAAAAAAATGAATACGTATATGCAATTTAAACTTAAATAAAAACAAGTATCTAGCCTAAGCTGGGGTGGTCGAGGGTGATGTGCAAGAGTTTATTCTATTAGTCAATATTAACAATCATCAGAATTTGTTTAATCTTTTGTGACTTTGAAAAAGAAGTCTTTAAGACAGTACAAAGATAACAAAAAAAACTGTTAATAAAGAAACTTAAATTTGAATATTTTTTTATAATGTATTCATTTTCATTTTCATTTTCAATCAGACAGCGTTATATATACATTTTTATTTAGTGATTGTATAGTTGAATATTGAAAGAGATCAAGTAAAACAGGACTGCTTGGAAGCGAAAAACACAAAGTCATAAAACTTAATAATAAGATATTATTCATTTACTTTTCTTAAGAAATCCCATGAAAAACCTTCTTTTTTTTTTTTTGGAAATCAATTGAGTTAAACTCTTACTCGAAAGTATTCACTTTTAAAAGAGTATGGTAAATATTATTAGGTTCACCGTTAGCTTTAACAAGGGATAAAATGCCATGTGTTTGTAATTTGTAAAATGATTCCAAGCCTAAGGAGAAGAAAAAAATAAAAGCAAAGTAAAGTAAAAATCCCAAGACTAACCAAGAAAAATTTTTTTCCTAAATATAAATATCCCAAAATTTCCACCTTTTTTTTGGGCTAAATAAAATACACAAAAATAAAACAATTTACCAATATCTATCATAATCATTATGAAAATCATTCTAGTCTCAATTATATTTGGCCTACCAACAACAGTTCTGGCTAATGTTGAGGCTGATGCTCTTTTTCTTGCATGCCTTAAACTAGCTGGTCCATACAACTATGATTGTGATGGCCGTGTCCTAGTTTCCCCTGGATATATGGCTAGTCCATGCAACTGTTACAGTTCAGCCTTTCTTGCTAGTTATGTTGACTGCATCAATAGTGCCAAAAACGGCAATAAAGAAAGAGCCCTAAAAAGCCTTGTCACTAATTGTGCGGAATCCAATACCCGCCACGACCTCTCCACTAATTACCTTAAAAAAACGTACTTGAATGAAACAAATAACTTTATTGAATCAACTTCATATAACAACAAAACAGTCACTTCAAACCCGCTTCGGTTCCCCCAAGCACAAATTGATCTTTACTTTAGATCTTACCGTTCAAAAACATATTCCACCTATTCCAGTCAACTTTATGGGTATGTTCAATATTTTTATTTTATTTTTTTTTGAAATTGCTAACATTAATAGTGGTCTCATGAATGCTTATTTTGCAGCTATTTTGGCGATAGCTACAATTTCCAATTTTTTCCGTCGCTGCACACCTGGCTTTGTTCAAAGAATGTCTCGCTATCGCTCTGTCCTTTGGGTGCGTCAACACTTTGCTAATCCCGCTCTCATATCATACAAGCATAACATCCCAGTCAAGTGGGGACCAATAAATATGTCACTCCCTACACGCGCCCAAGGCTGGGTTTTGGCTGGTTATCTTTGCATGTTTATAATTTTTATGTTTATTAAGTATGATGTTTTTGAGGGGAATGTCACTTATTCAACAAAAAAAATTCAATTGTTGCGCTGTGTTGCGGAACGCAGTGGAATCCTTGCTGTATCACAATTTCCCCTTCTTTTTGTGTTTGCTGGCCGCAACAACTTTTTGCTTTGGGTAACTGGTCTTTCTTATGATACAATGAATGTTTACCACAGATGGCTCGCAAGACTCATGACCACTGGGGCATTCATTCATGTCATCTGTTTTACTTTGTATTTTCAAAGTAGACATTACTATCCAAATATTTTTCAAGTACAATACATCAGGTTTGGTGCTTCTGCTATTACTGCGGCATGTCTTATCATGTTTTTTTCACTCCGCCACTTCCGTGAACATTTTTATGAAGTGTTTCTTACTTTTCATTGGGCCCTTGTCATTGCCTTTACCGCAACCATCTGGCATCACTTAAAGAAAGCAGGTCACATTGAATGGTTATATGCAGCAGTGGCCATATGGGCTTTTGATCGTGCTATGCGGTTAGCCAAAATTGCTTTGAACGGGGTGACAGTCCGGGGTAATGCTGAACTGCACCCACAAAATCTAATCAAGATGAAAGTCCATTATACTAACTTCTGGAGACCCAAGGCAGGATCTTATGTTTTTGTTCATTTTCTCAACTTGTGGGGTTTTTGGGAAAGCCATCCTTTTAGCGTTTACCCTTCATTTGTTGAAGGCGAGGAAAATGTTCTGGTTTTGTGTATGCGTGTCCGCAAAGGTAAGACTCGAAAAATACAAAACTATCTTGAAAAACAGCCATATTGGTTTAAAAGCATGCCCTTATTTATTGACGGTCCTTATGGTCATGCATTTCCTATTCAAAATTCTGAATCCATAGTATTTATTTCTGGAGGGATTGGTTTTACAGCCATGTATTCATATGCGTGTAACCTGAAGCATCTTGGGGGAAGGAGACAAATGAAATTTATTTGGGCTATTCGCAATTATGAAAACACTGAAACTTTTAAAGAAGAGCTTTCTTATTTGTCAAATAATAGGGATATCAATTTAGTCTTGTATATCACTAACGAAACAGGTAGTTCACAAAGCAGCCTGCACATTCATGAGAAAAAAGCAGCCGAAAATAGTGAAGAAGAAATCAAAGAAAAAACATTGGAAATTATTAATCAAAATAATATTCAAATAAATTATGGTAGGCCCAATATTGAGTCCATTATAAACACCGCTATTGAGGAAGCTCCTGGAAGTATTGGATTTGCTGTTTGTGGGCCAGAAAGAATGAATGATGATGTGCGACTTTATGGAACTAGATATATGGGGAAGGGTAAAGGGCGTGTAGATGTCTTTATTGAAGCATTCAACTGGTAGTTATTTAGTTTAATTTTAAATATTAAAGTGCAGTTTATTAATCAACGATATCCTTATTTTTTGACTAAGTCCAAGTAACTTGGGATTGTGTTTATATTATTTAGCCCCTCAATTATTTTAGCAAACTACCCCTAACCCTTGTGGAATTCTTAAAGTTTTTGGAAAATATAACCTTTACGTTTATTGTACCTCAATAATAATGCTAATAAATCAATTTAATTTCCCTGCTAAAAAACATGTTTTCATTTGGCTATTTAACCTTAGTATTAATACCAATAGGTCGTCTCTACTTATTATCAAAAAAAAAAAAAATTGATTTGTTCATTTTACCTCACTAATATTGCTAATAAATCTTGTAAGGTTTAATGTCAAAAAACGTCCAAATATTGAGGTCAATCAACCTTTCAATCTTGGATCCATACTGGGTCTATAAAAATTACCAAAAAAAAGCACTGATAATTCCTTTTTCTAGAGAGTCAAAAAAAAAAAAAAAAAAAAAAAAAAAAAAAAAACCAAAAATTATCTTCAACAAAACTAAATTTTTAAGGCTATAAATTTGTCCAAAATTTGTATTATAATTAATGCACAAAACAAAAATTTTTTTTAACTTGCCGTGCAAAATAAGATTGACAAAGTTTTGTTATGAAATTTAAACTAAAAGACAAGATATTAAGCTAAACTAATCGTGAAATGAATAGTAGGGTGAATAGTTTAAAATACAGCTAAAAATTTACTTTCTCATTTTAATTTCACTCTGGTTAGCACCGGTAGTCGTCGAAGTACCCCTAGTAACGGGGGGAAAGACAAGATGCAAGTGAAATTATTGAAAGAAGAAAAGGAGCGGTTGAAACGGGGCCCTCCAATTCCGGGACTTCATACTAAAGAGTTTTAGAAAAGACCATGAAGGTTTGCTGAGAATAATTATTTTGTATTGAATAAATAGACTTGAACAACTTATTTTTGATCCATATTTGCTTTCATTCAAACTAATTTCTCTATCATCCCCCAGATCCCCTATATAAAAAATGGCCCTAACCCTTGTGGAATCTTTAAAATCTTTATTTCTCCTATACATTTTGCAAAGAAAAAAAATAGTTTTCTTCTAAGCATCCCTATTCAGTTTATGTAATCTTACCCTTACCCATAATCCTACATCTCAAACCACGAACCAATATATATAAATTTGGCTGAGAATTCCGGTATAAAAGTTACGTGTGGAGAAGAAAAGGCATTGTGTGTATCATTATTTTTGTCCCCTCACTGTACAGCCTTGGTGTTGATTCAAATTCATATATTCCCCAGCATTATGGAATGCTTTTTTCTTTTTAATTTCTCTACTATATTGGGTTTTTTCAATATGAAAGAATCATTATAATTATATAAATATTAACATTATTTAAGTACATAAATTAATATGAAATACGCAAAAAGAATTAAGCTGCTACTAAATGGAAAAAAAAATAATTTATTCGAGAGAAGAAAGTTCCGGATAAGTGATCAAAAACTCTATTTGTTCTTCTCGAAAGTCGTCATTGGTAATGTTAAATCCGTTATACTCAATTTCAAGAGTTTCTTTATTAAAATCTGTGTATTCTGGCCAGTGGGGTAATGATGTCCCATTGTTTGGGTCGAGGTGATTTGCGAAAGCAATAAAGTAATCTTGGTAGGCCTTGTATGGCCCACTATCTTCAAGCCATTGCCACAACAAATCATTAAAATGGAAAGTTCCTAGAGTAGGTATCAATCCTTGAAGCTCCGTTGACAAGAAGTTATAGCGGGTCACATTGGCGTCATTGGTTTGCTGGAGAAGTTGGCGCCGGCCACTCTGGTACTTAAAGTCGGTCAAAAATGCAGCCACCCGCTTAAACTGACTAGTCACTTGACCTTGAGTTCCTGTTCCAAAAGGAGCGCCTTGGGAGGGATCTGATGGATATAAGTTAGCGACAAGTTTTTTTTCTTGAGTGCTAATAGAGTAAACAAGGTTACTCAGGAAGTTCCCAAAGTCTTCATCGGTCTTGATATCAGTATATGAGTATGCTTGGATAGTTCCTTCGTCTTGTTGGTTCCCTACAATGAAGGGAATATGGGCAATTTTTCCCTCAGTAAGCAGTTGTTTTGGTCTATCACGAAGGTACGATCCGTCGCTACGAGGAGTCCAAGCTATGCCATTATTTGTTCCGTTGACAAACAATTGAGCCCGTGAAATTTGCCATTGACTTGTGAGTCGCAAACACGCAAGTTTTTCTGTAGACGTTCTTCTATTTCCACATCCAGCTACTTCGGCGACTTTTTCAAAAGCTCGCTGTGGTTTGTTATCAGTAATAGACTCCAAGCTTAATGCTGTCGGACTTTGCAAAATAGCAGCACGTGCAAGAGGCTTGCTGCGGTAAGTAAAGTCTCCATCAAGGGCAACAAGATGGTTAAGAATGCTTCCAGCACCTGAGCCCTGACCAAAAATAGTCACGCGGTCTGGATCACCACCAAAGTCAGCAATATGATCCTGCACCCATTCTAACGCAAGACGTTGATCAAGAAGACCAGCATTTCCACTGTCTTCTGATTTGATTGCATCACCACCAAGAAATCCAAAAGCTCCAAGGCGATAGTTAAAAGTGACTATTAGGACATCTTGATTAAGATTTTTGCTGGCTTGAACAAAGTGTGAACCATTGTACTTAATTGCACCTCCACGGCTAAATTCACCACCATGTATCCAAACCATGACGGGCTTTTTTGAGTCTTTAGTGAGACCGCTTGGTCGGTAAATATTAAGATATAGGCAATTTTCGTCCATAGTGGTAGTCGATATGTTAAACATGGAATTGATGAGGGGTTGCATTTCGCGTGTTATTGGATTGAACTGGTTTGCTACACTGGCGTAAATGTCTGGGATTGATGAGTTAAGGCCAATACAACTGGCTGAAAAGTTGGTAGCTTGAAAACCGTCGTAACTTCCATTGAATGCTAAAGGTCTTGCAAAACGTAATGATCCATATGGAGGCTGTGCGTATGGTATTCCTTTAAAAGACTCGATTCCATTGCCTTCGTCGAGTCCAGTTACTGTCTGGTCCGAATTAACCGTCACCTGTGGTGCGGCTAACGCTGTGTTTATTAGAGAAAGCAGTGACAAGAGGAAAAAGTAAGAAACCATTATGATTTGGGATTATTGAAACAAAATAGTGAGAATAAATAAAGAAGAGAAAAAAAAAAAGAAAGAAGAAAGAAGAAAGAAGAAACTTGCGGTATTATATATAATTTTTACTTTTAAACAGATGATATCCTCTTGATAATAATTATTGATGACCTCACTTAGAAAGACAAAGTTTACGAGTTTAAATTTAAGCTAAGCACGGGCAACCAGCAGCAAGAATCAGTCAGGTGCATCGTTATAATCTTATTTATTATTTTCAAGTCTATGAATGCCAGTGAAATGATGTATCTTGTCGGTTAAGTTGAAACAATTCAGTTGCCTTGCATACTGAGAAAACAGTTTGGTGGAGGCTGGGCTGAGATTTCTAAAAACTTGCCATTCCCCACGGTCATGAGAGTCGGTACCTAGTAAGTGTGAAAAAACCTTAACGCCTTGTCATGCCAACAGGCGTTGCGACCTATTGGTAGAGAATTTAATGTGGTTATTGTTAGTATTAATTGCTATTTTTGGAGTTTTTTTTATTATAATACTATATAAAGCCTATTTTAATATTATTAATAATAATAATTATAATAATAATGGGATTGTGAACCGGTACTATCATTTTAAAAAAATTCTTGAAGTTAACAATTTCTTAAAAAATATTCTTTTCAATTGAAACATATTGTTGAAATACAAACTATGGAAAAAGGAACTCTTGTAACAACCGAAAGGCAAAGGAAATTTAATCGAAAGTGTAAAATAAAAACGAGGGTTGATCTTAGACATACAGCAACACTTATAATACTATTTTAAAATGTTTTCCTTTAGTACGGCTTTTCCCTAATCAGATGTCTTCAGAAATCCAGATTCGGGTGTTTCGGTTCTGTGTGTAAGAGGAAATTAGAAGCTGCCATTTAGGACCGCAAGGCTTTTAGTGTACGATAGATAGTGGGTAGTCTGTACCCCAAGAAGAACCCTTTCCATTTCACGTAAACTTACTTTAATTTCTATCTTATTTTTTTTTTTTTTTTTTTTTTTAGTTTTACTCTTTTCTGACTATTCTTCTTAATTTTTCAAAAAAAAAAAAGTATTTAAAACTATGGACTCGCCTGTCAATAGTAATAATGACAGCTCGCTTCACAGACAGAGCACAGAAGAAAATGATTCCGCTAGGGGGTTTCAACCCTCAGACCATCCTCCTGTACGGCTCTGGCTACGGCAAACACACGCTCTGTTCAATAAAAGCATTATTTTGCTGTTCCGGCGGTGGTATTGGACACTTCTTCGAGCACTTATTATTCCTGTGATTTTCATTTTGTATATGGTATGGAAGCATCAAAGCTTTTCTTTTTTTCTCTCTCACTCTCTCTTAATCTAACAACAGTTCTTAGGGATACTCAAAATACCTTTATTTCCCTTACGAAAATTATGGTATAGCACAGCCCAACCAAAATATCCTACCTCTCAAAGACGTGGTTGGAAGCCTAATCATCACTTACTACGCCCATACAAATGACAGCTCGCTTCTCTCTGTTGACGACATGCACAGCATCATGGCTAAAGCTTTGCAAGATATCCCTGAGTCTCAAATCACATATTTAACTACACCAGATGATGTTTTCGACTTATGTCCACAAACTTTGCGTGGTGTGTCACGCTGTTATGGCGGCATCCAGTGGAACGGCTTGCGTGCAAACGAGGGCTTTTACAACTACACCTTGCGCGGCAACTGGGGACTCGGGAACGTGGACGTGCGTAATCACAATACAGACGTTGATAAATTCATTCTGCCTCTGCAGCTTGCTGTAGACAATGCAATTCGGCAATCTAGTACTGAACTTGGATCGATACCTTTTACATCCATATCAGAAGAGGAAAACAAGAAAGATCGCGACAAAAACTTTCTTAAAGTTCTTCGCGAATGGATTTCACCATCTTTATACATTGGTCTCATTGGCATTGTGTACCAGCTTGCTGGTGTAGTTGCTGAAGAGCGTGCACTCGGTCTCACCAGTCTGTTGAATAGTATGGAGACCGATTCTCATGCGCGACTTGGAGGGTATGTTGCGTCTTTTGGTGCTGTTTATTTCCCCAGCTGGGTCTTCATTGGTCTTATTTTTGCTAGAGTGTTTTTCAAGCACACCAATGCGGCCATTCCAATCTTCTTTGCTATTTTCAATGGTGCTGCTTCTGTTACTTGGTCCATTCTTCTTGGCACAATTTTCAGAAATGCCCAGCTGGCTGGCATTACATCAGCAGGATTCTCAGTAGTCCTTGCTATTCTGACATCAGTCCAAACTCAAGTCGGAGGAGGTGCTGGTGCCCCTGGTGCTATCTATGTTTGCTCTTTCCTTTTCAACCCAATGGGCTTTTGCTTTTTTATCCAACTTCTTAGCTATAATGAAAGTGACTATGACCCCTTAAATCTGGTAAAGCACGTCAATGGTGGATCCACTTATCCTCTGGTAGTATTTCTGGCACCCTTATTCCAATTTTACTTTTATATTTTGCTCACCTTATTGGCAGAAAGAATTCTCTATGGGAAAAGGAGAAGTTTGTTTTCTACTTCAGCCAGTGGTAATGCATTAGAAATTAAAAATCTCAACAAAACTTATAAGAGTCTATTTCGCAAAAGCAAAAAAGTCACAGCAGTCAATGATCTTTCGCTGTCAATTTCCCCCTGTCAGATTTTCAGTCTGCTTGGAGCCAATGGTTCCGGGAAAACAACAACGTTAGAGATGGTTGCTGGAATTCAAACACCAACCAGCGGCGAAATTAGCTTTTCTCCAGGAACAGTTCTTGGCATCTGTCCTCAGAAAAATGTTCTTTGGGACAACCTGACAGTTGCTGAGCATATTCATATTTGGTCACGAATCAAGGGCGTTCCTAATAAGAGCCTTTCTGCAGTGACGAAGCTTTTTGTACACAAGTGTGGTCTGGCTGGTAAAGAGCATGCATTAAGCAAGAACTTGAGTGGTGGCCAGAAACGTAAACTTCAGTTGGCAATTATGTTTACTGGTGGAAGTAATTTGTGCTGCATTGATGAAGTATCATCTGGACTGGATCCGGTATCACGGCGCGTAATTTGGGACATTTTACTGGCCTTTCGTTCCACACATACTATGATTTTGACTACCCACTTTCTTGACGAAGCAGACTTACTTTCTGATAACATTGCTATCCTTTCCAAGGGCGTTCTACAAGCTGAAGGAAGTCCAATTGAACTTAAAGAGCAACTTGGTAATGGTTATCGCGTTTTTATTGATAGATCGGGAACAGGCCACGAAGAGTCACATATTCTTCCAAATCCACAAGCAGTTTTGGACTTTATCATACCACTAGAAAATGAAAATGTGGCTTACCGAATAGCAGGACCTGAATTGGAGGATGTGTTTTTAAAGCTAGCCAGCAAGGATCACGAAGATCATTCATTGGATAATTATGAAGAAAAGGTAGTAGATTCTGAGGATCTTGAAAGTGATACTGAAGGTTAGTTTTTATTATTTTTTATTTTCTTTACTAACTTTTTTTTAGTGCAAAGCAGACAAGTTGGATTTTTCAATCAAATTGCAGCATTACTCCATAAGCGCTTTATTATTCTATTAAGGGCGCCGCTTGCTGAACTAGCTTTTTTCGCCATTCCGCTTATTGTTGCTGGTGCTTGTAATACTTTTTTATCATCGGCACATAACACAATTACTTGTGATGTGAATAGCCGGTTCAGCAAACAAAAATACTCTCAAACAAGTGCAGATGTACCTTTTGATTTCCCATTAGTAGGTGAGCAGGAATTTTTGGCTGCTGCACCTGGATATAATTCGTTTCTTCAAGGACAAGCTTCATGGGCACAAGATCCTACAACTGCTCTTGAACTGATTAATGCAACAGTATCTTCAGGCCTTCATTTTTTAAACTCGTTCGATGAATTTTACGGTTATATTGAAGCAAACTATTCACAAATAGTTCCTGGTGGTCTTTCATTGAGCAACAACCCTACATTGGCATATCAGGCTGACTCAAGCAGTGGTGTATATTATGGGCCTTTAATTTTAAATCTCTTTACTAACCTTCTTGTCAATGGCTCACAAACTATTATTGCAAACTATTCTCCCTTTCAAATTTCATGGGTTACAAACACGGGTAATGTACTTCAATTTATCACATACTTTGGTCTTTCTTTGGCTGTGGCTCCAGCTTTTGCAGGATTATACCCCACATTTGAGCGTCTGAGCAAAGTCCGTGCAATGCAATATTCCAATGGATTGCGAGTCGTGCCACTGTGGACTGCATATCTTTTGTTTGACATGGTATTGATTGTGGTACTCAGTGCCATTTGTTTGGGAATCATCATGTCGGCCATTTCAGGGATTTATGGGCCTGGATATCTATTTTTAGTGTTTATGTTGTATCTCACAACTGCATCGCTTTTATCATTTGTTGTATCGCTATTTGTACAGTCCCAGCTTGCTGCTTTTGCAGTTGTAGCAGCATATGAGGCAGTTTTTGTTCTAATTTACCTTATTGGATATTTGACAACTCAGACGTTTGGTCATCCAGCCACAATTGAACGCAACGTGCGTATAATATACTTTACAGTTGCTGCTATATCACCATCCCAAAGCTTGATGCGATCATTGTTTATTGCTTTCAACATTTTTGGTATTTTGTGCGGGTCACAGAAATCAATTACTTATATGGGAGACATTTTGGCATATGGCGGGCCTGTGTTATACTTGATTGTGCAAATTTGCTTATTATTTGGGTTTCTCATTTGGTGGGAAAGTGGACTACACAGGAGAATGATTACCCATCAGTTTCAGAAACTAGGCAAGATAATAACCAAACTTTTTCATACTGTCTTCAAGCCCAGAGATTGGAATTTGGATTCGCAAGATCCTCTAGATACTGAAGAGAAGACGGCAGATAACAATGCACTTGAAACCGAAGTACTCCAAGAAGAACGTTTTGTTGAAGAAAACTTGGATCGATATGCAAGTGGACTTGCGCTGGTTAAAATCAGTAAAGAGTATGGCGGCAAGCGGGTTGTGGATGATATTTCATTTGGAGTGGAACGCGGCGAGTGTTTTGCACTTTTAGGACCCAACGGTGCAGGGAAAACAACAACTTTCAATATGGTTCGCGGTGAGGTGGCACCAACTCAAGGTGATGTACTTGTGACGGGTATCTCGGTGACACGCGAACGCGCCGTAGCTCGTACCCGGTTGGGAGTATGCCCCCAGTTTGATGCAATGGACAAGCTAAGTGTTGAAGAAGTGCTTCATTTTTATGCCCGTCTGCGTGGTGTTTACGGTCAACGTAACCAAGCAGCTGCAGTACAAGCCCATGTTGATCGACTGATTGTTTCTGTAGATTTGGATCGGTTTCGCACACGCATGGCCTCCAAATTATCTGGTGGTAACAAACGCAAACTATCGCTAGCTGTGGCGCTGATTGGAAACCCGTCTGTGTTATTATTAGACGAACCGTCAAGTGGTATGGATGCGTTTGCAAAGCGGCTTATGTGGCGGACTCTGGCAGCGGTGGCACCAGGTCGTGCAACAGTACTCACAACACATTCTATGGAGGAAGCAGATGCTCTTGCTGGTCGCGCAGGTATTCTTGCTCGCAAAATGCGGGCATTAGGTACTGTTGCTCATCTCCGCGGGAGATATGGTGACGTTGTTCATGTACATATTGTTTGTCGTGATGCGCCTTTGTCTTCAATAGTTGAGATGAAACGTGTAGTCGAGATAATTGGTAAACTATTCCCTGGTTCACAATCCGAAGACCGCATGTATCAAGGCCAGGTAAAAGTTGCCGTTCCACTTGGGTCCGGTTTTTCAGTGGCTCGAGTTTTCCAGGTGTTGGAGGAACATAAAGACCAAATGGGAATTCGATCTTACAGTGTTTTCCCAACTCGGTTGGAAGAAGTATTTTTAAAAATTGTTGGTAATACTGAGGAAGAAGAAGAAGCGTCAACTCATGATTGACTCTAATGATTGCTGATACCTTAAATTTGTATTCTTTTAATGACATTAATAAAGGTTTTGTTTTTTTTATCAAATTCAGTTGACATTTACAATGAGAACTTATTGCAGCGCTTTTAGGCAAAGAACCCTAAGAAGCTATCAGATCAGTTTAAGTAAACGCATCTTGAGTACTGGTTCAAAAGAAAAAAAAGAAAAAGAAAAAGAAAAAGCAAAAGTATTTAAAAACGCCTCCATTTAGAATGAGTTTCTTTATTATTTATTGTAACTGATATTTAATTTTATATTCTTTCATGCTCATATTGAAAAAAAAAAACAAATGTTTGCCAGGTCTTTTAAATTTTTTAAAACTTCGAGTAGAAATTTTCAAGCATCCCTTTGTCTTTCTTTTCAAAAGAAATGTAGGCACTAGTTAATGTTTTAGCAAAACTTTGACATAGTATTACTGTTTTTTTTTTTTAGTTTGAAAAAAAAAAGAATTTTGATTTACCTTAAAGTCGGGTCATGAAATGATAAAATATGTGGCCGCTGAACTGATTCTATTTCTTTATGAACCAACACCATTTGTACACTACCGTAGTTTTGAATTTAAATAAGGACTCTTAAAATTACTAAATATATGAAATTTATTATTTGAACGAAATTGTTTTGTCATTGGAAATATGTTCAAAAAATAATTCTTATTTAAAAAACATTTTTAATTTGCCTCAAACCTTTCTGAAGTCTCCAATAATAGGATTGTCAAAGTTGTATTATTAAATTTTAACTAAAATACCAAAGTTTAAGTTAAACTGATTTTTGAAAATTAATAGTAAGAGTGAATAGTTTAATATAATTATCCACTTTCTAATTTTAATTTCTCCTTGGTTCTTGTTTTAACAAATTAACGGTGGGTATTTTTTAATAAATTAGAAACTAAAACCCCAATTGATCTTAACCTATGTTTTTTTTTCTTTGACATCTCTGTATGCTCAAAATGAACTTTAATTATTACAATACAGATAGATGAGTCTAACATAAAAAATAGTCAATTGGATGGAACTTTTTAAAAATCAAAAAAAATATAAATAAAAGATGAAAACTATGATAAAATGCCTTCATAAGTTTTGTTCAAATTTTGATCCAAATTATCTCTAGAATGACCCATTATTACCAAATAATAACTCATAATTTAGTAAAAAAAATTATTAAATATAGTTGCTTTATATTGTATTGGACTTTAAAGAGGTTTGTTTTTGTTGGAAAATGTTGAAGAAAAATACTACCCCACGATTCATTTCAGTTTGAAATAAAAATCCATTTTAAAGTGTTGTTAAATTTTAAATGAATTATTTTCAATCCAAACTTATACTGATAAGTTATTGCATTAAAAATCATAGTTCAAGCACTGCACTTTATGGGGATGATTTAGAATTATTTCTAGTTATTGTGAATTGAATATATTAGTTCCTTTGTTATAAACGTGTTATGATATATTGTAGCGCATGGTGGCAATTGTCAAGGCATAATATTATAGTTATAACTTTAACTATTCTTATATAGATAAGCATAATTAAATAGACTCACTGAATTTCAATGACTTCTTTTCAATAGGAAACTGTATGGGGGAAAAAAACAATTGAGAGAAAATGTCTTTTAATCAGTTACATAAAACATAATTGTTGCCATAGTGTCTGAAAACAATTACTCTTTTTAGTCAAGTGTGAAATAACTATTTAGTTACAGATTGAACGGCGATAGAGTAAATCATTAGTCAACTTCCATTGACAATTTGGTTAGTTTCCATCTTCATTTTGGGCCTTATTTTTACCAAGTACCATGTTCAATTTTTTTTTTTCAAAAATGGTGTGTCTTTTATATTCAAGACCTTGAATGAAATAAATTAAATTCTCACCTTTGTGTATGTATGTATATACATGTATGTAAATCACATTTAAGAATTTTGAAATGTTGGTAGTTTTAAGAAAAAAAACAATTTTTCTTAGAATTTAAACAAAACTCGTGAATTGCAAAGCTACTCATAAAAAAATGAAAATCGCTTATATTTCAAATTAAAACCAATTTATTTTTAAAGTGTATATTACATTTGATCAAATAATCCTCTATTCATTATAATGATAAACCAAGTAATTTGGCAGACCCCAAGCCTGGTATCCCAGTCTTTTAGCCATCTTTGCAAAGCCTTCCGTCTCAATGAGATGGTAGAAGGGGAAGGATGGGAACATGGCGCCGTCTCTGTGGACGCCTGACTTGACAAGCATAGCGGTACCTCCAACACCATCCAGAGGAATCTCCATGTTAGGGTCTTTAGTAGCATCGTAAAGGTATGCCATGAGCACACGGTATGTAGCAAGCTCTTGGTAGCCCTCGACAATAATGTCATCCTCGCCCATATTTTTAGCCAACTCAAGAGCCTGTTCAGACTCTTGCCAATTGTTATAGTCGTATGGTCTGATTGCGGGGCCATTAGTTGGATCATTGTAACGTTGGTAGCAGTTGGCGACAATAATATCCTTATCGTGCTTGGCCAGATCCTGGATCAGAGTTGGAGGAGACTCAACAATGTCGGAGTCAAGCCACAGAACCCAAGAGGTTTGAGGGCCGAGGGTAGTAAACAAGAGAGAGTTGCGAGCAAGAGCCATTTGTCCACGGCGAGTTTTTTGTGCGGAAAGAGCATGGCGGTCCTTTTCGAGGTGTGAGTCCATAGAAGGAGTGTCTTGACGAAGAATGGAGATCTTTGCAAAGCGTTGAGATTCAGGGCCAGTCTGAACCTTTTTGACGACTTCATCTAGACTCTTAAGAACCTGGTCACCTTGTGAGTTTGCAGGGACAATGAATCCAAGTTCGAGGAGGTTGCGTGGGTAAGTCAAGCTCAGCAGATTTTTCCAGTATTCATCGTAGAAGCGTGCAATGGGTGTGAGAATCAAGACACGCTCTTGGTTTTGCATGGCATTAGGAGTGGACTTGAGGTTATTGAGCTTAAAAGACTTGATTACAGGCTCATTAGGGTTATGACGGCGAAGGGGGGTTGAGACCGCTGGAGAGGCCAGGGAAAGCGGCGAGAAGTTGGAGAAAAAGACAACGTAAAAAAAGATAAAAGACGACACAAGGACCGTCAAAAACGTCGCTGGTTTCCGCGGCAGAAAGGCCATTGTGAATGGAATTGATTTTAAGGTGAAGAAGGAAGAGGGTTGTTGGTTAGATGAATAGGGGAAGGGTAGAGAGAAAAGGGGTTTTGATGATGATGATGATGATGATGATGATGATGATGTTTTTTGTTGTTGTTGTTGTTGTTGTAATCTGGCCCCTGTGATAAGTCTGCCTGGTATGAATTTGTTGGCGGTGGTGGTGGTGAAAAAAAAAAAAAAAAAAAAAAAAAAAAATATAGAAAAGGCCGTACGTGGCAGGGACGCCCAGATGAGATAAACCCGAGGATCAGCCTTGCGGGTCTTTATCACGTGAATTCTATAAAAAGAATAAAAATGTAATGTCATTAAATAAAAGTTGTAACATATAAATGACATGTCATTTTAATTTCATTTTAATTTCATTATAATATCATGTGATCAAATATGTGCGGCTGTTTAACTTTTTTATTTTGTCATTATTAATTTTAATAGCTGACTCATCATTATCATCATCATCATCAAGTAGTTTTAATAAATAATTAGTTAATTGCTTACTCATTTTTTTTTTTTTTTCCAATTTACTAATGTTGACAGATCCTAATTATTATTATTATTATTATTATTATTATTATTATTATTATTATTATTATTAATAATAATAATTATTATTATTAAAAAAAAAAAAAAAAAAAAAAAAAAGGCCATACAGCCGTGTGGATTATTCCCGAATAGCCTTAGTTAAATAAATTTGTGCTTTAAAACCATCCGTAATCACAGCTTATTTGCCCATCCCATCATTGGTAATTCTTAGAAATGCATATCCCACACCACACACACATATATATATAAGGCTCAAGACTGTCCTACTATTCCTTATATAAAAAGCCCCCTCCCCACAGTCTCAACATTTCCCCTGTTCTTAGCCTTCCCTTCCCCCTCCCCCTCCCCCCAATGTCTCGATTTGTTTATCCATTCATCACTCTAATCATCTCTATTCTAGTCTACTATTTTTATTTCCAACTACCTGCTCAAGTATCTACTACATCTTCTCCCATTACTACCACCCAAGATACAACCCTTCAAGAACAAGTCATAATGTCTACAACAACTACTGCTACTACTGCTGCTACTACTGCTGCAGCCACAGTTGCCAAAAACTTTACCAGTCGTCTAAGACCCTTTTACTTTGTCTCCCACGGTGGTCCTACCTTTATGTACCGTGATGACAACTTTGGTGATGCTGGTGCTTGGGATGTCGTCACTTCAATTGGCAAAGAAATCCTCGCTGACCCACCTAAAGCCCTTGTTGTCATCAGTGCCCATTGGCAAGAAGAGTCTGGCTCAAAGTTTGGTGCTGCTTTTGACAAAACTACCTTCCCTACCGTTGGTGTAACATCTACTGATGGTGAAAATTCCCTCATTTACGATTTCTACGGATTCCCCGCTCACATGTACAAGGAACAATTCCATAGCAAGGGGGATAAGGCCCTGGCCAAGCGCATTGCCGAAAAGCTTCAGCAACCTAATGACAATGAGCCTGGATTTAACGTCAAGCTCCATGGTTCTAGAGGCTTTGATCATGGTCTTTGGGTCCCCCTGCGTATTGCTTTCCCTGAACAAAGTATTAAGGACCGCAAAAATTATGTGCCTTTCCCAATTATTCAAATTTCCCTGCCATCATCTCCTTATAATATGAGAAGTCATGCTCCTACTGCTGTGGAGTACGATACCCAAATCAGTTTCCGTCTCGGCCAGTTGCTTCACGAGCTTCGTGACCGTAATGGTGAAGACGTTGCCATTGTCTGCTCAGGAATGTCCGTTCATAACCTTCGTGATCTCTTTTCAATGGGTGGTCGTGTAGCTCCATATGCTTCCAAGTTTGACAAGGAACTCAAGGTTGCAGTTGAAAAGGGACCCACCGAAGGTATGCTTGATCGTTTGACAGCCCTTTTCAAGACCCCAATTACCAAGTCTGCACACCCAACCCTCGAACATTTGCTTCCTATTGCTGTGGCTGCTGGTGTTGATTCTGTTTTCAAGCCCGAAGGTACCACCTTTGATGATTCCTTGACCAAGGTTCCTGAAGCTCCAGCCGACCCTGATGTTCTTGGACCAATTGATTTTAAACCCAAGCAATTGTACTCTAACACACTCTTAAGTTTGGCCTGGGGAATTTTCAAGTTTGGTCGCAACTAAGGTTTTTCACTCATCCCTCTTAGTTAAATGTATAACCCCCACACATGTATTTTTAGTATAGAATTAGACCTCACAACTCATCTGAAACCAGCCGCGCAAGTTACTGGGTGCATTTTTCAAAATCAAGTCTGGATGCCAGTTATGTTTTGGTAATTCTAGTTGTTGCCTTCGAGTTCGTGGTTCCATGTGAACAATCTCTTGTCGCGCTTCTTCCACTTTATGTGTATCATTTGTGTAAATTGAAAACCCATTCCACATGTAAAAGTTTTGTGCTCTCGTGTTTACTGCAAAAACTGTCAGCATGATCTTTTCGACTCCAATTGTTTTGCGTGCTCGCTCCTTAGCCCTTTCAACTAGAAACTGGCCCAATCCCAACCCAGTTACTTTGCTATGCAGCTCATAAATGTATGTCACAGTACTGTTTTTTTGGCCGGATGGAATTTCCTCATCATCCAAAAATTCTTGATCACTAGGTGTAAAAGATAAAAAGGCGGCAAGCTTATCTTTGGGTTCATAGACTATAAAATACAGAAGATCGTCTTTGACCATTTCTTGTCGCTTTTGTGCCGTGTTCCAGCCATAGCCTGAAGATTCATACATTGGTTTCAGCCGTCGCACCAGCTTGTAACACGCTTCAAGGTCAGTTTTTGGTATTGTATCGGATGTCCATTCTTTAAAGGTAAAATTTGGTGGTAACTCGGGCATTTTTCTCGAGTAAACTTGTAAGTTTTGGATAGTATTAGGTATATATAGTAAGGGGGTGGGGTGGGTAATGAGATACTGAGATATTGAGACCAATAAAAACCAAATTTTATGATGTAAACAAAAAAAAAATTAAAAAAAAATTAAAAAAAAAATTAAAAAAAAAAAAAGGGTGTCATCTATAGTAAACAAATGTGACAAGCGGCGCTGTCTTTTGAGTCTGCCCTAAGCCCTAAAAAACAAGTAACGAACCAGAGAGGTACCGATATTCAATAACGGTCAAATATCTTCATTCCATAGAAATGTTCCTGTCAATAGTACTATAGTAGTAGAGATACAACTTTAACATCAAAATATCTATTGTTAAAGTCACCTGACCATGATATTAAACCTTGTGTCTTGACATTGTAATGTCCAATTGTATATATATTTAAAATTCATATTTAACAACTGAAATAAGCAGTGTATATAAGAAATAGTTTAAAAGAGGAAAGAAGACCGAAGGGATTAGTTGACAATCGTGATTGCCGCCTTAATGAAATGAAATAAAATAAAATAAAAAACTAAAGTCAACAATTAATAGGAATTTGAGAAGAAAAGAAACGTGTTAAGAAAGTAATTCTTTTGAAATAAAAGAAATTTCAATAGTTATTCAGATATCTAACATGAATGAAAAAAGAATTAAAAATAAAAATAAAAAGATCAGTTGTTTTTTTTTTTTTTTTAAAAAAAAACAATTCTTTTCTTTCCCTTTAGTTCTCATGAAATCATTCTCCTTTTCTCCATTAAAAAAAATCTTTGGATTCAGCACTGTTTACAGTATTATCATCGTATGTCTAGTACTGTTAACTGGTAGTATATGGGTGGGGGACTTTACCCAAAGTCTACTTTGCGCTATTAGCACGTCAACGAAAAGAAAGTCTGCATATTATCTTGGCACAATCAGTTCGTAAATGCGTTTTTTTTTTTTTGCTTGTAAACTGGCTGCTGCATCATGGTTATCTGATCATGATAATAATAATAATAATAATAATAATAATAATAATAATAATAATAATAATAATAATAATAATAATATAGTACCGAATGTAACTAGACTAGAATATTGGAAGTATCGGCATTAAAATTACCGGCGAAATTCCTTGGAAGCAAGAATGTAAGTAAAATACCCAGGACTCCTTGTGTAAACGTTTTTTTTTTAAGACAATTGTCTTAAGATATTTTTTTATTTTGTGTTAAAAAAATTATAATATTTTATTGTTCAATATTTTTTTTTTTTTTCAAGTAAATATCTTAGAATTTCTAAAATTTTTATTATAATCAATTCTCCCAATTTTAACCAAATATTTGGTTGTATATATCATGATAATTATAATAATTATTGACTGTGGATAGGATCCAAATTCATCCTTTTTATTTTTTTTGTTTCTTTTTATTTTTATTTTTTTTTTTCAAAATTGTTAAACTGGTAATATTGTAAACCAAGTTATCAAGTAGTTTATTTTGTATATTGACTCCAACTTGTTAGCAAAAATAAAATTATTTATCAAGGGTAACGCACATAAAAAGCAGATTTCTTGATTATCAAGCTTATTTGAGTACCAGCAACCGGAATAATACTCTAAGAAACTGTTTTAAGCCGGTTCTATTCAGGTGGCTTCATATACATTTGTCTTTTTGGTATTTGATTAAAAAAATAAAATAAAATAAATATTTTTTTTTTCATTTAAATCATTGCTGCTGTATTTATTCAAAGATTGTTTAACGAATAGTTACAACTATTAGTAACTAACTATAGCAAATAAATGTAGGAGACCAAAGCTTTGAACTACCCTTAAGGGGTGTAGCAATTGTTTGATTTGTTAGTTTATATATATCCATAACATGAAAAATAAGAAGGAAACAAGCCGATATTCAAAACTTTTTGTTCCAATATGCATTGCATATGTTAATTAATCTACTACAAAAAAAAAAAAAAAATACAAGTCTAGGAGCAAATGAATTTTTGGGTTAAAATGTGTTATTAACACTAAAGTTAGCCATTTTTTATTTTTAATTTTTTTTTTAATTTTTTTTGATTTTTTTAAAAAAGAAAAAACCATCTGGGTTTAGAACCATTTAAAACCTTCCATGATAACCCATCTCTCTATATCTTTCTTTCTTTCTATCTTATTTTAAACTTTATCCACTTTGTCTTTCCATTCATTCATTCATTTTATTTTATTTGTTAAGTTTATGATTATCCTTAAAAAAAAAATTAAAATGTTCCAGAACTGCATTTATTTTCAGAAACTAATACCCAGCATAGTTTAATGCTCCCTGCAGAACAACCCAAAGACATTTTTCTTGCAAAATACTGCATAGTTTGTCTTTTCTTTCTTTTTTTCTTCATCTCCCTCGTAAATTTTTTTTCAAAATGATGATGCAGAAGTAAATAGCTGTTTTATTTTATTGATTTTTTTTTAACAAAGCCTTGCTCGCTTGCAAATTAGGAAATAACAAACATATTAGGCATGAACTTTTTTTTTTTTTATGTGTAACCTCATTCAATTTTTATCTCACACCATGATGTATTTTTTTTTGTTGTTCGTGCGCAATCAGTCTTGTATAAGAATAACCGGATACTATGTAATGCTTTTTTTTTTTTTTTTTGAAATCAATTTTTTACATTTATCATTTTGAAACGAATTGAAATATTTTCTTAGAAATATTCTTGGTTGCTGTGTAGTTCTTTTATATGTGACCCTTTTTTTTTTCTCCCATGAATCCATACTTTAGGATCCAAAGGCTATCAATATTGCCGGACAAGAAGTAACAAAAAATATATATATTTCTAATATTAAGCGATTCAAAATATTATAATCTGAGAAAGGTGATTTTTTTATATATATAAAATAAATAAAATAATGATCATGGATTTAAATGATGAACATTTGGTCTTCGTAATCACACCTTTGTTTAATTATTAGCCATTAAGCAGAATCATTCTTTTTTTATTTTATTTTATTCATTTCTATTGTTTGCTTTAATTATTATTTTTTTTTTTCTATTACTTATTTATTCAAAAGTTGAACTACCTTAGTAGACTCTAGAAATTGTTCATGGCCCACTTAAATCTTCCCCAACATTATTACCAAGAATTCTCTTGATCTAAGAAAAGTTCTTTGGAAAGATCAATCTAGAATAATATATTTATTAGGTTTTTATTATGATTTTTATTATGATTTTTTGTTAAGAATCGATAATAATAATATATATATTTTTTTAATATTAAATATTTAAATCTTTTTTTTTTTGGAATGACGCGATAACCAAAATCTCATGTATTATGACAATTAAGACAAAAACCCATTTTCCTTAACTAATAATAATATTCACGTGTATTACTAGGTATCCAATAGTGATACTACACTTTAGAGATGAATTATAAATTTTTGGTTGTGATATTTTGAAAACGCGTTCATTAAAATATATTATTATTATTATTATTATTTAAATAAATAATCTTTGAAATCATTTGTGAACCCTTTCTATAAATAATTGAAAAAAAAAAAAAAAAAAAACAAAAGTAATTATTATTATTCTAGTTTGCATAAATATACGAGTTAATAGTCAATATTTCTAGTAAATCTGCTCAAAATTAGTTGAGGAGTTATTGCAGCTTTGAAGATATACGACAATTACTGGGAAAAACACAAACAATCAGGCAGCTATTTTTTTTTTTCGTTTGTAGAAATGCAGCCATAATAATAATAATAATAATAATAATAAATATGTATTTAATACGTCATTTAAAAGTATTTCCCAATCTTTGAAAATAAAGACTGGTTTACCCTTTAAAAGGAAGGGTGCTGTTGAAAAAAAAAAAAAAAAAAAAAATTCCCCCATTAATGGTTACAATATCTCCAATTAATATATATGAATCGATTTGGAAATTTTTTTTTTTTTATTATTGGCAATTTTGGGTTCTTCGCATAGCCTAGTAAACTATCATGTCAAGTCACACACCAGCAGCTCATCAACGATGCACGACTACCTTTTCTAACTAGTTCAAGATTTACTTGGGATCCTCCCCTCCCTTCTCCCCCCCTAAATGTTAAAAAAAAAATTTTTAATCGTCAAACTGCATTGTTTTCACCCCGACGGGGCAATCTAACCGTACTTCGCTAAAGTAGAATGAATCTGTAATGAATTTGGTTGGTGAATCATGATTCACCCATAAATATTTATCATTGTCGTTTTGATTTATTTTCAAAACTGCTTACCCTGACATGCATGTAAACACAAGTACATTAATATTAATGATACTACTATTTGGTACACCAAACTAGCAAGTTCTTCTTTGTCTTAAACAATTAATAACCACTACATTAAAGTTGAAGCAACGAACTTCATGCGTGACATCTATAGCAGACTCCTCTTATCGCTATATATATATATATATATATATATATTTCTTATTTGCTATATTCAAACTTTGGGTTTGTGTTCTTCGTGTTCTACATTCTGTCACTAAAAAGATACACAAGACTTACAAACTGTTTTGAGTTCTTAAAACACTATGGTTAACTGTGAGTATGTGAACCATATCAAGAGGATTTATCTTAGACTTGTTTCTACTATTGGTGTCTTTTTTTGCAATCTCAATACAGCTTAACTCTGGAAGATCCAGCACACTTCCAAAAATATCATATGGTGATACGTAGACATGCTCTTGTAGAAATTGAAAATTTAAACTTTGTGGCCCGTTTCTAAAAAATTGATTAGGGCTAGGTGGATTGAGGTGTGCATGAAATTCCCCCAAGCGCAAAACAAAGTTTGAAAGCTTGAAATCAGAACTTTTGTGCTGAATTCGGCTTGGCCGGCACATAGTTCGTATAAAATCAACCATATTACCAAATGACACTGGCATTGAAGAAATGTGAACCGGCAAAGTAAGAGCTACCAGTGAAGGGTGATTGTAAATATGTGGTTGCAATTTCTCCAAATTGTCAAAGATTTCCGTGACATCCTCATTTGAATCGTAAAAATGTGCAGCCACAAGACTTGAAAGCTTTTCAATAACCGGGCCCATTTGTTCTATTAACGGTGGATCTAATGCTGCTTTACTGCGAACATGGATTCGTTTAATCTGATTGATTAAATTGGGATTTGTTAAAAACTTTTTAACATTAGTGACAACCGCCTGTGTTTTAAAGTCTACCCCAAAGTTTTCCAAAGAAGGGAGAATGTATGTATGTGTTAAAAAAGTCAAAATTGTAATTCTCTTTACCTTCAATATAAAGACTTGTAAGATTAGAGAGATCACTGAACTTCTTCTTCACAAATTGCTGGCAAACCAACAGAACCGGTTTCATCTTGAGAACTTTAATAAATTTGAACTCTCTCTTTATTATACAAATAGGTAAGACATTTGGCTCTTGGCCTTTTAGATTCAAGTTGGCTGGACGCATAAGAGAACCAGCTTGAGTACTGTTACTTTTGGTAACAAAAATAACTTCCCGGAGATTAGGTACAACATTTGTAAATGAACTGAATCTTGAAGCACATGATCGACCTGTGTAGACTGTCAAAAATTTTAAATACCTAAGAAAACTCGGATCAAAATGCATAGCGTCTATGGTTTCATAGGTGCAAAGGTGAAGCTGGATTTGGGGCGTACCTATTGGTCTAGAAATAGAATGTTTGGCATCATAAATCGATTTCTTGAAAATATATTTATATTTTTTACTGATTTTTTCAACATGAATAAACAGTTTAAAATACTTCAAGTTAGGTGTAAATTTCCTGTCAAGAATTTGGGGCAAACGGTTTAACATGTGAACATATCCAGGAAGTGGACTTGCGAAAGGTCTTGTAAATCGTGTGGTTATACTCAAATAAGTTAAATTAAAAAAAATCTCTTCAGGAACATCAGTGAAATAAGAAGATGTCGTTCTTTAATGTTTTGTTAGATATTTTTTTTTAAACAGTTAAAAGTTTTACTTACTCAAAATAAAATCCATTTTCCTTGTATATTACATTAGAAAGAACAGCAGGTCTTGGTTGATTGGGGTTATCATTGGGCTCGATTACAAGCTTTTCAAAAATCAAAGAGTGTATAATTTGACGAAGAGATTGACAAGTTTCGCTTAAAGATTTAAGATGATTATAATTAAGGACATGCAAAAGCTGAGACTCTTCAAAAGGTTGTGGCCATTGTTCTTGAGTCTCAAGGTACTCTACCGATCTTTGCTTCAAAACCCTTGGCCTTTGTGTATTTAGTGCAACAACTTGCATCACAATGAGCACAAGAAGTTCTGCAGGAAGTGTAGCTAGAGGTCCTTGAGTTGGCATGTTTCAAAGAATGGTGGTTTTAAAAAATGAAATTCTTTTGAAAAAAAACAAAATCCTTTGTATACAATATATATATATATATATATATATATATTAATATTAATCAAAAAAAAGATATATTCTGAATTTATTTATTTTTACAAATTTGCTTATTGAGAAAAAAAAACATTACACTCAATAATCAATTTTTGCACATGTTCTAGTAAGCTTTTGTAATCGATTGTTAATACATATCTTTTTATTATTTGAGTCGACAAGATGGCTGCAATAATATTCTGGAAGATTTAATGATTCTCCAAAAATATCATATGGAGTAATCTCCGTCAACATGTAATAGGATTGGATATTAGTATTTGGCCGGGCATCAGTAAAACAAAATCCTAGATGGTGACTTCATTATTAGAAATAAAACAGTTTTTCAAACGATGAAAATATTAAGTATTGGACTGGGCTTATAGAAAACCGCTGTTCAAAAGTAGAATTTGGGTCCATTCTAGAAAAGCGATTAGACAGAGTTCTTTCTGTACACATATGGCGGATAAATTGAATAACTTCTGTAAATTTAGAGAGGTTTTAAATGACTCTTACCCAATGGAAGCGTCAACAAAGAAATAGAAGGTTGTTCTAAAATATATTGTCTTATTATTATTTGAAGCCAATCAATATCATATTTTGGCACAATTGGTAGAAAGGAAACTCTTTATAACATGGGTTAAAATAAAATTGTGCGGCCGAAAGTTTTGGGATTTTAGAAAGCAAAACAAAAAGTGGTTTTAAGAAAAATTGTGAATTCATACAAATCAAGATTAAGTTAACCAAATAAAAAAAGGAAAAATGTGGATATGAACCCATCTCATATTATTAACAATTTCTTGTTTTCTTAAAAAGTCGATTAATTGTGAAATCATTGTTAACCTAAAGATTGAAATACCAAAGTTTTCTAAACTATATAGGGTTATAATTTTCACATCGGTTAGTGTTTGAGATTCCTGTAAATTATTAATCTAAAGACTAGTCCAGCAAATTGAATTAATTTGGTTTATTTGGTTAAAACTAGAACAAATTAATAGCGTTGGGATAAAGTTAGTTTTAATTTCCATAAATGGATTTAAAGATATATATCTTCAAATTCATTAAAAACATATATTTTTTTTGTAATTATCATAGTCAACTCCTTCATTTGCTAGGATTAAAGAAAAAAATCAGAAGGATATGGTGAGTTTTTTCCAAAAAATTCATAAAGGTTAGGGCAAAATGTAATATCAAAGAGTTTAGGTAATGAACTCTTGTATAAACCGAGAAATTTGACGGTTTTCAAAAAAGAAAGATCAAAGTCTTTTATACTAAATGATTGAAAATTGCATAAATAGGTGTTTATTTTTGATGAGAAGTCCTGTCGTTCCATATTTTTTTGGCTGTGGCGCAAAAAATTAAATTAACCATGTTTTTATAATAACTTTTAAAAGATCTATCTTGTATAAAGAGTTTAAAATACTTCAAACTTAGTGTATTGTTTTGTTTCAATAACTCGGAAAAAAATTTTTTAAGAGATCGAATAGACTGAAGGGTTTGTAGTATTCTCAATAAAAAAAAAAGATTTTGTATTAATATCGAGATAAATAACATGCTGAAGAATAGAATTTGGAATGTTAATGTAATAACATGGTTCCCTAAAAAATATTTTAGGACTAGACTTGAAGGTAACACGTCTTTTCAACTATTTACTCACTAGTAAAAAAAAATGAATTTCAAAATAAATAAAATACTGAAACACCAGTTTTTTCTACTGCTCCAGTTTGGTTATACAGAAGTTTATAACTAAAAGAATCATTTCCAATATAAGTTTTGTAAATAATTTGGCTTATTATCAAATTAAGTCTTTTACATAAACACAATATTCCACTAATGTCGGAAAAAGATGCCACTTGAGATCTGTTCCGGTAAACTTGATTAGAAACTACTTTTAATATATAAAAAAAAAAATAGGCTCGATAATTTCAGTTGGAAGCTGAGCAAAAGGAACTTGTTCCATTTTGTTTGGTTTAAAAGATAAATTTCAGAATTTTGTATTGAATTTATAATTAAAAAAAAAACATTGAATAAAAAAATAGAAAACTAAAAAAAGTTCAAGTGAGTTTAATTTTCTGATCAATAGATAACTAGGATTGAACAGTTTGATTCTTCAACCTTATTGACTTGAACTGTATTCTTCCAATATACCTCTTGGGTCAATAGTCACGCCAGTGGCATTACCTTCCATAGTGTATTTGCTTGTTATAAGTTGTATGCAACCTGATTCTGGAATACCTGGCGAGATACCGAAAATGTCAAAAGACGATACAACAAATCTTTCACAATAAAGCCATTTGTAAAATTTGGGGTCTACAGTGCTGAGAAATGTTTTTAGAGGAGTTAGGTTTGCCAGAGTTATGAAATTTGCTAACCGCAAGACAAAAGTGCTGGGGGATGGAGTGTACCCAGAGTCGAAAGTGATACGGCTAGCCAGGGTTCTTTGGACACACATGTGGTAGATTAGCCGGTATACCTCCTCAAACCTTGGAGCCAAACTCTTGTCACAATGTACAGGTAGAGTAAGAGACTGGAGAGAAGGATGGTTTAATATATAAGGCTTTATGATTTCAAAATGATTAAAGAGAGAGACTTTGCGAGGTTCATGTTTGTAAAAATGTGCCTTTTGAAGATTTGGTAGCTGTGGGAGGATTGGGAAAATGTCTTTTAAAAAGTCAGACGCCTGTATATCATTAGCAAAACGATTTAATGATGAAGAGTCTCGAATGTGAATTCGTTTAATTTGCTGGCAAGTTTTCTTGTCGGTTAATAAGACTTTAATTTGTTGGAGGGGGAAATCAGGTGAACAAACATTAGCGCCAAAGTTTTCCAAATTCGGCAGATTGGGAAGCACTACCAGCTTACCTCTAGGCCCAATTGAATTCTCCGAATAATCAATAAAAAGACTGGTCAATCTGGATGTGTCAACAAGCAAGGTTTTCGTCATGTCTACGCAAACAAACAAAACGGGCGAAAAATAAAGCGGGTTATTATTGAAAAAATTTTTAAGGTAGCAAACCCTTAAAAATTCAGAATCATTAGTGGTTAAATTACCTGGCCAAATGACATTTATGTCGTGAAAAGGTTGATCTCTGTTCTCCCAAACGATTTCCTTGACGTTTGGCATGTGCTCAAGAGAAATTTTTTGAACATTATTTGAAGTATATTTGTGAAACAACCTCAAGAAATCAACGCATTGTAGGAAAAAATCATCGAAATGAGTTTCAGTAAAAGTTTCAAAAATACATAAATGAAGATGAATTTTGGAATGTGATAGCTTTCGTTTTTGGATTTTTTCAGCAATCGATCTGGTAATGTTTTTGAAAAAAAAAACTTGATTAACACCAATCGGATTAAGCTCAATGATCAATTTTAAGTACTTCAAATTAGAAGAAAGCCGGTGGTCTAAAAAACTGCAGATCTCTTGCAGTATACTGACGCATATGTAAACTTGAGAAAATTGTTTTTTTAGGCTTGTAGAAGAGTTTGTATTAATGGCAAGGTTTGTCACATTACAAAGAATGCTTGTGGGTATTATATTGAAATTTATTTTTTCAGATCTAAAACTGTTAAATTGGTTTTTTTTTTTTTTTTTTTTAGTTGAATCTATTTATTTACCTAACGGAAATTTTTTCAAATAAGGCCAAATTTAAATCATTGCCTTCGTAAGAATGCATGTTTACTCCAAGCTCAAGTCGTTTGTAAATAATGCCGTTTATGACTTCATGTAGTCGTTTACAAGATTGGGCAAGTCCTTGAATCGTGGTCAACTTGACTCGAATCTGTCGGCGACAAGAAAAGGAAATATCTGGTGGCCATTCCCAAGTTTTCAAAAACTTGATTAAAGCTTGTCTTCTCATTGTGTATGGTCTATAGTCAAGAAGAATTACCTTATTGATAATCATTTCAAGAACTTCCATGGGAAGTTGGGCCAAAATTCCTTGTTGTTTCATTGTTGAAAGAGAAAGAGAAAGAAAAAAAAATTGACTATTCATTTTAAACTCTACCAAAACTGTTTTAATACACTTTGTGTGTTGATTGTAACAACTTTTGTCAGTTTAATTGGCATGTATTTATAAAAAGTTTCTCTTCTTTCATCCATTCGAATGCAGTTAAACTCTGAAATCCCAAAAGACTCCCCAAAAATGTCAAAGGGGGAAAATGACTTGATACACGAATCAATCTCTACGCTGCTATTTTCAGGCACATTTTGCAAAACTTTGGCTCGGGTCAGACGTGTGTCTACAGCATGTGAAAAGCGTAGTTTAAACTGACATTTTGAAGAATCAGAGGGAATTAGCAGTTTCCGTTTTGTGCACATGTGGCGGACAAAATTAACGGCTTGGTCAAACTCTGGAGCCATCTGGCTATCGCGAACAACCGGGATGGTAAGAAACAAAAGTGATGGGTGGTTCAATGTGTAGCATTTGAAAAGCTCAAAGTAGTTATAGTCTACCTTTGTGTAAGCGTAAACCATGGATTGGTAAAAATGGGCCCCTTGAAGGTTTGTCATTTGTAGTAAAAGGGGTGCGAGATGTTTTATATAGAGATATTTTTTATTTGACTCTTCAATATAAAGCCGCTCAATCTTGGTTCTGATAACGGAATCACTTAGAATTGTTTTAACAACAGAAAACATTTCCTTGTGGATAATACGAGCACCAAAATTTTTTAAATTGCATAGCTCTTTTCCTTTATAGCATGAGCCACCAGAATAGAACTTTGAGTCAGTAAAATAAAGGCTAGTCAAGGAAGACAGGTTAAACATATGGGCGTCATTGATATTATAGCAGCTTAATAAAACAGGAGCAATATTAAAACAACAGCTAAAGTTTGATTTAACACAGCATATGGTTGTACGAGATTTATAGCCATTGGTCCCCAAATTTCTTGGAAGTAATGTTCTTATGATTTCGTTATACTTTCTTGTTGAGTCCCAGAAAAACTCTTGAAGGTTTGGGATTTTTTTAATTGCAACCACATTTGAATCTTGGCGAAGACCCTTGTATAGAGTGAGAAATGTGACGAATTTTAAAAAGGAGTCGTCGAAATGGGTTATGGAGACAGAATCGTACACGCAAAGATGGAGCTCGAGAGGTGCAGTGGTGTGTCGCAGGTCAAGCGCACGTGCGGCTTTTCTGGTGGTCTCTATAAACTTGTCATGTCTTTTTCCAATTTCTTTAGTATGAACAAGCAGTTTTAAATACTTCAAATTGGGAGTAATTTTCAAGTCTAAAATTTTACAAATAGCTTTCAACACTTTGTAGTAAACAGGAGATTTCTTTTTCCTGGAAAACCCACAGCACTCGGTGTTAATGCTAAGAAAAGTAACTGTTTGCAAAATGGACTCTGGAATGTAAGCAAGTTTTATATACGGGTGCCTGAAAAATTAGCAAAAAAAAAAATTTAAAAATTTAGAAAAAAAAAAAAAAAAACTTACTCAAAAAAATAGAAATTTTCAAGATGACCAACATTAGATCCCTTTGGTAGAGCATAAGTTTTGTTTACATTCGACATTCCAATCAATACGTTTTGATAAATGATGGTTCGCACCACATTGTAGATTCTTCTACAAGTAAAAGTCAAGCCTTTAATTTGATCAAAATTGCAAACATAAAGGTCTTCTGGTTTGGAATCGTAGTATTTTTTATTGTACTCCTTGTACTCATTGCTTGTGGAGATGTGATGTTGGAAGCTAAGTTTCATGGCTTGCGAAATAATGAGAACAAGGATCTCATAAGGAAGCAGTGCAAAAGGGCCCTGTGTAACCATTGTAAATTTAAAATAAAGCAGTTAATTATTATTAGAATGATTGAGTATAAAAAAAAACCCTCCAGTTGAAATACTTGGACAAAGTTGTTTAAATAAGATCGTGGAGTTGATATTTTTATAGTCATTTAAACTTTAAATGGGACTTATTTTATGGTAGTTATTTATTACTTGTATGTTTATTTTTCTTTTGCTTCTCCTTCTTCTTCTTCTTCTTCTTCTTCTTCGTCCTCTATCCAAGCATCTCCCATCTCAATTACTTTTTCAGAATTGATAGTCAACAGATAAGTACTCGTTAAACTGATGGATCCTGCAAACGCACAACACTGGGCCTCAGACACACCCACAATTCCAGGGCCTAGAATGTCTACCGGCGAGATATTAATTTTCTCTATAACAAAAAGCCCACTTTCTTGAGGAACTTTGCCTTTGAAAAAGTTTTCTGGCATAGATAGACTTAGGGATGGCGAAGTTATAGATTGACACAGGCGTAGCACAAAAGTATTGCCCTGACAAGAGCTCATTTTTCGGATAAAATTTGCAACGGATTTAAAAGTAGACAAATGAGAACTTAAAAAAATTGCAGGAAGAGTAAGCGATTTTAAAGCCGGGTGAGATATAACATGTTCTTGAATGTTTTGAAAGTAATCAACAGAAGGCACACGACCAATTTGAAAATCTATCAATTGGTAGAAATGTGCCGCTGTAAGAGCAGGGAATTGCGAAAGAAGAGGAAAAACTTTTAAAATATTTGGCAAGGAATCAGTCGATGATAAAAATTTAGAAGTGGAATAGTCGTTGATGTGGAGTCGTTTTAGAGAGGAAGCGAAAGATGGGTTTTTTAAGAAATTAATTTTGGCACTGGAGTTTAGGGAGGAATCTAAAATATCATTAATTTGGATCCCGAGGTTTTGAAGGTTTGGCAAGTAGACCTCAAATAACGAGGTGGGGTTGATATGGGTCAAGTAGAGACTCGTCAGGCAGGAAAGATCGACGTAGTAGGACGGTTCAAAGGTTGGGCATACAAGAAGGTCTGGAACAAAGGAGATAGGGCTATAGGAAGTGCCGATCGAGGCGTGATTCCAGAAAATGGAAGGGGTGAGGCTGGTGCGATGTGGAGATGAGGTGTTGAAAAGGGTACCGGTTGTGTGGTTCGGGAAATGAGGGACAATGATGAGATGTTTGATATTAGGCATGAGCTCGAGATATTCATTAAGTTGGTGTATATACCTGCCCATTCCGTTTTGCTTATACATTGTCAAAACGTTGACAAAAGTTAAAAAGTCTTTGTCGAAAACGGATTCGTTTAAAGAATGGCTGATACAGAGATGCACTTTAATAGGGGGTCGATTATCTTTAGAATGATTGATTTTGTTAGCGGCTTGCTTGGTTAGTTTCTGAAACTCATCAATATGACAAATGCCTACAATTGGTGTGTGGATATAGAGCTGAAGATACTGGAGTTGTGGGGTAAACGTGCTATCGAGAAAGCGAACAATATCAGTCATCATGGAGAGATAGGTTGGGCAAAAGGGCTTGCGCATAATTATAGATGACAAAGTGGACACACTGAGGTGAGTGATATTTGAGAGAATTGATTGAGGGATCAAGCAGATGTCAGCCTTGAAGATTCTATTTTTTTTTTTTAATTGTTAAATAAAGAGATGGCGAGAGGTAGGAGGAATATATATATATATATATATAAAGACTTACTGTACTTCGAAACCGTGATTTTGGGAATAGGTCACATTGCTTGAAGAAGGTTTATACCAACTTTGAGGTTTTTTTTCAACTATGACATGCTTGTAGATAAGTCTATGGACAATAGATTGGATTTTTGTGCATGTTATTCCCAAGTTTTTGAGGTCTTTAAGTAGTAATTTTATTTGGACATGAGTTGTAGTGTGGGGGTCAGGCAAAATATAATTTTTGATATATTGTAAGGATTCTTGAGAATAAGAGGTATCGCAGATTAAGAAAATATAGAACACGATGATTTGTTCTAAAATTTCATTTGGAAGCTTTGTCAAAATCATTTGAGGAGTTGTCATTTGAGCTTGTTATTGAAAAAAAAAAAAAAAAAAATGGAGAATATTTAAGTGAAAAGTTGGCTTGCTTTTATAGGTATGGAAATTGATTGATGATTGAATTAAAATTAAAAAAAAATTGATGTACGATTTATTGTTTATTGATTTAACCAACAATCAAATTTTTTTTGAAAAGATTATCAATTGAGTTGTATCTTGATTTTACAATTTTTGAATTGACTTTAGGATGTCATTTTTTTTTTGCTTGTTTATAATGCTTTTTAAAGAGGAGAGTAATTTTATATTAAAAAAAAAGAATTAAGTCAAATGTATTTTCAAAAACCATTTCCATTTTTTTAAATTCTTTTTTAAAAAATTATTAAAGTATATAGAAACAAAATACAATAATATTTTTACTAGTCGCAACATTTTTGGCAAAATTACATTTTTTGAAATCTGTTAAAATTTAAATTTTCAAACAGAACAATAAATGTAATCTTTGGGCGTGTAGTGTAGTGGTTATCGCGTCTCATTTGCATTGAGAAGGTCACCGGTTCAATTCCGGTCTCGTCCAATATCTTTTTGCTATTTTTTGGTTCTTTTTTTTCTAAGGCAATTGAATTGGTAACTTTTTTTTTTTTTTTTGAAGGTGTCTGTCTGTCTACTACTAAAAACCAAAAGTTTCAGTTATTTGCCTTTTTTATAATCGTTTAAAAAAAAAAAAGTTATAGTTGTTAAGCTTTCTATTAGAGAAATAAAAACACTTTTTTTTTTCAAAATACGACTCTTATTTTTCAAAAATGTCGTATTAAAAAACCCCCCCTAAAAAGATTTATTTATTATTAATTATATATATTATAACTATTGATGTGAAATTTCCAAAAAAAAAATAAGAATAAAATAAAATAAAATAAATAAAAAAAAAATTACACCAAAAATCACTTTTGCTTATACATTTTGTAGCTCCACTTGAAGATAATCTTGAAAGCATCCCAAGAATTAATATCCGGCCACAAGGTGGGGATAAACTCTACGGAGCAATTATCGCAGCTCTGCCAAATCATATAATCTGATAACCGCGTTTCACCTGACGTGCGCACCATAATGTCAAGTGGTGGAGACTGGCCAGTGTACATTGTTCGCTCGTAAAGCGGCTCGTCAATGGCGGTTGGGTCCAAGTCCTTAGTCTCTGCGTCGGATACGATATTACGGATTGCTTGGGCCATGTCATCGCGAGAAGTATAGGGGAAAGCAATGTTGAGGATTCCTCTAAAAAAAAAAACAGTTAGTAACACGAAATATAAGTTTTTTTTTTTTTTTTTTTAGACTTTACCTGGTCATATCTTTAGTGGCATCTTCGAGGTTTTCAATGAGTACAATGATATCTTCTGGAATAAGTTCTCTATTTCCAATAAAACGAACCGAGACACCATAACGATGAGGAATTGCACTAGAAAATGAGTTAGAAAAGTTAGAAAAGATAGTAAATTTAAAATTTAAAATAAAAAAAAATTTAAGTAAAGACTACTCTTTCTCCGAAATAAGAAGAAGTTTACTGCGAATAATGTTAAAAAGAGATTCAATTTCGTGTTCTGGACGGTTAAAGTTTTCAATGCTAAAAGCATAAACGGTGACTGCATAGACTCCTAGGTTATATAAGATTTCGAGAATCTCGAATATGTTAGCGATTAGATAAAAATAAAAAAATAAATAAATAAATAAAATAAAAAAAAAATAAAAAAAAAATAAAATAAAATAAAATAAAATAAAAAAAAGACATTATTATTTAATTTAATTTAATTTAATTTAATTTTTTTTTTCAAACTTACATTGCTAAGACTCTCAAACCCTGCCACATGACCTTCTCCTAGTTCAAGTCCATTATTTTGGGCAAACCGTCTATTACCGTCCATGATGAAAGCAATATGTTGTGGGACGGGTCCACAAGCCACAATGTTTCCTAAAAATTCACGCGCAAAGCCTTGAAGAAAGCCATATGCGGGGAACGCAGAAACCCAACGACGAAAGGACATTTTTTTATTATTATTAGTATTGGTATTAGTAGTAGTAGTAGTAGTATTAGTAGTATTAGTAGTATTAGTAGTTTATTGTATTAGGTAAATAAAATTAAAATTAAAATTTTTTTTTTTTGGGGGGATTTCTAAAGGGTTTTTATAGTTTTTTTCTTTCTTTCTAATAAACAAAAAAAAAAAAATATTTAGAATGTGTGATTTGATTTTTGAAAAGATGAATATTTTAACAAGATCTTTAATTCATTTATTTATTCATTCATCTATACAAAATTTATCTCTTTTTTTTTTTTTTCTACTTTTAATAAGAAAAAATATATAAAACTAAAAACTAAAACGCCTTTAAAAATAAATAAATAAATAAAAAAAATTCCCCGAAAGTTCCCGAAGAGTTTCTGTTTATTTCAGAACTTCGGTTCATCTGACTGTTTCTTTTTTTTTTTTTTAAAAAAAAACCACACCCGATTTCACCTATTTTTTTTTAAAGTCCTGCTGCTGTTATTGTTTAACTAATGTCCCGACTGAGTCCCGTGCGGCTTTTCATTCTCATTCTCTTTCTCTCTCTTTTTTTATCACATTTGTTGCATTTTCAAAGAACCCCCCCTCCCTCCCCTCTTTAAATGTTTATTATGTTGTTGCATTTAAAGTTTTTTAATAAAAAAAAAATTCTTAGCCATTAAGCACACACTTAAATATTCTGACGTCCGTTGTTAATTTTATTTTTTTTTTATTTTTTTTTTTATTTTTATTTTTTCTTTACTATCCTCGAATCACACACCCTCCACCCAAAAAAAATTCGAAAAAATTCGAAAAATTTATAAAAATTTTAAAATGATCCCTGCAACACAGCGAATCCATTCCAAATCATGGACCCGTACTATCAAACCATTAGTCCGCATAGCCCGTTCTTACACCTCTTCTTCATCTAGCTCTACTGTCGTCACTGCTGCTGCCACATCCCTGCTCAACACACCACCATTGGCACCGGCTGCACTCTCTGCATTTCTAGGTGCCGCACAATCACGACTGGCTATAAATTCTCCATCATCCATTGTTGTTCTAGCATCACCAGGACTTGCTCCCTCACTAGTCGCCTTTGCAGAGTCCTACACGGGTGCACCATCACTTGTAGTGGCTGCAGTCGATGGTATCCCATTAGGTGCTCAAAGAAACGCATTGTCTGCACTATTCCTTAACTCTCCATTAGCCCTAGAGGACGCCTTACCATTACAATCAAACGAACAACAACAACTGGAAGTCCTTGGTCGGCCATCAGCAAGAGGTGTACGTACTGCACGTAACCCTTGGACTTTGGATCATGGCGTTCTAGCCGTGAGAGTGGGAGATCAAGATGCTCCAGACTTTGCAGTACAACTCGCAAGTACGCTTTTCGAAACAGGTACTCAAACTACTCTCATGTATGTACCTGGAACAACTTTAGACAAATCACAACAGAATCAGAATCAGAATCAGAATCAGAATCAGCACCCGCTTGCACGGAAACTTCTGGCCAGTGCACACATACATGTAGCAAGTTTGGGTTCACGGGTAACTGCACACTCATGTGCACCTCTCCGTGACTTGTCTGAGGGCCAGACTCATGCCGTGACCGCAGCTAAGAGCAACATGGTGAAGCAGATTGATGGCAAATCTGCAGCCGGATTTTTGGAGCGTAGTGTTGCGTTGATGGAGCCTCATAAGGATGCCAATGCCGATGTCAGTGTACCTGTGCATGTCCCCGAACGTAAAGTGTTTGCACAGGTAGGTGTCGATGGTTCCCGGTATGAGGTAATTGCTGGTGGTGGTGGAGCATGGTCTGCTCGTAGCCGAATGTTAGTACTAGATCCTGGAGCGTCACCTATTGCCGGTGACTCGATTTCATTTTGGCTTTCGGAACCTGGACTTTTATTTGATGAAACTCGGTATGCCAGGTACTTGGAACAGAATGGTGTAGAGTTGAAGGGAAATAATGGACTGAGGATTGCATTGGAGTGTGCACCAGTTGTTGAAGACTTGGAGATCCTTAATGGACGATCCGGACTGCTAAACGTGCCTGAGGCTACAGTAGTTGATAATTTATTTGGTGCAAGTTGTGAAAACGGGTTTTTGGTTGGGTCAGCTAAGCACTCAGTACCTGGTGAGCTTTTCGAGTTACGGGTTAGCAATTAAATTTTAGAATAACTTTTATAAATCTTTTAGAATAACTCCATTTATTATTTGTATATATCATTATTATTATTATTATCATTATCATTATTATAATTACTATCATTATAATTAAAAAAAAAAAAATTAAATCAAAACATTTACTTGATTGACCCCCTTTACATCCCTCCAAAGGACCCCACCAACACAGAAAAAACGTTTGTTTGGAGTTCTCCACTAAATAAAGCAGCCAGCACGCTCTGCGGCCGGATATTATTTTTAGTATGAGCATCTGCAAATACAATAACAGGCTGTTGAGAGTCTGTTGCAGCCAACCCCAGAAGTGAAATTAGTTTCTCAAGAGGTGCCATTATAAGACTCCACAAAACAGTTTTGGCAGCAGCCCCCGTGGCCCGCACGGCATGAGCGGCTGCTGCAAACACATCTGCAATCGAAAGTGAAGTACCGGTAGAAGTAGCCAAAGAATTTGTACGTGCCGTAGCCACAAGGGCTCTCCAAAACTCAGTGGCAAATTTAATTCCAACAGCTAACGAAAGAGTCTTAAGGGCTAACCGCCAAATATCTGTAGCCAAAAACTGTTCAAGTCCTAATGGATCAAGGTTAGTGATGGCCGTACATGCTGCATTTTTTGGTAGTCGTGGTGGAGAAGAAGTAGAAAGGTGAGAGGAATGGGCCCGAACAGAAACAGAAACCGGAACCGAAACCGGAACCGAGACTGAGACTGGAACAAGTTTATCAGCATCACGAGCAAGAGCAGCAACCCATTTAGCTGTTCCTGATTGAGCTCGTCTGCGGGGTTCCAAAGCCACAAAAAAATCTGCAGAGATTAAAAGGTCTTGCTGGGGGTCTGCAGGAGTTTTAGGAATACGAGCGACTTGGACACGCTTGTCTCTATTGATCAAGCAAGTTGGTGATTGATTTTCAGAGACTCTACGGACAGGTTGTTCTGCACACCAAGCTGCAAACTTTTTAGCAGCTGCGTGGCGGAGCCATGTGGACCCGTGGTAGGAAAAGATATGAGCGCAGAGGTCTGGGAGGTCAGTTGAGACGGCGCAGGGGAATAATGGGAAGGCTGTAGTTGTTGCTGTTGCTGTTGGTGCTGCTGCTAGTAGTGATGGTGCTAGTGCGGCAGTAGTGGTGGTGGCAATAGTTGCTATATTACCTAGGTCGACTATACTCTGGTCTAGAACAGCTTGCTTTGCATGCTCAATAGCCTCATCTAGAGACACGTCAAAAAGAAATGGCGGAACATCAGCATGTTTCATTTCACGTAAAATGGCAAGTTTTAAACGTGGGATATCTGCTAGCGGAACACAAGAGGCTGCAATGACCGGGATGACTGGAGCGTATCGGGCCAAGAGGGCCATGTAATCGATATCTTGTGGGGAAAGAGGAGCCGCAATAGAGTAGATACAAGCATCAACCATAGGGATAGCACTAAGTGATGAAGAAGAGGAAAGTATTGAAAGGGCTTCTTTTGTTGTTGGGTTGACTAGAGAAGCAGTTTTGTCAAAGGCGGCGTGGAGATAAGCACCAATACGGGCTGGGACAGCAGGGTGTGAGGAGTACCCGATGGTATCTACAAGACAAATGTTTTTTTCTAGGGCGGCGAGGTCTGATGATACGGAAAGGGACTGTGTAACTGATGCTGATGATCTACGACGGGTAGGAAAGGAGGTAGAAGTAGAAGTAGAAGTAGAAGTAGAAGTAGAAGTAGAGGCAGATGTGGATGTAGATGTAGATGTAGTTGGGTCATCCAAGGGAGTATCTGAATCATCATAGTCCAGGTGGGGTCTTGTAGAGGCAAGATATTCCCATAAAAGAGGTCCATGATGGTCTGATACTGGGGTTGGAGTTTGATCAATATGGATAATTTCTCTTGAAGTTTGAGCCATGGCATGAAGGAGGGCTGATTTCCCTGAGGCAGAGTTACCAGCAATGAGAAGTTTAAGTTTAGTGATTGCAAGGCCATCTGGGGTGAAGGGAGGTCTTGAAGGCATAGTAATTTTGGGCATGATAAACTTTGGAGAAGGTGGATGATGGAGGGGTGGTGGAGAGTATTTAAGGGCTCTAGCAAAAGCTGCACTAGTGGCTAAGGGAATGAGGAGGTCGTTATCATCATCAGAGTCTGGGGTTGAGAGGACTCTTTGAAGGGTATAGGAGGGGTCATTTGTAGTTTGTATTGGTGATGAGGATGAGGAAGAAGATGAGGAGGAGGATAGTTGGTCAAGGTTATCATCATCATCTTCTTCTTCTTCTTCATCTGCTTCTTCATCAGCTTCTATTTCTATTTCTACTTCTTCTCCATCTTCATGTTCCATATCTGTATCTTCACTAATGATTGATGTTGGACGGACGTAAGTTGGATGAGAAGTTTTACTGAGGGGGTCTTGGTTTGTAAGAATGAGGGTTGGAGTTAATGGAGGTAAGGGAGGAGAAGGATAAGAGGATTCTTTAGGTGGTTTTTGACGGGATTTGATGGCAAACATGGGGAGGGAAAAGTGAATATGAGAGTAAAAAGTATAAAGATATTTGAATATTTGAATGTTTTTAATTATATTTGATTATATTTAAATATCTTTTATATATAATTAAAAGTTCTTGTTGCTGTTGTTGTTTAAAGAACAAAAAAAAAAAAAAAAAAAAAAAAGAAGTTGTTTTTTTTTTGTTTTTTTTTTGTTGAGCTGATAAGAGCAGGTGGAAGGTATGAATGAATGAGGATGGCGTTATCAGTGTAATATCACGTGAATAGGTGGTCATCATTAATTAATTTTTATCTAACTAGGGTGGTTGTGGGGGGTGTTCATGTGAATGAGAAAAAAAAAAAAAAGAAAATAGATAGGTGGTTAAGGGTTAGGTTTAATTAAAATTAAATTATGTGAAGTTAAGTTAAGTTAGGTTAAGTTAAGTTAAGTTAAGTTAAGTTAAATGTAATAAATAAATGTAATAGTTTATCTAACACTGTCTTTGTTAATTAAATATTTAAACATTGAAATAATAACTTATTTTAATGTTTAGCAACTTTCCCAGTTAGGAAGACAGTCCACTGAGTTTATTTAACGTTTGTATGCTTTTGAGACACCTAATCTAAACCAGATTAGATCATTATTGCTATTATTATTTTAGATAGATTAAAAAAAAAAAGACATTTAGCTCAGTTCAGAATTGTGCATTTGGTGTCGATAAAAAAAAAAAAAAAAAATTTGGGTAGTTGGTGATGGCGGTGGTGGTGGTAGTTGAGTTTCGTTGAGTTGTTACATTATTTTGTTTGAAATTTTTTTTTTTTTTTATAATTCTGCGGGAATTTCTCAATAAAATTTAACGAGAACAATATATAAATGAAAATAAAATTAAAATAGTTAAATTTTATAATAAAGTAAGATAAAAAAAAAAAAAAAAAAGAGATTTTCGAGATTGAGATTTTTTTTGATATTTTTTGATATTTTCTGATATTTTCTGATATTTTCTGATAATATTTTTCTTTCAACAAAAAAAAAAAAAAAAAAAAAAACAAAACCAGTTAAGCGAGCGATGAAGACGACAGAACAAGGTTACCTAATAGTTTAGTCATCAACCATTCTATAAAAGTTTGTTATATAAAAAAATTAAAAAAAAAAAAAAAACATAAAATAAATCACACTCGGCCGAGTGTTTTTCCAACATTTCTTTTTTTTTCATTTTTATTTTTCATTTTCATTTTTTAAAAAAAAAAAATTAAAACTTATCACCAAATGATATCCAAAAAGAAAAAAAGAAATAAAAAAAAAAATTATTTTATTTTAGTGCCAGTTTGTTTTGTTTGGCTGCCTTGATTGAAAAAAAAAAAAAAAAAAAAAAAAAAAATTCCTAAACCAGCCAACAAACAAACCAACCAATCATCCCAATCATCCAATCATTCAATTAACAAACCTAACAAACTTTACAAACGTTTGAAACAAACAAAAAAGAAAAAAAAAAAAAAAAAAAAAGGTAAAAAAGAAAAGAAAACTGGCAAAATCTCAAAATTTTTTTTATTTTTTTTGTTAAACGAGCTTGTTTATCAAAAGTAAAATCTGAATATAATAAATTAAAAAAAAAAATAATAATAATAATAAATCATAATGATTAGTTTATTTGTTATTTTAAAATATATATATATATATATTAAATATATTAAATAATAAAAGATAATAGTGGTAGTAGTGTAGATGATTATGATTATGATTATGATGATTATGATGATGATGATGATTATGATGATTATGATGATGATGATGATGGTAGTGATGATGATTAGATAATTAACACAGGGTCCACTTCCTGGAGAGGAGACCTCACGTGTGTGGAGACTTGTTGTTGTTGATGTTGTTGTTAAATAATTGTATATATATATTTTATTATATTATTAATATTAGTAGAAAGGGTCAACCCTCATCATAATTAAAACCTATGAAAATTATTGATTAAATAAATAATTATTATAATTATATTTATTATATTTATAAAAAAAAAGACTTTATTTTATTTTTTTTTTTTGGTTTAAAAACTCTTATTTATATATATTTATATATATTAGCAGCACAAAAAACAACAAACAGAAGCCACCTTAAAAAAAAAAAAAAATATTAAACTAGTACAATAGAAGCAACCCTAAAGGCAGTGAAAAAAAAAAAAAAAAAAAAAAAAGGGATTTTCTTTTTTGGGTCTTTTAAATATAAATAATAAATCTTAAAAAAAAAAAATAAACCTTTTTTTTTTTTTTTTTTAAATTCCTAAATTTCTTCTTCTTCTTTTTTCTTTCTTTCTTTCTTTCTTTCTTTCTTTCTTTCTTTCTTTCTTCTATTTCTTATAATCATCATTTCAAAGAATAAAAAAATAATTAAAATTAAAATGCACAGACCACCATCACAAATTCCTTCAGTAATGCCTTTACCTCCTTTACCACTTTCTATGGTTCATCAACAACCAAATATTCCTTCTTCTCATTCTCATTCTCATTCTCATCCTTCTCATTCTCATTCTCATCCTTCTCATTCTCATTCTTCTCATTCTCATACTTCTTCATCTTCTTTATCTTCTCCTCCATCTTCATCTTCATCATCTTCAATGCTTCCACGCAAAAAACGCAAGTTTCTTTGGCGTAAAGATTCGGTTGATGAAATACTCGATTGGATGGGTGCAAATTGTTTACCAGCTATTCGGTCAGTTACAAAGGAAATAGCAGAAGCTATTAAGGAAACTTTTTTCGCAAAGGAAGATCAAGTCACAGTAGTTGTTATTCAAACCAAATTTCAAAACCTTCGCAAACAATATAAAGCAGCAGGTGAAATTCTTAATGGTCAAAGACCTATTCCAAACCATAATCATAATCAAATTAATAATAATAATAACAATAATAATAACTCTCAAGATGACCAACAAGATCAAAATACTTTAACCTCTCCTAAATCTCAACAAGATTCTCGAAAAGAAGCTGCTTTAAAAGAATGTCCTTATTACTTTAAAATGCATACTCTTAACCAACGCTATGAGTCCCAACTTAAAGCTCAAGATGCTCATCTTTATCAGTCCTCTGCACATCTCCATCTATCCCATGTTAAGCGTATGGCCAAAGAAGAAGCTGCTTCTCATCAACAGCAGCAGCAACAGCAACAGCAACAAAATCAAAATCAAAATCAAAATCAATACTATCAACTACCACCTCCAGCTGGTCTTTCCAACTCTAACACTACTTCCACTACTGCCACTACTGCCACTACCATTTCATCCTCATCTTCATCTTCAACCTCAACCCCAGTCCAGCAACAAAAGCAGCAGCCACAATCACAGCAACAGCAACAGCAACCAACTACACCTTACAATTCCATCCCAGCCTCAGCCACAACTCTCCTCACTGCTGCTCAAACACTTTTACCTCCATGTCGTCCTCCCAAACGTCCCTACGACGATTACCATCCATCTTCATGTTTATCTGCTCCTCCAACACCTTCTGGCACTCCAGCAAGTATGAGCCAACAACAACAACAACAACAACCTTTACTACCCTCGGTGCACTCGTTTGATGCACTTAGAAAACATACTCAACCACCAGCTCAAAAACATGTTTTACCTCCACTGTCATCTGGTCCTTCTCCTAAAACTTCTTCTTCTTCTAATAATGTTCTCTCACCTCCTCAACAGTCCCGACCTGACCCCGCGTCAACTCCAGTGTCGCCTGCACCAGTCCAGGACCAATCTGTTCCATCCAGCCAATCATCCTTGTCATCATCTTTATCTTCATCTTTATCTTCATCATCATCATTTTCTTCTTCTTCTTCTTCTTCTTCTTCATCATCAAGACCCCAGTCACGTCAAGGATCACAACATACTTCTCCTACATTAAAAGCATCTGCTCTTGGTGCAGTGTCAGACCCCCCACTATCATCTGTACGAGAGACATCTTACCGATCAGCCGCCGTGACCTCCAAAGATCCAGCCGCGGTAGTTTTACCGCCGCTTTATTCACGATCCAATGGACCCTTAGCTCCGTTGAATTATCCAACTCATCCAAGTTCTATTACACCCAGTTCTGTAGTAGCACACAACCATCATCATCAGCAGCAGCAGCAGCAGCAGCAGCAACAACAACAACTTCATCATCATCATCAGCAACAGCAACAACTTCATCATCATCATCAGCAACAGCAACAGCAACATTATCATCAACAACAACAACAGTACCTATCAAATAGTTTACCTCCACCTCCTTCTTCGTTAAGCCCCTTGGAAGTAGAATATCTTTGGAATACGGTGCATTTATTGCGCAATGAGGTGCGTGAGTTAAGAGAACGCGTTGACAAGGGTCAGAGTTTTGCCGCGGCTGCTGCTGCAGGCGTGTCTACGATAGCGGATGCTGCAGCCGCCGTGATGGGTGGAGGAGGAGGAGGAGGAGGAGAGAGAGAGAGGGGTGAGTGTTAGTTTTGATGGTAGTTTTAAAAAAAAAAAAAAAAAGAAAGAAAGGAGGAGGAAAGTATAAAAAGAGAGAATTTGTATGTTGTATTATATATATATACATACATGTATTTTATATTTTATATTTTCTTTTTCTTTTAAGTTTTTATGATGGAGGAGGGGTTTTTTTTTTTTTTTTTTTTTATTATTATTATTGTTATTATTATTATTATTGTTAGTTACTGAGTTGCTGGAAAGCTTAGTTTTGTTTTTTTTTTTTTTTTTTTTTTTATGAAAATAGAATTTTAATATCAATATAGAAGAATATTATTATTATTAATAATAGAAGAATATATAAATATATTTTAAAATAAAAAAATAAAGATTTTATAGATTTTATAGATTTTTATTTTATTTTTTAGCGAGATATATAGAAGAAAGTCATTTTTTTTTTATTTTTTTAATTTTTTATTTATTTTTTTTTTTTTTTAATGTGATGAGATTTAAAGTCTTTTGGTAGTAACGGCCTAGTTGAGAGAAAGAAAAGAGTTTAATAAGAAAAAAAAAAAAAAAAAATTTAATAAAAGGGATGATGTGATGAATAATAAAGAAATATAAAATAAAATGATAATGAGGTTGTTTATATAATGATTAGAAATCAAATTAAAATAATACACTTGTTTTTTTTTTTTTTTTTTTTATAAATTAAGTCACGTGTAAATATAAACGGAGATAAATAATAAAAAAAAAAAAAAAAAAAAAAAAATTTAAAGTGTATATTACAATAATTATTATGATAATGATAATGATAATAATAATAATGATGAAGGGGGGGGCAAAAGGTTTTTTTTTTATATTTTTTTTTAGAAATATTATCTCCATTTATATATATATATATATATGAATAGAACTGAATTTAACAAAAGATGGAGATAACTAAGGTCACGTGGTAATATGTTTGTCTTAAAAAAATTAAAAAATTAAAATTAAAAAAATAAATAAAAAATAAAAAAAATCGGCCCTAAGTGATGTGCCGAGATAACGAAAACAAACCAACAAACAAACAACAATAAGGTGGATTTTTCAATGGGAAGAAAAGGAGAACAGTATTATATATACTATATAGATAGAATATAAAATAAGATATTTTGAAATTAATGCTTTAAAGCATTTTTTTTTTTTTTTCCTTCTTCTTCTTCTTCTTCTTTTTTTTTTTTTTTTTTTTTTAAAAAAAGTTTAAACTTGTAGCAATCTAAATTGCATTCTTGATATAATAAAGAATCCTTTGTTTTTAATTCGTTTTTTTTTTTTTTTTTTTTTTTTTTGTCTCCGAAAGCCACCGAAAGCCGACAATTATATAAATTGTTAAAGTAGATATTTTGTTTCTATTTGGGGGGAGGGGGTTGTATGTATGTGTGTGGTTATTGATTTCTACATTTATTTTCTACATTTATTTATTCTACATTTCTAGATTTTCTAGATTTTCTAAATCTTTTGTAAATAAGTTTTGATTTGCTGGCTAATAATTAGCGGGGTTCCACTTTAATAAATTTTGATAGTATTATTAATTTTTATTTTTTCTGAGATCTTTCTCTCCTTCTTAAACAATGAATAAAGGGAAAAAGAAAAAAAAATAAATAAATAAATGTTATTATTATTATTATTATTATTATTATTATTATTATTATTATTATTATTATTATTATTATTATTATTATTATTATTATTATTATTATTATTATTATTATTATTATTATTATTAATTTTTTGATTAGTCATTAAATATTTCTTTGTGAAACCAAAACAAGCCTCGTATATATATATATATATATTTAAATATATAAATAATCGGATGACAGAAAACGGTTATGGGCAAGGGTAATTATATAATAAATAAATAAATAAATAAATTTTGGTAGCATAGAGATTTAATTCATTTATTAATAATAATATTATTAATAATAATAATAATAATAATGGGACACTATTATAATTTAAATAGATAATACCAGATATTTAGTATGGGAACAAAAAAAAAATAAAAATAAAAATAAAAATAATAGAAATGATTCAAATTATATTAGTTAAAAGTTAAAAAAAAAAAAAATTTGCGCCTTTAAATTTAATTGTTAAGAAGTATATGAAAAAAAAAAAAAAAAAAAAAAAAAAAAAGAGAAGGGAGAGGGATAGAAGGACGAAGGAGGGGGTAAAGGTTGAAAATATATATATAAGAAAGGAAAAGAATCTTAAACAAAGTTCAAACAAAGTTTGTTTTTAAAAAAAAAAAATAATGATTTAATGTATTCAATGAATCAATGAATCAATGAATCAATGTAGTATTTTTTTTTTTTAACAAAGTACTTTTGATTATATAATTATTAACCAAGGTATTTATTTATTTATTTATTTTTTAAAGTACCACGTTTTCATTTTTTTTATTTTTTATTTATTTGGTAAATTCCTTTTTTGATTTTTATTTTATTTTTTTTATCAGGGTTTAAAATAATTACAAAGTTAGTTTTAAAATATATCTTATAAATAATAAAAATATTTTTTTTATCAAACTAACTTAGTTAGTTAGTTAGTTAAAATATCAGCAATCTTAGCAATTTTTCTGCACGATGTTTGAAAATTTACGGTGGTCATTGGTATATATACGTACATACATACAAAATAAGCTTATTGGTAAACTTCTTTTTGGCTCATACAAGAGAGAGAAAAAAAAAAAAAAAAAAAAGTTTCTTTTTATTTTATTTTATTTTATTTTAATTTTTTTTTTTTTTTTTTTTTTTTGGAGAGAAGGAGCGAGGTACCATTCTTTTGAACAATTGAACAAAGAACAATCATCATCATTATCATCATCATCATATCATCATCATCATCATACCATCTTCATCTTCATCTTCATCTTCATCATCACATAAAAAAACAAAGACCTTTTTAATTTTTTATTTAAAAAAAAAGAAACCCCCCCTCCCTTAAACTCTCTTTTAATCCTTTTTTCTTTTCTTTTCTTTTTTTTTTTTCATCATCAAAAAAAGAAACAAATTAACCCATCAATTAATCAAAAAGACATAAATATATATTTATATTTATATATTTCTCGCTTAACCATTTCCTACCACAGACTTTTGCATAAAACTACCCTTTTAGTTTGCTACTTATCAATCAATCAAATCACCTCCTATATTTTTCTTGACGCTCAATAACTCGAGTCTTACCAATTCCTGCCATCATTGCTTTTAAAGGGTCCTGCTCGGCCTTCCGCCTTTCCTCAACTTCTTTCTTAAATCTTTTCTTCTTCATCATCCAATCTTGTCTTATCAAAGAATCCTTATCCTCCTTCTTCTTAACTAACCAATTTTTTGTAGATCTATCAAATGTCCTTCCCCTCTCTTCTTCCTTTTCAATTTCAATTTCAATTCCAATTTCTTTCTCCTTCTTTTTCTTCCCACCATCCCATCTATCTTCTCTCTCCTGTATTAAATCTTTAAACTCTCCAAACTCTCCCCTGCTACCTTCTATTCTTTGCTTTCTTTCTCGTAACTCTGCAACTCTTGCCTGTCGCACCCGTTTCCGCCCTGCAACTACCTCCTCCGCATGTTTTTCTTCATCCCGCCGTACCCGCGCACGTACAGATTCCTTGGCAACGTGGTAGGACTTGTGTTTAAGTAGATTTAATGGCATTCTTTCTCAAGGCCTAGTTGGAAATATCCCCTTTTTAGAAATGTGTGTGTGTGTGTGTGGATTAACAAAAAATAAAATTACAAAAACTAGGTGGAGGGTTTCAGATCTTGATTGTTGGTGGGTCAGAGATGAGATGGAAATAATAAATAAATAAATAAATAAATAAATAAATAAATAAATAAATAAATAAAAACAAACCCTAAACCATAGCTTGTTATCCGCTTAGTCAGACATACTTACTATACTTCCATAAACATCTTATGAAAGCTATTCAACCACTCCATCTTTAAATTATGTCATAAACTGGTGTCACGTGCATCACAACTCTCTTTGGTCGTTTTCTTTAAACCTCCAACATCACCGCCACCTCTTTTGACTCTTAAAGAGTTTAAAAAAAAAAAAATTTCTCTTCTACTTTACTATATCTAAACAACTCTTCTCTATTTCATAATCCATCAATTACACAATGGGCAAATCTCGCGGAGCTTCCGAGAACTCAAAAAAAGTGAGTCAATTACTTTCTCTTTCTCTTTCGCTCTCTTTTTTTTCCCTTCAATTTATCATGCTAACTCTTCTCTTCTTCCACTATCTAGGCACAAGGTAACGCACGAAAAGCTGCGGCCGCAGATAAGAAGCGTCAGGATGAGGCAGACCGTGAAGAAGCCTCTGAGGCTGCCGACTGGGATCGCGGATCGAAAAAGGGAAATGCAAAGAAGGAAGCTGAAACTGAGAAAAAGGCTGAAGCTGCTCGCAAAAAGGCAGAACGTGATGCTGCTTTAGCTGCTGAGGAAGCCGCGCTGCCTTCCAAACCTACAAACCGCGCTAAGCGTGGTGCCGAAAAAATCGCAGAACGACGGACCCGTGGACTTGACAGTTTCCTAGCCGCTGAAGATGCTAAAGAATCTACCCTTCACGCGTCTGGCATTGATGATGCCCTTGCTGCCCTTGAACTTACAGGATCAAAAGCTTCTGGAAATAAGGCTGATGTCGAACGACACCCAGAGAGAAGATATAAGGCTGCACATGCTGCATATGAGGAACAACGCCTCCCCGAACTTAAGCTGGAACACCCAGGTCTTCGCATGCAACAATACAAGGAGCTTATCCATAAGGAGTTTGAAAAGAGTCCAGAAAATCCCTTTAACCAAGTCTCAGTTTCTTACAATGCTTCTCGCAGTGATGTCCATGCTAAACAGACACAGGTTCGTGCTGCTGCTGAGCGCAGACTTGCTGAGCGTTAAGTATTTAATTTAAATTGATTTAAATTGAATTGAATTGAATTGAATTGAATTCAATTTTTTTTTTATTCTTCTAAATACATAACCATTTTTTAAAGACTAGTTGATTTTAAACATCCTCAACCAACTGAACTCCATTAATCTCTTGTACAACTAGCCCTTCAAGTGATGGGTCATCATACGCGTCCCACATTGACCCGCGCCGCGACACAACCAGCTCCTGTTCATACGTATTGGACTCGATCCAAGGGTGTGTATCTGTAGTCAACGACCCTGGTGACGTTCCAAACGTGTGGTGCTGGTTATGATGTCCAGCAGATCGTGCGGCAGTACTCGATCGTACTGCTGTTGCCGTTGTTGTTGTTGCAGCTGCAGCTGCAGTTGTAGCTGTAGATGTAGATGCTGATATTGATACTGACGCTGATGCGGACGAAACTGAAGACGACGAGGTTGAAGAAAACGAAGAAGGGCCTCTGCGGTGGTACGGCACGGGTTCGGCGTAAGGTCCCTGGGCACCTGTTCCACGATGTTGGTTCTGGGACAAAAAGGATGCCATAGATGCTGCTGGCCTGTTTCCAGTTGTAGTTGTAGTTGTAGTTGCAGCTGCAGCTGCAGTTCCTGGGTAGTACGTAATGACGGGGGAATCAGGTGGTGACTCAGAGTCTAGTGACGGTGACCAAAGATCCGGCGACGAAATCGAGCTCACGGTGGTGGCGACCCGAACAATCGAGGAAGTTGAGAGAGCGCTACTTGGTAAAGCGTAAGAGCGTGTGTGCGGCGATCCCAGCTGAAACGAAGCTAAAGAGAGAGCCGCAGGTGAATTTATGGAGGCTGGCGATGCTAACAAGGAATGTGGACCCGGTGACTGGTTTCCTGCGGCTATGGAAAAAGATACTTTCCTGGACCCAGTTGCTACTGAACTTTGCCGGCTGTAGCTTCTCTGGTCCAGCGAAATGGCGCTCAAATCCGTGTCTTGATCCAAATCTTCTTCTTCTTCTTCTTCGTCTGCCTCTGCTTCTTCTTCTAATTCCTCCTCTTCGCCCTCCCGCCCAAACCTTGTTCCACATACCCGCCTAGCACTTGAATCCATACAAACTTTGCCGCGCCCGCATTCCTGTACATTACCGCTACTTTTTCTCTGAACTTTAAGTCCACCCGTGGTTGCCGCTGCCGCTGCATCTGCCTCAGCCGCCGCTGATGTTGCTCTTGCTCCTTCCACACTTGCTGTTGTTGCTACTGCTCCTGTGGTTCCTAGTGTTGCTGCTGACAAAAGTGGGGAAATACCCGCCACCGCTGAATAATCTGAAATACCCGCCGGAACCGGCGACCGTGTCAAAAAGTACGCCTGGTCCTCATCATCAAGCTCTGCACTGTACCCGTCATTTGCCTGCCAGCCACCTGAAGGCCAGTCATTACCTCCGAATTCACTCCGCCGCGTTTCATACTCGTAGTGGATTCGCGCGGAATATTGCGCCGGTGCCGCGCGTGGATCCAAAACTTCATCTGCAGGATAAACTCCTGGTGTCCCGTGTTCTTGACTTTGACGTACCTGCTCGTCGCGCGTTTCTTTGGCCGGGTTCCTAGGCTCTGTTTCTGCAGCTCCGCGCTCACGCGCACTGGACTCCGTCTCGCACACAAGCAAATCCAGCAGCCTTAGCACGTAGGTGTCTGACACGTCAAGGTCTGCACAGAACCGGGCATACGAGTAGGGCTCAGTGCTGGGAGCCTGGTCGTTGGAATGATGGTGATGGCGATGGTCAATGCGTGATTGCAGCACGCGCAGCTTGCGGAGCAGCACAAGCTCTGCTGGCGTAATGTCGCTGGTTTCCATATTGTTATCTAGTGAAAGTCATCAAGAAGAAATAGAATATTGGTAAGAAAAAGAAAACTTTCTTTCTTTCAAAATTTTATTTATATATTTTTTTTTTTTTTTTTTTTGTTTTTTTTTGTTGTTCTACAAAATATTATTCTCAACATTTCTATTTGTCCATGGACTTAAATATATATTTCACAACGCATAATCGCAGCATGTCTTTCCTTCCCCCCTCCCAAAAAAAAACAAAACCCTAGCCCACATCCCCTATCGATAAGCGCCCTCGATAACCTTCTTTTTAGTCAATCTTGATGGAGCCGTAAATCTTGCGCACAAAGAAAAAGGCCACAATGAAGCCAATCGACCCAGTCAAAACAAACACAACAAACGACAACAGAACGCTGTACCCAATATAAAGCACGTTCGAAATGAATCCACCAAGCGACAGCTTGAACACAAGATATACCACTGCTTGCAACAAAATATACACACTGCAGGCACCAGCAGCGAAAAACGCCCGCCACTGCCAGTGGTAGTTCTCAGCACACAGCAAAAAGTACGTCAAAAGCACAGTGACCGTGGCTGTCGTCATAATCATCAACAGACAGCACACAAACAAAAACCCAAACATATAGTACACCTTATGGAACCACAGTGAGTTGTAAATGTAGTACACCTCAATAAAGATGGCACAGAAGGGAAGAATGCCTGCAAACAACACAGATGGCACCAACCGCAGAGATTTGGGCTGGGTTGGAATCTGTCGTGGAATCTGGTTAGTACGAACAGGGAAAGAAAACGCTTCCCGCTTGAACCCAAGGAAACTGCCCAATGCAGACAATGGAATCGAAATCACAAACCAAATGGCAATCAGAGCAAGCATAGTGCCAAATGGAACCGCACCAGAAGAGTGGGCGAAAATCAGGAAAAAGTTGAGCAAAACAAACACTGAAAAAACAATTCCAGGTACCAAGATTGGCGTCAAAATTGCATTCAACTTAAAAGCTTCACCGCCAAACGTCTTGTAAAACCGAGCTGACACATATCCTCCAACAAACCCGAAAAAGGTGTAGAAAACAATCATAACAGTGGTCAGTGATCCACGGTTGGAAGGAGACAAAAACCCAAGCAGCGCAAACACAAGAGTGGCACCGCCCATAAAAAATAATTGCGCGCCAGAGCCCAAAAACACAGACAACAACATTCTATTCTTTGGCGATCTGAACACATCTCCATGAACAAGCTTCCACCCGCTGTCCTCCTGAATCTCCTCTGTCAAGTCAATCTCATTGTATCGTGCAATGTCCTTGCGCAGTGTCCGTAACAAAATCGTCGCTACCATGCCCGTCAAAAACAACACCGAAATGATTGAATTGGCCAACGAAAACCACTGGATGCTTGGATTAAACACGTGCAAGTACTTGTCCCAACGCGTCGCCCAAACAGTGCTGCTGGGAACCCACGTAACAGAATAGGTGAAAACAACCTGGGTATCGTCCGTCACAGTCAACTCAACTGCTTCCTCGGAACCACACGTGATTGACCCGTCCTCAGCAGGCTTGTTGCGTTCAGAGTATGGGTCTACAGATACACCAACCACGCGATGCTTGCCTGCACGCGTTGTGTGGTACTCCACAATAATATTATAGTGCGTATTAAGAATTGGAACCCGGTCCTCAGTAACTTGACCAAGCGGGAATCCTAACGAATAGTAAATCTCATTCCCATCAAGCGTTTCTGTTCCTGCAGGCAACCCATCAATCAGCCAGTTGAGATTGTACTCCTGGCGAATCTTTCGGTTCACAAACACCGCCTGTTGTGCAGTGTACGTTGACGAGCATAGTTGCTTGCATGACTCGTTGCGCAGCATGTACAGTTCAAATGGTGAGTTAAAAATTCGGTCTCCAAACAAAATTGAGCCTAGCGACTCGCTCTGGTGCTTGGGACCCTCCGAGGGCTTGCAAAAGTTAAAGTTTTTGTTGTAGTAATCGTAAGGAATAATACTCTTGACGTTGCGCGATTGAGACGAATAAGAGGGTGTTAAACTGTTCACAAGAAGCGGGACTCGCTGGTCCGCCTCGTAGTCAGTCGGCGACACACCGGGCAGATAAAAGGCCCGGCATACGCTCGCCAGGACAAAAAGAACAGTCAGATTGAGCATTGGGGTTGGTTATGGTGGAATGAAAAAGTGGAAAGGGTGGTGTTGTAAACTAAGGAGTTAAATAGCCACGTAAGCCAGGATAGTTATCTATTGGTTCAAGTCCTAAGTCCTAATGTTGCATTCCTAGTTTTTTTTTTTTTTTTTTTTTGTTAAAAAAAAAAAATAAAGAACAACCACCAACAACAACCAGCAACAAACAACCTTCTAGGACCTCCCCCATACACACACACAAATCATGTCGAGAGAAAACCCCCAGCTTTCGTCTCTTCAATGCCAGTCTCTTGTGACGCGTGCACTGGCGCCGCATATTGCTGTTTACGCTTCCAAAGACACCGAGAACCTTGCCATTGAGCTTGGCTTTAAATCTTTCCATGATTTACTTCGTCCGTTTGGCGATAAGATCCCCGGCCGTGTCACTGTTCGCGACTCCCAAGGCCTTAGCAATTCCTTTGAAGACTTCTCTGTCCATTTCGTTACCCCACCATCTACAAAAAAACAATCTGCGGCTCCTGCAAGCACATCTCATTTATCTCCAGGGTTTCTTCCATCTCACAACCGTGGCCGCTCTATTGACACCCTCTTCAACCGCAATATTAACCCAGCAATGTGCATTTATGACCGCGACACGCTAGAGTGCGATATCGCAAAAGATATCGGTGATGTCCAAAACCACAGCCAAGTGTTTATGGATTTTTTTCAGAAAATACTTACAAATACCCCGGTTACTCCCTTTGAAACCTTTAGCCATCCTGTGGCTGGCGTTATTGCCATTTCCTCTCGCAATGAAACCCCAATCGAAACCCTTTCCTTTCTCTACAACCAAAGCAATGATCTTCTGCCTGAATATATCAACCGTGATTACCTTCGATATTACGTCTTAGTACATGACGAGCAAACAGACCTGGCCAAATCCACAGCTCTTTTTGAAAAAATGAAGCGCAATTTTGGTCTTCATTGCCACATGGTGCGCATTAAGCGCGCAATTTCAGAAGATACCGCCTTGGTCAAAATCCCCCAAACGGAATGGCAAACTTATGCCGAAAAGTTCAGCCAAGAAGACCCAATATCCCTTCATGAAGCAGACGTCAGTTCTCTTAAGCAAATGGTAAGAGAACTTGTCGTCCAAAGCGTGATACCCTTTATGGAGCGATGCTCTGCAACATGGAACGACCAAATTGCATCCAGCCGGCGCGGCCTCACTGGCAGGTTTTTTTCTGCATCAAGAAAGTACTTCTCTAAGGGGTCCCTTTTTTCAAGCTCTGCCCAGGCAAATGCACAGTCTGGATCATATTCTTTACCATTTTCGTCAGGTACCCCAGTGGCTCCATCAGCAGCAGGAGGGTACAACTCTACAAAGGGATCCTACGCATACAATTCCCCCGAGGCTCTGCTGCGCAAACTGGCAGATTTTGCATTCATGCTGCGCGATTATACTCTCGCCAACTCGACTTATGAACTGCTAAAGAGTGACTTTCACAATGCAAAAGCATGGTCGCATTTGGCTGCATCTCAGGAAATGAGTGCTGTTAGTTACCTCTTGTCCAAAGAAGGCCACAACCTGACGATAAAGGCCCGCATAGATAATATAGAAACCCTCTTGGACTCGGCAACATACTCTTACATTTCGCGCTGCTCTCTTCCTTCATATGCCCTTCGCTGTATTCTCTTAGCATCGGAGCTCATGTGTACAACCTCTTCGCCATCAGCTGCTTCCGAAGGAGCCACTCGATGGCTTTTAAAAGCTATCAATGAAGACCTCACAGGACCCCTTGGCAAGGCTATTCTTTTGGAACGCATCAGCAACGCATTCAGTGTCTACAATGAAATTATCTACCAAGCAAGTGCCGATGCACCTACAGTGGAATCCCCAGAGATTCTGGCGGCGCGCAGCCGCAAGTCGACACGCCGTCGTAAGGCCGCTTTTTGGATGCTGCTGGCTGCCCGCCAGTGGGCCGCCGCCCCGCAGGACCCGGCGACGGTATCACATGCGCGGGACGCCAAAGCTTGCATTGAGGCCGCAGAGTCGGTATATGCTGATTTGGAGTGGGCACACCGGCCAGAAAGCATGCTGGGGATGCTCATAACCACACTGGAAACCAAAGCATAAAGCCCTAACTAGGGCTACAAATGCAGTCACGCGTAAGTCTCAGCACAATGTGAGTCTATCACGTGGGTGTTTTTTTTGCATTGAAATAGAAAATATACACGTGACTATATTGCAATTATTGTTACATTGTAAGTCTTCCACCAGAAAACCCTCCATTTGCTGAGCGAAAAAAAAAAAAAAAATTGCACCAAAAATTTTCACCCTTCCCCCTCCCCTTCCCCTTTACACAGGCACAGCTTTTCCCCTTGACCACAGTATTTCCGAGATATACCCCAATATCCTCACTCATACAATAGAAAATGTCTGAACAAGCTCAATCTCAGCAAGGTCCCGCCGCCCGTGGCGGTTTCGGTGGTCCCCGTGGCGGCCCCAGACGTGGTGGCCCCAAGGGTCGCCGTGGTCCTAAGAAGGACGAGGAGAAGGGCTGGGTCCCTGTCACCAAGCTCGGTCGTCTCGTCAAGGCTGGCAAGATCTCTTCCCTTGAGGAGATTTACTACCACGCTCTCCCCGTTAAGGAGTACCAGATCATTGATCAGTTCCTTCCCGGCCTCAAGGACCAGGTTATGAACATCAAGCCCGTCCAGAAGCAGACCCGTGCCGGTCAGCGTACCAGATTTAAGGCTGTTGTCCTTGTTGGTGACGGCAATGGTCACATTGGTCTCGGTATCAAGACCGCCAAGGAGGTTGCCACCGCCATCCGTTCCGCCATCAACATTGCCAAGCTCTCTGTCATTCCTATTAGAAGAGGTTACTGGGGTTCTGCTCTCGGTGAGCCCCACTCCATTTCCGCTAAGGTTCAGGGCAAGTGCGGTTCCGTCACTGTCAAGCTCGTCCCCGCTCCCCGTGGTACCGGTGTCGTTGCCTCTCCCGCCGTCAAGAAGCTCCTCGAGCTCGGTGGTGTCAATGATGCTTATACTTCCTCTGCTGGTTCTACCAGAACCCTTGAGAACACCCTCAAGGCTGCTTTCGTTGCTGTCGGTAACACTTACGGTTTCCTTACCCCCAACCTTTGGGCCCCCACTGCTATCCAGGCTTCTCCTCTGGATACCTACAGCGACATTGCTACTGGCAAGAAGTTTTAAGTGTTTTTGAAGTAAAGAAAAAAATAATAAAAAAACCCGTTACGACTTTTATGATATTTGAATTTTGTTTAATTGAGATGAAAGTAATTCCTCTTCTTTTTCTTCCACCTTGGGGAGAGGGGTAGTTGGCACGCTTGGAAGTTGAAGCTCTTGCTGCTCTTGCAGCAACTCTTGTAGTTCGTCTTCGACGAGATCCTCATCCACCTGAGATAAGGTCCCAATTTGTCGGCCAATCTCTTCTGTATCTGCAACTGCCTCGTCCAACTCGTCCACAAGCTCAGCGACCTTTTCAACGCTTCCAATTTCACTATTCAAGTTTGTAAGAATATGTATGCCGCTCTGCAGCGCCGCCATGACACCAGCGTTATCCGTAGCCGTATCAATGCTGTGTAGTGTTGTCTCTAAATTGGCCAGCATTCCCAGTGCACTTTCCTGAGAGCTTTGCGCTAATCGGCGTGACCTCAACGCGTACCGTGCAACTGGTTTCCGCCCAGCAGCCAAAGCCACGCGAGCCTTGTCTTCACAGACTGTAATATGTGCACTCAATGTATCTACCCGATGTAAAACCGCCTCAATTGTCCCGCGCATGTTGGCCACGGCCCGGTCCTTTTCTGAAATGGGTACAAGATCGCTAACCTGCTCCGCACTCAAGTCAATCTTGATAGTATCATCTTTGTATACCAACCGAGGCTTATCTTTGGACAAGTACTCGAGCAAAACGTCCAAATCAGTTTCACTGAGATTCACAGATACCCGTTGTGAAGTGGTATATGGAGGAGTTTTGGGCGGCACGCTGAGGGTATTGTAAAGTGTGTAAAAAAGTTCCTTGGTATAAACAGATCGGGTATACCCCCCAGGGGTTCCGATGGTGATAACCTCGTGGTGTGTCTTGCTTGTGGCGGCATAGTCCTTGCGGATAGCATCAAGAAGAAGATTTGACATGGTATCAATGCATGATACGGCAACATAGCGTTCTGGCCGAAGAGTCCCGTGGACTCTATTAAGTGCTGAATGCCAGTTGGGGTCGTAAAACCCGGTTTTAGATAACGCCCATGAAAATGCACTACGCGGAGTCGGTACGTTGCTCCACCATGGTCTGCTGCTGCGAATCGGTGCGCGTGCCGGGTCAACAAACTGTTTAAGAGGAATCAACGTGCCATCTTTCACCAACTGATCAAACACTGTATCTAGAGCTAGCGGAGTCCCTAGCAAGCTTGTATCAAATAGGGCAATAAGGTCTGCATCGGCCGTCAAGAGTAACGTATCGGGCATTAATCCAGGAGTACCCAGGACCACCCAAAGCGCGGATTTCCATGCGGCAATGTTAGCCGAGTATCCTTCAGGGTTTGACTCTGCAAGCTTGCGAAAGTCAGAATAAAGCGAGTGGACCCGACTCTTGGTAAAAGATGTCGGGAGCTCAATGAGTTCTGTGGTGAGCATGTGTTTTGTTTTGGAGAGAAAATAAACGCTGCTGCACTTTGGGATAATAAAATTTTATATTTTTTTTTATTGTTTTTATTTATTTATTTATTTATTTAATTTTTTTTTTTTTTTTTTACAATCTACCTCCACCACCAATGTCCAGCAGACAAAAACGAACCGAAGAGTACCGAGGCCGCGATAACCGGTACGACCGATATGATAGAGACGAATATAGAGGCCGCGGACGCCCTGACGAGTATAGAAGCAGACGTGATCACCGCAGATCAGTTTCTCCAGACGACCGTTTGAGACGCGACGACAGGTATGCATACCGACGCGATTACGAAAGAGAGCCATCTAGCTGGCGGGACAGAAATTATGGCGACAAACGGGACTCTCCACGACCTCGGTCGCGTGAGCGATCGCGCGAGAGACGGAAAAGTCCTGTTCGGACTGAACGGGCATCGTCCAAGGATCATGCAGAGAAAAAGCCGGAAGACAGTAAGGAGCCTTTGAAATACTCAAAAGATGAGGATGAGTCCGAGGACCCGGAGCTGCTTATGCAAAAGATGATGGGATTTGGATCGTTCGGAACAACCAAGGGCAAGAAGGTATCGGGCGCCAATGTTGGCGGCGTTGCCAAAGAAAAGGCCAGCAACTTTCGCCAGTACATGTAAGTATATTTCATTGAAGCATTAACGACACTACTAACTATATAGGAATCGATCAGGTGGGTTCAACCGCGAGTTGTCGCCGCCGCCCGAAGAGCGCCGGAAGCACCGGTGAGTTGTAGAAAAATACTGATAATGCAACATTTTTTTTTTTTTTTCATTTTGCCACTAAGAAATATCTCTTCTCCCCCTCCCCTCTCCCAATCGCTTTGCCACTCCTACCTAAACCTTTTAAAAAAAAATATACTCAAACATGACGACAAATCTCATTGAAAAAACTAAATCCAGCCTCGAAGCTGTTATTTCTGGCGATGATCTCGATGTTAATATTGTCAATTCTATGACTGATAAACTACGGTTTGACGCGTCGGTACTGGCGGCCGGCGATGGCGTGGTGTTAGCACTGCTCCCACCCGCCATTGGCGTGCTTAAGTACTCAGCAACCGAGCATGTGGACGGACTCGATGGCGTGGTGGAGCTTATTGAAGCTTTGCTTTCACGGAAATCATTTACAGAAGTGCTTACTCTGATACCTTTGGACGACTTGTTGACTGCAGCTGCAACGGTACTTGTTCCTTCATTGCAGGTTGTTGCGATCCAACAGCTAAGCAAAGTCTCTACAGAGGATTTGATACAGCACAAGGAGATTTTGCAGACCCTTGTAGAGCAACTTGCAGATCCTGAAACCAAATCAATCAAAGCCTTTGAGAGTTGCTTAGTGAAACTTGCTCAAGGGGAAGCTGGGTTGCGCCAACTGGAGTCTGGTAATACTTATGCGGTTCTCAAGAAAATGCACAACTCAAACAATTCTGTATTGATTGGGCGTGTCCTCGAGGTCGCTAAAGGTCTTGTTGCCATTGATCCAGTGGCTGAGTTTACTAGCTTGATTCAGTTTGATCCAGAAATCTTTAACCCGGCTCACTGGGATGTGCTGCTTGTAAGCACAATTATAACATACTACCGCGAGATTTTGAGCAACTCAAATGTGGTCAGGGCTCTTGAAAATGAACTTTATACAATTGCCTACGTGTATTCTAAACGAAGCGAAGAGCCAGAAGTGCGCATGTTTTTACAGTCAGACATTGTAGGTTTATTTGGTACGCTGAGCCGTCATTACCCAGAGGAATTCCATGCCATTGATGCAAAGTACAAAATTGTGGAAGACAGCCTGACAGACCAGGAAGACCGCGTGCGGGTACTCACAATGCTGGGTCCTAAATACCTATTACAATATCACAAGAGTGCCCTCAAGACAATCAAGTATGATGCTAAGGACGTTTCAGCTCTACGGAATTTGCTGAGCGATCAAGAATCGTTTGAGTTTATGGCACCGACCCAAGCGCAAATTCTTCAGCTGAATGAGTATGACGACAAGATGTTTATCCTTTCTGGTGTTTTAAAAACAGAGGCTGGTCTACATGCACTATTATCGACTTGGCCAGGAGTAATGAATGAGATTGTACACCCTACCTCAGCCGTTAGCAACCCGCAATCACTAGATTTACGACGCGAGGTTTTGGAAATTCTCGTAGATGCAAAACCAAGCGATCTCGGTGTCTGGTATGGTCCTGTTCGTGAGGCATACCGTGAGCTGATATTTGGTAAGAACTCGGGTAATGCCCCGCAAGTGGCTATTGCTCATAAAAGTGCGTAATTATCTAAAAAAAGAAAAAAAAAGAAAATGTTATTTATTATATATATAAAAAAAAATCTATTTTGATTGATGAATTTTCCATAAAGCAGCATGCATAGACGAAAGCTCCGAGTACATGGCACGTAGCTGCTGGCTTTCCTCTTCAACTTTTTGGAGACGTGTTCGGAGCACACTTTCGGAGGTTTCACTTCCAAACTCACTGGCACCGCGGCCCATAGACTCTAGCATAGAGTCGACAGCCTTAAAGGCATCGTCTTCTTCATTTTCATTGAAATTATCTGGAATATTAATCCAAACATCATGAGAAGTCTCCACATCAAGCGAACGCTTAAGTTGGGGTAAACGATGGTAGTCTGTAGTCTGCTCCGGGGTTAGTGCAACGGCTGACACTTTACCGCGGTGAAGCTGGGTATGTGCTTGTGGCATTGGTCTAGAAACAATCCGTAGTGCAGTAATGGGTCCTGAATGACGTGGGAGAGTGCGTGATACTGTTTGTGTTGGAAGATCAATTATTGTGACCACTCCGTCGGCGGTACCTGCAGCGAGTACAGTGGCATCAAACGAAAGAGCAAGTGCAGTGACGGCGGTGCCTTGAACAGGAGAAGCCCAAACAGGAGCAGCAAAAGATGCCGTAGAGTCGTCAATGGTCAACACGTTGGATGCATTTTTAAAGAGTATAGAGGCAGAGGGGGTATACAGGCTGACTGAGTAAATCGATCCAGATGCCAGTCCAGCATAAACTGCACGGTCAGCAGGATCAACAGCTAGAGATGTGACTTTCGCAGGGAACACAAGTGTAAAGTCTGAATTTGCTGCAGTTTTCGGGCTAGCCAGTGCCAGTTCAAGATCGTGGATACGCACAGTGTTGCCTGCACATGACGAGTAAACGCGCAGTCCTGGCGCACTGGCAGGCCCGTATCCTAAACAGAGCCCAGTTATGGGGAAATTATGACCTGTCCACTCAGCTGCGGGTTTCGCGGCAGCATCCGTGCTAGTATTAGTACTGCTAGATTCGCGTACGAGGTCTGTGAGACGCCACGCGCGCACTCGATTATCTGCTGCGGCCGTTACTACAAACGACTCATCGGCGGCCCACTCAATATGTGTGAGGGCCTGGTAATGGGCATCGCGAACAGCGACCAGAGAACCTGATGCAGATTCCCAGAGGTAAAAACGGCCGGAGGCAGCACCGGCGGCCAGCCAAATGCCCGAGGGTGAGACTCGGACAGATGCAAGTTTTTCAGGAACCACAAGTTGTTGGTCTGGGGCTTCACGAGCCCATGAGTAGACAGAAAGGTGAGCAGCGTTGGCAACTGGAGCACACACCCGTGTGAAGGACGCGTCAACAGGAGCAGAGGACCCGGCAGCCGGCGGAACAGGTAGCGCGGCTTTCTTAAAGGCATGGACTGGTGTACCACGGCGCAGGTCGTGGACTGCTAGCACGGTTAACGGGTGTGTAGGGGGTGGAAGAGAAGAAGAGGTATTATTGGCAGTTGTTGTTGAATCATCTGGCCGGGGCACAGCACCGTAGAGCACGAGTTCTTCCATCGGGCCTATATATATTTTTTTTTTGGTTATGTGTATATGGGATGTTAGAGGGATCCGGATCAGATTAAAATTTTTTTTTTTTTTTTTTTTTTTTGATGACAAAAAGATTAAATAAAAAAAAAAGACACCAAACCCTTTTGAATTTTTTTGTTAAGTTTTTCACCCATCATCAACTTTTATTAATCGATATAACTTTCACCCTTGATTGATAATAATAATTTAATTTACATAAAAAAAAATAAAAACTTCATACAAAGATAACACAAAATGCCTGTGAACTTTTTAGGTGCACTACTTGCTGAAGGAACCAGCGTGATCCCTAATTATGATGTGCTTAAAATTGCTATTCCCGCTGTGGTTGGTGTTGGCACACTCAAATATTACTTTTCTGGAGCCCGCAATACCTGGGAACGCAAACTTCATGGCAAAGTTATTTTGATTACTGTGAGTATTATAAAAAAAAAAAAAAAGCCAATCAATCCCTTAAACTAACACCAAATCAATAGGGAGGTACTTCAGGAATGGGAGCAGCGGTTGCTTCTGATTTGGCACAACGTGGCGCGCAGCTGGTTCTGCTTGTGCGTGAAATGACGCCCTGGGTTATTGAATACATTGAAGATTTACGTGAGTCTTCCAAAAACGCTCTGATTTATGCAGAAGCTTGTGATCTCCAATCCATGTATAGCGTGCGCAAATTTGCCACCAAATGGCTTGACAATCAACCCCCACGACGACTCGACATGGTTGTGTGCTGCGCAGGGCTTGCGTTGCCGCCTGGACATGTACGTGATGCAACACCACTGGAGGGTGTTGAGCCGCAGTACGCTGTCAATTACCTGGCACACTACCACTTGCTAACTCTACTCACACCTGCACTTAAGATTCAACCTCCGGACCGTGATGTGCGCATTGTACTCACCACTTGCGTTGCGAGTGTCATGGGCGACTTTGACATGTCCGATGTGCAGTTCAATAAACGGCCGTATCCGTCGATGCGCCCCTGGCGTGTATTTGGAGCAGCAAAGCTGCAACTCGCATTGTTTGGGTACGAACTTCAACGCAGAATTAATGCTTACGAGCGTAAAGACAATAACCAAAGCCCCAATCTGCGAGTAATTATTGTTGACCCTGGTTTGATGCGCACTCCATCCTTTCAACGATTTGCATCTCTTGGATCACTTTGGGGGTTGCTATTATACTTGATTTTGTGGCCTATATGGTGGTTGCTGCTCAAGGCTCCAATCTCTGGCGCTCAATCAACACTGCATGCAACAATGTCACCGGAGTTTGAGGAAAAGAAGGAGGTTTACTACGTGTCTGAGTGTACTGTACGTCCACCACCATCACTACCCATTTTTAAAGATGTAGAGGCTCAAAAGAAGTTGTTTGATGTGACTGAAGAGATTATTAAGGAAGCTGAGCAGCGTGGTGCAGTTGCCCGCAAGCGTGCAGAAGTTGAAAAGAAGGTTGATGAGGTCAGGAGACAGCAAAAAGAAAGAAAGGAAAAGGAGGAAAAAGAAAAGTCTGAGAATAAAGATGATGAAAAGAAAGAGGAAAAGAAAGAGGATGAGAAAAAGGATTAATTATGATGATTAATGATTGTGTTGGTTTATTGATTGTATATATATATATGGATAATAAATTACAAGGATTAGAATTTAAAATCAAATATTGACGATACCAAGAATCTTAGTAGCAATTTTGATTGAAAGATCAATGGATTATTAAAATGATTTAGTATTTATTTTTATGAAAGTTCAAAATCGAGAGTCATCAATTAAACATAGTCAAATATTTGGCTTGACCAATTAAATAGTAATAAAAATTAAAAAGGGATTTAAACTTGATAATCTTTATAATTTAAATATATTTGATAGTATTAATTTATTGAAACATCTATAATAAAGTAATGTTTTTAATCAAGTTAAATCACCTAATGAGGAAATGTTTTTGATTTATTTCAATTAATTGTGAATTTTTTTTTTAATTAATTAAATAAATAAAAAAAGACAATATTTGATGCCAAGTACAGAAGAAAACAATATTTTTTCTTTTCAATCATATCCTGAACTAATCATCATTTAAACAATTAAACTATTGATTATAAAAAAAAAAAAAACAACAATGATAAAAAAAAAATTGTTTTAAAAAATAATAGCCCTACGGGGGGCTCGAACCCCCAACCTTGAGATGACACTTTTATAAGAGTCTCACGCTCTACCGATTGAGCTAGCAAGGCATCTTTTGTTAAAGTTTAAAATTGTAATTTATATAAATACGTCATCTATGAAATGTAATCATTGTAACACTTGAAAAAAGAGAGATAAATTTATAAAATATTGGTACATTAAACCAAAAAATTTAATTATTAATTTTTAAAAGCTATTTTATCACTTAAAGGAAAACTAATATGCTTGTGGAGAGAAGAAAAGAACTCGTAACAAAAAAAAAAAATATTGTAATTGTAAAAGGCCAGTCCATTTTACCTTTAAAAATTCTGTAGATTACAAATAAACCTAAATCACTTTAATACTAATTGATTTAGAAGCGATACTAATTTTTTTTTTTTTTTTTTTTTTTCAAAATTATGCCTATATAAGTTTAATAACCTTGTATTTGAATAGGAAAAGAAATGAAAATGAACCTTTTTTAGAGGTCAAATTTTAACTAATTGAATGAGCACATATATATTTATTACTATAATCACATTGAAAGGGTTCACTAAGCAAAATAAAAATATTTGAAATAGTTTTTGGGGTTTGTTGTACAGGATGAACAAAATAAAAAAAAAAAGCAATTTGCCAAAATTAAATAAGTATGAAAGCTCATCATATAAGTCAGTATCCAAAAAAGTAACTCCGACACGGGGAATCGAACCCCGATTTCCACGGTGAGAGCGTGAGGTGATAACCATTACACTATATCGGATTGTATAAAAAATGTAACTATTGATTATTACTAAGGCATCAGCATTAATATTAATTTTTAACTGAAATAAAAAATTTATTAATTTCTGGGGGAAAGGGCTGGATGGTGTAAAGGGTAACACGTTCGCTCGATAGCGGAAGATACTGGGTTCGATTCCCAGAATACCCCCTTTTCCTGAGGATGTGTACGGGAGTATACACCTAGACTGAAAACCATAGGCTACCCTGGTTACAGGAATGCCGACTCTTCCGTACAGTCTAAATAGCCTGCAGGTGATTGCGGGCCGTATCTCTGGCGGAAGAGATTAAGAAATACATGGGCGTCCGTGAAGATAAGTGGAAATGGGTTGGGAAGGTTTTGGGACCGACAGACTGGTTCTCCCTGTTCCTCGTAAGCTGGCATCAGGGCCCATCTTCCGGGCTACCGGAGACGCACAGAACAGAAACCACCCGTACTAAAAAGGTACAAATGAAAACCGGCAAGTCACATAGTCAGACAATAAAAGGATAGCGCAGATGCTGATGTTATATAGTTCTATAACCCTTGAATAAAAACAAACAAACAAACAAATTATTAATTTCTGGCTAAAAGGGAAGCCCGTCAAAGACAACCTTCTTTGGCTTTGAAACGACAAAAAATTGAAGAGGCGAAAAAAGCTAGAAAAATTTTTGACCACAGTTTGCGTGAGGCAAGTACTGAGCAATGGAATAAATATTTGTCTAGTTTAGAAGGAAATGACATTTGGAAGATTTTGAAGTATATTAATCCAAAAAGCAATGATACCATTATACCACAAATTAGAAAAGAAGATGGAACTCTCACTACTACTGTTGACGAAAAAAGACATGAAATATGGAAGGCACTTCTACCTGAAATTGATCATGGTCTTGATAGAGAGTTTGAAATTGATGACGATTCTCGATGGCCAAAATTAGAGTTTGATGAAGTTGACTCTGCATTGGCTGATACCCCAAATGATAAAGCTCCAGGAGACGATGGAATTACTGGCAAAGTTTTAAAGATGGCATGGCTAAATAAAGACTTTAAGGAAAGGTTTTTTAAGCTTCTCCAAGCTTGTGTAAAGTTTGGATACCACCCAAAAGTCTGGAGACATGGCATTATTGTTGTTATACCTAAACCTAAGAAACCTGACTATTCAAAGCCAAGAGCATACCGACCAATTTCCTTACTTAAGATTCCATCTAAAGTACTGGAAAAATTATACAAAAAGAATGACCAAGCTTACAACACACTTACTTCCACCAGAGCAATATGGGGGAAGACAAGGTTATTGTGCTACTGATGCTGTTTTGGAACTTGTCCAAAGAATTGAAGCTAGTAAAGAAAAAATTTCAGCTATGCTCATTGATATTCAAGGAGCTTTTGATAATGTTAACAGAAATATATTGGCACACACAATGGAGGATATGAAACTACCCAAAGCACTTATAAACTGGACGTACCAATTTGTAAGTGAAAGAGAAGCTAGTATGCTCATGGACCGAAGAAAAGGATCAGTGCAAAAAATTAGTACTGGAATTCCGCAAGGCTCACCTATTTCACCACTACTTTTTTTGATATATTCCACACCAATGTATCATGCCATTAAAGAATGGGGTGGAACTCCTTTTGGCTTTATTGATGATGTGACTATTACCGTTGAAGGTAAAATTGAAGAAAATACCAAAAGCTTAAGCAACATATTAGAAAAATGTTGTAATTGGGCTAAATCAAGAATGACCAAAATTGATTTGGGTGATAAATTGGGTTTTATTCATTTTACAAAAAATGTGAAACCTAAAGATGAGAAAGTGCAACTTACTTTACCTAATGGAGAACTTCGTGAACCCCAGAAGGAAGTTAAATTGCTTGGAATTACTTTGAACAATCTGCTTGATTTTAAATCTCATATTTTGAATAAAATCAATAAAGCAAGAAAAGCTGTTGGTGCTATTTGGCATCTTGGTGGCGTGCAAAAGGTATGCGAGGGTCTGCAGTCAGATCACTGTATATTGCTTGCGTGAGACCAATTGTCGAATATGGCTTAGAAATTTGGCATCACAAAATTTTGAAAGGAGAAATCCACAAGTTGGAAGTAATGCAGAATATGGCTTTAAGAAGAATTGTTGGTGCTTATCGCACAACTCCTATTGCAGTACTACAAAGGAAGCTGGTATTATGCCATATAGTATTAGGCTAAAATTTATGGTGGCACGAAAAGCTATTCGTTTACACCTAAATATTAGCAAAACTAATCCTATTAATGGTCATTTGTTAACATTGATTGAGAAATCTCCAATTGCAAAGCTAACCACGCTTTATATGTTGGCGAAAGATGATAGAGACTATATGATTAAAAAGGATGAAAAACGAAAATGCAAGAGGGTTGAACCTCTTACACTGAAACAACAACAAAATCAGACGATTGGAATTTTGAAGAAACAAGCAATGGAAGAATGGCAAGAAATGTATTGGAATAGTAATAAGGATCTGTGGTATCATAATATCACAGTGGAGTCGAAATGTACTGATAATCTTTCCAAAATGGTTACGGGAGTGATCATGAAGAAAGATAGTCGAAGGATCTTGAGTAATATTACTCAATTTCACACAGGCCATGGCAACTTTGGCGCATGGTTTAAAAAGTTTGGAATTGAAAAGGATAGTTACAACTGCAAATGTGGAGAGCTGGAAACAGTTCATCACATTTTAGTTGAGTGTCCTTTGCTTGAAGAGGAAAGAAAAGGACTGAAACGGATATCTCCAGAGATGGACATGTCGACTCTCTTAAACAGTTTAACTGGCTTACAAGAGATTGTAAGCTTTATCTCTGCTTGGAGGGATTAAGAAATACAATTACAGCGTTGATGAAGACAAGTGGAGATAGGTTGGGAAGGTTTGGTTATTTTAACCCCCTGTTCCTCGTAAGCTGGCATCAGGACTTATTTTCGGGCTATTGGAGATGCAATGTTGAAGCCAAAATTAAAAGTTTATTATCAAAATGAAAAAATATATAGTATGGACAAGAAGGATAGCGCAGATGCTGATGTTATATAATTCTATAACCCTTGAATAAAAACAAACAAACAAACAATTTATTAATTTCTGCATTGGCTGATACCCCAAATGATAAAGCTCCAGGAGACGATGGAATTACTGGCAAAGTTTTAAAGATGGCATGGCTAAATAAAGACTTTAAGGAAAGGTTTTTCAAGCTTCTCCAAGCTTGTGTAAAGTTTGGATACCACCCAAAAGTCTGGAGACATGGCATTATTGTTGTTATACCTAAACCTAAGAAACCTGACTATTCAAAGCCAAGAGCATACCGACCAATTTCCTTACTTAAGATTCCATCTAAAGTACTGGAAAAAATTATACAAAAAAGAATGACCAAGCTTACAACACACTTACTTCCACCAGAGCAATATGGGGGAAGACAAGGTTATTGTGCTACTGATGCTGTTTTGGAACTTGTCCAAAGAATTGAAGCTAGTAAAGAAAAAATTTCAGCTATGCTCATTGATATTCAAGGAGCTTTTGATAATGTTAACAGAAATATATTGGCACACACAATGGAGGATATGAAACTACCCAAAGCACTTATAAACTGGACGTACCAATTTGTAAGTGAAAGAGAAGCTAGTATGCTCATGGACCGAAGAAAAGGATCAGTGCAAAAAATTAGTACTGGAATTCCGCAAGGCTCACCTATTTCACCACTACTTTTTTGATATATTCCACACCAATGTATCATGCCATTAAAGAATGGGGTGGAACTCCTTTTGGCTTTATTGATGATGTGACTATTACCGTTGAAGGTAAAATTGAAGAAAATACCAAAAGCTTAAGCAACATATTAGAAAAATGTTGTAATTGGGCTAAATCAAGAATGACCAAAATTGATTTGGGTGATAAATTGGGTTTTATTCATTTTACAAAAAATGTGAAACCTAAAGATGAGAAAGTGCAACTTACTTTACCTAATGGAGAACTTCGTGAACCCCAGAAGGAAGTTAAATTGCTTGGAATTACTTTGAACAATCTGCTTGATTTTAAATCTCATATTTTGAATAAAATCAATAAAGCAAGAAAAGCTGTTGGTGCTATTTGGCATCTTGGTGGCGTGCAAAAAGGTATGCGAGGGTCTGCAGTCAGATCACTGTATATTGCTTGCGTGAGACCAATTGTCGAATATGGCTTAGAAATTTGGCATCACAAAATTTTGAAAGGAGAAATCCACAAGTTGGAAGTAATGCAGAATATGGCTTTAAGAAGAATTGTTGGTGCTTATCGCACAACTCCTATTGCAGTACTACAAAAGGAAGCTGGTATTATGCCATATAGTATTAGGCTAAAATTTATGGTGGCACGAAAAGCTATTCGTTTACACCTAAATATTAGCAAAACTAATCCTATTAATGGTCATTTGTTAACATTGATTGAGAAATCTCCAATTGCAAAGCTAACCACGCTTTATATGTTGGCGAAAGATGATAGAGACTATATGATTAAAAAGGATGAAAAACGAAAATGCAAGAGGGTTGAACCTCTTACACTGAAACAACAACAAAATCAGACGATTGGAATTTTGAAGAAACAAGCAATGGAAGAATGGCAAGAAATGTATTGGAATAGTAATAAGGATCTGTGGTATCATAATATCACAGTGGAGTCGAAATGACTGATAATCTTTCCAAAATGGTTACGGGAGTGATCATGAAGAAAGATAGTCGAAGGATCTTGAGTAATATTACTCAATTTCACACAGGCCATGGCAACTTTGGCGCATGGTTTAAAAAGTTTGGAATTGAAAAGGATAGTTACAACTGCAAATGTGGAGAGCTGGAAACAGTTCATCACATTTTAGTTGAGTGTCCTTTGCTTGAAGAGGAAAGAAAAGGACTGAAACGGATATCTCCAGAGATGGACATGTCGACTCTCTTAAACAGTTTAACTGGCTTACAAGAGATTGTAAGCTTTATCTCTGCTTGGAGGGATTAAGAAATACAATTACAGCGTTGATGAAGACAAGTGGAGATAGGTTGGGAAGGTTTGGTTATTTTAACCCCCTGTTCCTCGTAAGCTGGCATCAGGACTTATTTTCGGGCTATTGGAGATGCAATGTTGAAGCCAAAATTAAAAGTTTATTATCAAAATGAAAAAATATATAGTATGGACAAGAAGGATAGCGCAGATGCTGATGTTATATAATTCTATAACCCTTGAATAAAAACAAACAAACAAACAATTTATTAATTTCTGCATTGGCTGATACCCCAAATGATAAAGCTCCAGGAGACGATGGAATTACTGGCAAAGTTTTAAAGATGGCATGGCTAAATAAAGACTTTAAGGAAAGGTTTTTCAAGCTTCTCCAAGCTTGTGTAAAGTTTGGATACCACCCAAAAGTCTGGAGACATGGCATTATTGTTGTTATACCTAAACCTAAGAAACCTGACTATTCAAAGCCAAGAGCATACCGACCAATTTCCTTACTTAAGATTCCATCTAAAGTACTGGAAAAAATTATACAAAAAAGAATGACCAAGCTTACAACACACTTACTTCCACCAGAGCAATATGGGGGAAGACAAGGTTATTGTGCTACTGATGCTGTTTTGGAACTTGTCCAAAGAATTGAAGCTAGTAAAGAAAAAATTTCAGCTATGCTCATTGATATTCAAGGAGCTTTTGATAATGTTAACAGAAATATATTGGCACACACAATGGAGGATATGAAACTACCCAAAGCACTTATAAACTGGACGTACCAATTTGTAAGTGAAAGAGAAGCTAGTATGCTCATGGACCGAAGAAAAGGATCAGTGCAAAAATTAGTACTGGAATTCCGCAAGGCTCACCTATTTCACCACTACTTTTTTTGATATATTCCACACCAATGTATCATGCCATTAAAGAATGGGGTGGAACTCCTTTTGGCTTTATTGATGATGTGACTATTACCGTTGAAGGTAAAATTGAAGAAAATACCAAAAGCTTAAGCAACATATTAGAAAAATGTTGTAATTGGGCTAAATCAAGAATGACCAAAATTGATTTGGGTGATAAATTGGGTTTTATTCATTTTACAAAAAATGTGAAACCTAAAGATGAGAAAGTGCAACTTACTTTACCTAATGGAGAACTTCGTGAACCCCAGAAGGAAGTTAAATTGCTTGGAATTACTTTGAACAATCTGCTTGATTTTAAATCTCATATTTTGAATAAAATCAATAAAGCAAGAAAAGCTGTTGGTGCTATTTGGCATCTTGGTGGCGTGCAAAAAGGTATGCGAGGGTCTGCAATCAGATCACTGTATATTGCTTGCGTGAGACCAATTGTCGAATATGGCTTAGAAATTTGGCATCATAAAATTTTGAAAGGAGAAATCCACAAGTTGGAAGTAATGCAGAATATGGCTTTAAGAAGAATTGTTGGTGCTTATCGCACAACTCCTATTGCGGTACTACAAAAGGAAGCTGGTATTATGCCATATAGTATTAGGCTAAAATTTATGGTGGCACGAAAAGCTATTCGTTTACACCTAAATATTAGCAAAACTAATCCTATTAATGGTCATTTGTTAACATTGATTGAGAAATCTCCAATTGCAAAGCTAACCACGCTTTATATGTTGGCGAAAGATGATAGAGACTATATGATTAAAAAGGATGAAAAACGAAAATGCAAGAGGGTTGAACCTCTTACACTGAAACAACAACAAAATCAGACGATTGGAATTTTGAAGAAACAAGCAATGGAAGAATGGCAAGAAATGTATTGGAATAGTAATAAGGATCTGTGGTATCATAATATCACAGTGGAGTCGAAATGTACTGATAATCTTTCCAAAATGGTTACGGGAGTGATCATGAAGAAAGATAGTCGAAGGATCTTGAGTAATATTACTCAATTTCACACAGGCCATGGCAACTTTGGCGCATGGTTTAAAAAGTTTGGAATTGAAAAGGATAGTTACAACTGCAAATGTGGAGAGCTGGAAACAGTTCATCACATTTTAGTTGAGTGTCCTTTGCTTGAAGAGGAAAGAAAAGGACTGAAACGGATATCTCCAGAGATGGACATGTCGACTCTCTTAAACAGTTTAACTGGCTTACAAGAGATTGTAAGCTTTATCTCTGCTTGGAGGGATTAAGAAATACAATTACAGCGTTGATGAAGACAAGTGGAGATAGGTTGGGAAGGTTTGGTTATTTTAACCCCCTGTTCCTCGTAAGCTGGCATCAGGACTTATTTTCGGGCTGTTGGAGATGCAATGTTGAAGCCAAAATTAAAAGTTTATTATCAAAATGAAAAAATATATAGTATGGACAAGAAGGATAGCGCAGATGCTGATGTTATATAATTCTATAACCCTTGAATAAAAACAAACAAACAAACAAACAATTTATTAATTTAATGCTTTTTTATGAAACTAAAAATTTTATTTTTGTTATCAATAATAAATTTTTATTATGTTCATTATATAATAGTGAGTTCTGTGTGTCATCTCAAGAAGTTAGACCACTTGGAATCATATTTAATAATAAATTTTTAACTTTAAGCCCTAGATTATCTGTAGGTTCAGTAAGGTCAAACAAGATCTAAGTTCAAATTAGGAGTTTTTTTTTTTTAGACAAAAGGGTATGTGAGAGTTTGTTGTTAAATAACTGTACTGTAATAATATAAGTGCGATATCAGTTATGATATATTCCTTTAGAAATTTGGAATTACCGCAAAACATTGCATTAAGAAATAAAGTTACAAAGTTATTCAATTAATCATGATTTTATAATTTGTTCAATATTAAAATGGAAAACAAATATTTGAGGATGAAAAATAAGAAAAGGAAAAAATCAAGCAAAAAAATTTGTTTTTATTAAGGCGCATGCTACTACTGAGTTAGATGATTAAAATTCTAAAAAAGGTAGAAAATAGAAGAAAAGTAAAAGATTTTTTACTAAATTACTGGTATATAAATAAGAATTAGTGGTATTATAGTAATACGATGAAATTAAAATAAATTATTCTTTTTGAAATAGTTATAGGAGCGATTTGAATATAAAAAAAAGATATCTTTTGAGATGGGTATTGTGGATTATTTTAAGTAGATTTAAGTGACTTTCAATAAATCGTTTGGTATTTTTCGTTACCTTTTTACTTTGGGAGAGAAAAAAAAATCAGTTTAAAGCAGTTATGAGTGAAAATAAAGAGAGTAAATTCGGTCTTAAATATTTTTTTTTTTTTTTGATAGTTAGCATCAGGACTTGTTATTGAAAAGTCTAGTTTAAGAAAAAAAAAATAGGTGTTGTAGGGGGTTTGTGTTAGTGGTTTAGACATAGGCCAGAAGATTAAATAAATGTTTCAATAGAGCAACCTACTTTCTCTATTGAAACATCTAATGGGCGTGACAGTCTTAAAATAACAAAGCGGTATCTTTTAATTGAATTCTGATAAAGAGCGATTTATTCAAATTTCAAATTCAAACACTTTGTTTGAATTGTGAGATAAGTATCTGGAAGAAAAGAAAATTTGGTTAAATTTTTACGAAGATACTCGTATAACCATTTCCCCCAGAATTATTTGGCTGATATATAACGTAATCAGTTAATGGTTTTGTACATAAGCTTTGACTTTTCGTCATCACAAGTCCTTGGCATTGATGAAGGAAACCAAGTTTGTTATGATGGGATATTGAGGAATTAAATGAAATTTCATTGAGCTTGATATAAATTGATATAAATTGATAGAAATTGATAGAAATTGATAGAAATTGACGGATTTCGTAGACTTGAGAATAAATAATTTACAAATTTAGGAAATTATCCATGTTTTAAATCATTTTGGAAAGAAATTGCAACATGTTAATTAATAAGGATTGTTTTGTAAGTCGTTGTAATCAGATTGAAAGAAATGAATGAAAACTTTCATGAGCAGAGGAGCGAGATTATGGTTAAAAAAAAAAAAAGGTTTTGATAAAGGCCTAATCAGGATTTATAATGAAATCTTTTATGATCATCATTATGGAAGAGAGTCATAAAGTACATTATTGGCTTGCGGTCATATTCATGGACTTATTACTACAGTCTCTTGGCAGTGAGGCTGGAGCGAAATATTTCAGGAACTTGTGATCTCTGAGTCATTGGAATTTGAAAATACAGACCATAGAATAGATGAAGAAAAGGTCCACAAAAAGAGGAGTTTGATTAGCGAGGTTCTTTGTTTTTTTTTTTTTTTTTTTTTTTTGTTATTATGTGAATTTATTTGGTGAACCAAATGATCATTTAGTTAGAACTAATTAGTTGTTCTTCTAGTTTTTTAGTAGTTACACTTTTCTAAAGTCCCGCAAGGTTGGCCAAGTAAAAAGACCAGTTTATTTCTTGTTGTTGTTGTTGTTGTTGTTGTTTGTTTGTTGTTTGTTGTTTGTTGTTGCTACCATCTTATATCAGACTTAGGTTAGTTTAAATACGAGAGAGGTTTTTTTTTTTTTTAATAACATTAAAAGAAGATAAGCACTCTTGAGTTGGGCCTTTTTTAATTTTTTCTTCCCTTTTTAAGATGAATCTTTGGTTCACCACATCAGATGATATCAGATGATATATATATATATATATATATATTTTAAACAATCTTTATGAGATTGGTTCTTTTTTTTTTTTTTTTTTAATTCTTTTCTGTGAGATTAAGAAACGGTTTTAAATCTGCACAGAATAATATGTTTTTGCACATTTTTTTGCTTTAACTTCAACTGAAGTTGAAATTATTCCTCAGACCACCTTTGCATCTTTTTTTTTTTTTAAAGTAGCCGCCTTTTCCATTGAGTTTTTTTTTTTATTTTTTATTTTTTTATTTTTTATTTTTTATTTTAATAAAGTAAATCAGCCGTATGTAAAATTGTGTAACAAGAAATATTCATGTAATAAACTTTAATTGTCCTAGCAACACTTATGCCAAATAAAAATTCAGCCGTGTGTTGTTTCTGAGATCAGTCGCTTACTTTTACCGCTTTTTATTTTATTTTATTTTTTTGAAAAATAATTTTTAATTTTTAATTTTAATTTTAATTTTAAAATTGTAACTGTAATTGTAATTGTAACAAATATATATAAATTTATTGAGTCATTAAACCTTCCAAATCCTCCACATCTTCGTATGTTTTTGGACAATCCAAATGTCTCAAAATGGGCCCCCCTTTTAATAATACTACCTCCCCCCCCCCCAGATTCTTTCAAAACCAGTAATATATATATATATATATAGAAGATCTTCCCCCCCAGCTCATTCTGATCTCAGGAAATGAAAAAAAAAAACATTTTTAAGAATAATACTAATTGTAAAAAAAAAAAAAATAAAAAGAAGCAACTTTGAATTTAAAGTCCCCCCTCCCCACAAATATGCCTCAACACCCTACCTCCTTGAACCTTGATTGTTGTTGCCAATCATTTTTCACGGAACCCTCCGGAGACTACACCCCTTTATTTATTTATTGATATATATATATGAATTTATTTCAACCATATATAAATATAAATATATAAATAAATAAAAAACCATCCACACACACACACACAATTTTCAAACTTTCTCGGGGTCCCGTCGCGGGGATTGGCGGGCAGTGTGTGGTGGCCGGCCGGCGGGAAATCGCGCAGCCGCCTATTTCTTTTTATGGTAATTTGTATGTATCTGTTGAGACCCATAGAAAAAAAAAAAAAAAAAAAAAAAAAGGTCTTATAAGAAATAAATATATTTATATTATATATATTACTATTACTACTACTACTACTACTACACACATACACACACACATGGAAATTGGCAAATTCCGCATGCGGCCTGTAATCCCCAGCCAATCACAATCATTGAGTAGTCATCAACGTGCAGCAAGTTACGTAAACAACCCGCTTGGCTGCATCCCAAATAGGTAATCGTCTGTTGTCAAAATTCTGATCCGCGCCATTGAAAAAAAAAAAAAAATTTAAATCAAAACCGCCATTTAAATATATAATAGTATCCTAGATTTGGGTTTTTATTTAAGAAAGAACAGACTTTTTTTTTTTTTTTATGACTATACTCTATTCTATATATATATATATTAAAATTAATTGTCTATTCTTATTCTAATCTATCCCATAATCTATCCCATCTCATGCCCCACAATGCTATTCAAGTCCTTCTCAAGGCACCATGCGTCTCTCGCTAAAACGCTTTTCGCAGCCTCAAACTCATCCCATCACCATCATCATCATCACAATAGCTCTCACAATGGCTCTTCGTTCTTCGTCACTACCTCCCAGCTTAAGCGTCAGCAATCTCAGCTTGCTATTCGTACTTCCATCAGATCAGACCGAAAATCTGGTAAAAGCTACCGACCAGGAACTGACTCAAACCCTCACGCTTATGCCTGCTTAGGTGGTAATGCTTCTGCCTATTCTACTTTATCCCCTCTAACAACCCTTGACGATGACAAGCGCAGAGAAGCTGCTGCATCTATCGCCATTGTCCGCCATAGCAGACAGCGTAGATCTTCCACTGGTGGAATTTTTTACACAGAACCTTTTTTCTTGACTTCTGATTCTACTATTAATGCTAATTCTTCCTCTTCTTCTTCCTCCGCGGCCTTTTCTCTTCATCAACAATCTTCTTCTTCTTCTTCTTCTTCTTCTTCTTCTTCTTTGGTCTTGACTTCTGGAATCCGCTCAAGAAATTTGGTCCCTTCATCTACAAGACGTCGCAGATACTCAACCTCAGTCTGCTCATCAATCATCACCGTTCCGGCTGGCCCGATTCAACCGTCACGCATCAGTAACAGCAACAACCGTAACAATACACACCGCTTAGTCCTTAATCACAGACCTCAACATAGAACTGTAGGACCCTCCAGCGCCCACATCAACCACCATCATAATCATCACCATTATCATCATATAACATATCCTAAACATGCATCTAATTTCTCCTCTTCCACTCTTGCTAACAAAATCTCACCGCTGGACCCGGATGAGACTCAGCCAAATCAGGCCTCTGCAGATCTTCATCTCTCAAATGCCTTGTCCCTTAAAAAATCTAGTCAAGTCCTTACGGCTGATCAGCAAGATATAACAACATCAAATGCCACAACTATAACAACATCCCTCCCCCCATCACCTCCAGTTGATGCTGTTCCTCCTCATCATCCATCTTTTCTTTTCACAGACGTTGAAACTGCAATTCTTGCAGATTCTTATGATACCCTTCTTGGCGTCTTTCAAAAACACACCTCGGACCCTAATTTGGTCCCAGATACTCCAGCTGTTGAGTACCTTCTCTCTTACCTCGCAACAAAGCCCCCATCTTCTTCAAACGCGGTGGCTGCTCTCGAAGTTTATTCTCTCGCTTTAACTCGCGGAACTACCCCATCTACACCCATATATTCTTCCATCCTCTCTATCCTCCTGGACACTGCTGATATTCTCTCAGCCCAAGAATCTTCCTTCCTTTACACCCGCATTTCTGCACGCCACGCTCCCACCCACCGTCGTCGTAACTCGCCACCTACTCTTCTCCCTTCCGTGAATGCTACTCTAGACCAGTTTAAATCAGCTGCCAAGTTTGCAAAACTCGCCCTCGACATTTTTTCCGCATCCAACACTGTTACCAACCAGAGCTACTCTCGTGAACTTTATGACCACCTCCTCAGCTCATGTGTCCGTTACCACCTTGAGGACAAGCTCTACTCTGTAATTCGCGCTTACGAATCTAAAAACTACAACCTCACCCCTCAATCTTATGAGCTCTTAATCAAGGGTTATGGTAACTATGGCGATGCCACTGCCGTCATTGAATGCTATCGGTTCTACAAGTACAATGCTTTCAGATTTGAAGACAAGCGCGAAATGCACGTTTATGCTGCTCTCATCACTGCCCTCTTCCAAAATGACTGCGTTGCTCCTGCCCTAACCTTTTTCAAGCAGCTTTTAGATTCTCGTGCTTCCTTCTCCTCTCGCTCAGAAGCTTCAGCTTTCATCAAGTCTCTTGGTCCTGTCCTTTCCGCTATTGTTCGCGGCTTTGCTAACAATGGTGATCTCAAATCCTGCTGGACTTGGATTCAAAAAGTTGAGGCTGATCTCCAGTTCCCTGCCGTTGATATCCCGGCCCTAGTCGACTCGATGTCAAAAGCTTGTGATGCAAACAAAATCAAGTTTGCCGAAAAGCTTTTTGACTACATGGCCTCTCGCAAAGATTCCGCTACTACCCCTGAGTTTAACACATCTCGCTGTGATATTTTGGCTCTTGCTGTTCGTGCAAACACCCCTAATCTTCTTATGAAGCTCATCAAAGAGTCTCAAGTCCGTGCTGGTGTTTGGGACATTTCCACTCTTATGGTTGTCTCCAGGTATCTTATACTTATTGGTGATGCCGAGCTCGCTATCAAGGTCTTTAACCAACAAAGTTTCCGCTTGTCTCAGCAGCCTGATTTCCAGGATGCTCAAGCTACCGAGGCCTTTGCCGGTATCTTAAACTCTCTTCTTAAGCATGATATGCTTAACGTCAAAACAGCTCTTGAGCTTTCTAGATCAGTCTTCTTTGGTCCTCGTTCATTCTTTGACAACAAGGGTGGCCAAACAATCTTAAAAACACTCTGGGATAACTCTGTCGATACCATCCGCGCCGATTTCCCCCTCATAGACTCTTACATTATTTCTCTCCACCTTGTTTGGATCGATGCTTGCTCAGCTGACAATTCCCTCGGCGGCCTTTCTATTCCTTACCCACTCTTTGATGATCTCAAAGAAAACTTTGCCAAGTTTGTCCGTGCTCTGATCAATCAGAAAAAAGAGTTCCCCGTTCTTGGCTCAGATTTCACTGGTGATGTGTCCAAAGCTCTTAGTCTGCTTGGCGATAATGACACCAAGTGGCTATGGCAACAGTTTTGTGAAACAATCACTTCTCCTAAACCTTCCACTGCCGAGACTGCTACTGCCACATCTGCAAGCCTTCCATTTGATGTTGAGCGTACTTCTGCCATTGCTCTTGCAGCACAGTCTTCAACTACCCTCATCAAGGCCCTTGATGACCTTGAAGCTGCAGCTGCTGAGCATATCCTCATTGGCCCTGAAGCTTACATTGCTTTGATTGAAAATGCAGCTCTTGCTCGCTCCGCTGCAATTATCCAAAGCGTTTACAAATGCGCATTGACTGCGCTCCCACATCCTTCAGAGCATGTTGACGCTTGGGCTGCTTGGAATATGCTGCACCGCGCCATTGTGGCTCGTGCTGCTGGTCTCGACACGGGACTTGCACGCGCCGCTTATGCTCACCTTTTGGAAATGGGCTCTTTCCCCTGCGTTTCTGGTTATGCGCAGCTTATTGCACGCGCTCCTAAGACTGCAGACTGTGCTGATGAGCTTGCGCTTTTTGCCGAGGCCGCTGGCCGCCACGGCCTGGCGCTCAACACTGACATTTACAATGCCCTCATGGGAAAACTCGCCCGCACCCCATCTGAAGCTAATCTGGCCCGTGTTAAGGAACTTTACAAGGACATGGACGCTACTGGAGTCCGTAAAGATGCTGCTTCCTATGAAATCGTGATCCGTGCGTGTTGCCGCGCCGGTGACTTGGTTTCAGCCGAATCTTGTCTAGATGATATGATGGCCTCTCCATACCTCCAAGGCCCTACTCTTGCCCCCTTTAACGACATGCTTGCTCATTACGTCTATACTACTCGTGATCGCACTGCCGCTATGAATGTTTATGAGCGACTCTTAGCCACCAGCCTTACTCCTTCCGAGCTTACTTACCGTCTTGTCATTGACGCGCACACAATGATTGCTCCCGTTGATCTCGACGCTGCTGACCGCGTTCTGCTTTCCATTGTAGGCGCCAAGCGTGCTGTTTCTACTAAACATTATGCTTCGCTCATCTTTGGTCGCGGTGTTGGTTTACGTGATCCAGTAGCTGCTGAAGAGTTTTACGATGCTCTCGTCGCCCACAATCGTGTACGTCCCGATAAGCATATTTTCCATGCTCTTCTTGAGGCTCTTGTTGTTTCAGGCGCCGTGTCTCGTACAACCCGTGTCCTTCGTGAAATGGTCAAGTACGGCGTTGATCTCGACGACTCTTATGCTGCCAACTTGCTTATCCGTGGATGGGCTCCTGTCAACATTATCAAAGCTATAGGGCTCTTTGAGCACGCTCTTACCACCGGCATTGCTGATGAGAGCACATATGAATCTCTTTTCCGTGCTCATCTTTTCCATGCAGATTTCGCAGCTGCTGCTTCAGTCCTTGACGGTCTCGCTGGAGCTGTCGGCCATCCTACCAGCGAGCTCGACCAATTGCGTGCCCTTCTTGCCCAATTCTCGGCTGCACCTGTTAACTTTGAAAAACGCATGCAAATGCTTTTCGAAGGTATTTACCCTAACGGCGCTCCGCGCAGCGCTGATGCTGTGGCCGTGGCCATTGCGGGCCCGCAGCGCGGGCGCGTCATTGCTCCGTCCTCCTCTTCGATCTCACTATCCACTCAGTCACCTCTTTTCACACCATCTCCTATTTCTCCATCACTCGTTGACTATTAATTTTTTTTTTTTTTTTTGTACAAGTTTTTTTGTGTATTTTGATTTTTTTTTTCTCTCTCTCTCAAATAAAAGTTTTGTTTTTTTTTATACAAATTATTATATTATGTAGAATCTTGTTACATTGCTTCCTCCTCATCTTTTGAAGTAGTCTCAAGAAGTGTCAAAATCTCACCAACGTACCCAGAAACAGCTGGATTCATAAGGGCTGCACGCACAAGAGCAGCAGTGGAAGGTTTCAAAACCCGTTTGCCATCTTTGCTACGGGCAATGTTTTGCAATACAAGAGCTGCAGTGGCACCAAAAATGGGAGGACGCGAAGATGCAGCTTTATCACCACCCTTCTTATCTCCTGATTCGCCAACACCAGATCCTCCAGCAGCAGCTGCCCGTAATAGTGACGGCGCTACAGCATATGCTCGGGGCTGGATTCCCTTAATGATGAACCGTTTCTTTCCGTCAGGAGTATTGACAACCATTGCAGCTGAGTTTTGGAATGCTGCAGTCACATTTTTGATAAAGTCAACAGCTGGAAGAAGTCTGACACCGCCAGCACGAGCATGAGGTTCAAATTGGGCTTCATATGCTTTCCACAAAGAAATCTGTGTCACCTCACCTGTGGCCTCGTTTTCGTAACATGTCCGAATCCACTGCGTGGCACGATCAGGTTCGTTCAAAGAAAGCAACTCGCGCAACTCCAACTCTCCCAACACAGGCGGATTTTCAGGAACAGGTTTGGGTGTGCGTCTTGGCTGGCGTACATACACGGGCTCAGGGGAGGTCATGCCGTAAGTAAGGAGTCGCACTAGGTGCTCGCGTACTGCTGCGACCGGCGCCGGCGCCGGGGTATCGGCGGCGCCGCTCACAAGCTTAGAAACATTGACAGGCTGCGCTGTGTACTGGTACAAAAAGTCGAGGGCTGCTGCGAGAAGTTCATAATCGCGAGTGAGTAAGTAGCGCATAATGTGTGCCACCAGAGCTTGCGGAAGTTCTCCTGCAATGTTTTTTTCGTCGCGGATCAGGAGTCGGGAAAGCGAGCGAAGAGCAGGCACAGCAATGGAACGGTCGGTCGAAGTTGCAACAAGTTTAGCAACTGATTGGAAAAGTGGGTGATCAAGGGTCATTCCAATAATATAAAAGCTCACAGACTCGAGAATCTCGACACAGTAGTGCAAGTACTCATTGTTCACACCAACATTGGTGGTATCAAGACCGTAGGCCACGACCTCCTGGCATAGCTTTTGTTTTCCGAGATATTCGGCATTATCAGACTCTACTGCAAAGTTTCGTACCACCAAAAGAGCTTCAAGAATTCGTTGCTCAGTCGCAAGGATAGCATCAGACGCAGATGTCGCGTCAAATGGGAATATTGTGCCTGTACTTTTGCTATCCTCAACATCTTCATTTTTCTTTCCTCCATGGGATTCCGCAATTTTGCGGAGCAACACATCGGCCAACACATCATTGTACTTTAAGCTAAACTTTTCTGCACTCGCAAAGGACGTGTGCACAAGCGACGCCAGCGCCCATTTTTCCTCGCTCTCAATCCCGCACTGCAGAGACATAAGGATTCGCTGTAAGGTGGGGACTCCTGTCAACCCGTATCCATAAGCTGTACCTCCGCTGCGGGCTTCATTTTGCCGCCGCTCAAGTAACAGCTGCTGCTGTGTCTGCTGTCTCATTGCTGGATTATAATAAGGGGTCTGGAACGCGTGTGGACTATTCCCAGGTGTCATAATAGGGATTGCAGTCACATTGTGGACCACTGGAGCATACTGCTGAGGAGCTGAAACTTGTTGAAGATGTTGCTGTTGTTGCGGTTGTGGTTGTTGTAGCTGTTGTGGAATATGCTGCTGCTGTTGTTGTTGTTGAGGCATGGGCATATATGGCCCGGTCTTTTGCAAATGAGGAGGAAGTCCGGGTATCACACCTGGCCGTGGAGGCTGAGACTGCTGCTGTTGGTGCTGGTGCTGGTGTTGTTGCGGTTGCTGGTGCTGTTGCTGTTGCTGGTGTGGTGGTATTTGCGGCGGCGGGTTATAGTATTGTGCAGGGTATCCGTTCATGACTTGGGGTTGTGCGGACCCGCCGTTGGGCGCGTACGCGGGAACGTACTGTCCATTGGGAAGCATTTGAGTCGCGTAGGGGCTTGTAGTGGTTGAGCGGGACCCAGAAACTGCAGGAACGGGACCTGTTGTTGATTGTGGGATAGACTGAGGAGGTCCTGGTGGGCTGGCATACTGGGCAGCCATACTAGCACGCGTTCTCATAATGGTAGACGATCAGAAAGATGGAGTTTAAAGATTTCCAATGTTTGTTTTGAAAAAAAAAAAAATTAAAAAAAAAAAAAAAAAAAAAAAAAAGATTTGGTGTTTGTGGTGGTGGTGGTGATAAAAAAGAAATAAAAAAAGTTTAACATTTAACAATTATATGGGTTAGGGTTTAATACACTATGTACAATGGGCACGCCGGCTACACACCGGACCTGGACCCGATTACTCGTCTTCGTCGGTGCTTGGAGGCGGCGCACTATCGCGGCGCATATACAGATCGACTAGAAATAACAGAGTTAGAAATATGGAGGGAGAAAAAAAAATAATTCAAAATAATGCTAAAAATCAAAAGATACTTACTGGCTGTGGAGAAAGCAGCAAAAGCAGCGCAGCCCATAAGAGCAGATGTCGGGCCAGACTTGATGGCCAGACCACCACCTGTCAGGCATCCAGCAGAAACACCGTTCCAAATATCTGTTTTCGCACGGAGCTATAAGAAGTGGATATTAGTTAGGACCTAAACAGTAATTTGACAATGACTTACGGATTCAATAGAACACTCAGTGCCTGTGAAAATCAGACCGATGAAACCAAAGTTCTTTGCACTACTGTATGAGCGCTTACCCATATCGGTGAACTGAAGTTTCATCTGCTGCTTAAATGGCAAATCTGAGAACTGTGTTGGCGTCGATCCCAGTGGGGTATCGTAACTCATCTAAAAATCGCAATGTCAGTTAGTGATCTACAGCTGTTTCCTTAATAACTAAGTCTCATATCCACCAACTTACACTGGCCATGAACAGACCGAAAACACCACCAAGGGCAAAACCAGTCACACCAGCCATTGCTGATTTGCCTGGGCATGATTGCATAAAGTTCATCATGGCCTCGGCGCCGGCCATGGCCTGCTGCTCCGATGTCATTTCACTGTAACTTTGAGGGCGGCTCTGTCCACCGTATGCACCAAAATTGGTACCATTATTTCCTCCTGGTAAAAAACTCATGGTTTCAGCTGCTAATCCTTGTGCTTACTGCTTGCGCGTAGGGTTTATTTGTAGTGTTGCTGCCCGTCGGGTGTTGCTGTTGAGGCGGGTTTGCGGAGGTGCTGATGGTTAATTTTGTTAAACACTAAAATTTTTTAAGCCCTAACCCTGAAAATTATATAAATTATTTAAAGCGAGTCAGAAAATGATTACCAATTAGGGACTTCAAAATGCAAATTAAAGTCCATCATTATCTAACGTTTGTTTTTTTTTGTCATCTAACTAATTCATCAAAAATTAAATATTCATGATAATACCAATATTTGCTATATTCAAATTATTTTCTTTTTGAAAAAAAAAAAAAATTAAACAATAACATTACTTCTTCAACAAAAAAGTAATGCAAAAAAAATAGGTCCAACCCGGATTCGAACCGGGGTTATTGGAATCAGAATCCAAGGTGATAACCAACTACACTATTGAACCAATTGTTGAATTTCTTAATTTTCCATGTTAATTTATCTCTATAGAGCCTTTTAAAGATTCTTTATAATGAAATTTGAATTGAAAACATAGGGAAAAGGGCTGGATGGTGTAAAGGGTAACACGTTCGCTCGATAGCGGAAGATACTGGGTTCGATTCCCAGAATACCCCCTTTTCCTGAGGATGTGTACGGGAGTATACACCTAAACTGAAAACCATAGGCTACCCTGGTTACAGGAATGCCGACTCTTCCGTACAGTCTAAATAGCCTGCAGGTGATTGCGGGCCGTATCTCTGGCGGAAGAGATTAAGAAATACATGGGCGTCCGTGAAGATAAGTGGAAATGGGTTGGGAAGGTTTTGGGACCGACAGACTGGTTCTCCCTGTTCCTCGTAAGCTGGCATCAGGGCCCATCTTCCGGGCTACCGGAGACGCACAGAACAGAAACCACCCGTACTAAAAAGGTACAAATGAAAACCGGCAAGTCACATAGTCAGACAATAAAAGGATAGCGCAGATGCTGATGTTATATAGTTCTATAACCCTTGAATAAAAACAAACAAACAAACAAACAATTGAAAACATTTTGCTAAATTAAAAAGCTTTTTATTAATTTCAAAAAAAGATCAATTGTGTTTGTTTGTTTGTTTTTATTCAAGGGTTATAGAACTATATAACATCAGCATCTGCGCTATCCTTTTATTGTCTGACTATGTGACTTGCCGGTTTTCATTTGTACCTTTTTAGTACGGGTGGTTTCTGTTCTGTGCGTCTCCGGTAGCCCGGAAGATGGGCCCTGATGCCAGCTTACGAGGAACAGGGAGAACCAGTCTGTCGGTCCCAAAACCTTCCCAACCCATTTCCACTTATCTTCACGGACGCCCATGTATTTCTTAATCTCTTCCGCCAGAGATACGGCCCGCAATCACCTGCAGGCTATTTAGACTGTACGGAAGAGTCGGCATTCCTGTAACCAGGGTAGCCTATGGTTTTCAGTCTAGGTGTATACTCCCGTACACATCCTCAGGAAAAGGGGGTATTCTGGGAATCGAACCCAGTATCTTCCGCTATCGAGCGAACGTGTTACCCTTTACACCATCCAGCCCTTTCCCCAAGATCAATTGTAAAACAATACAATCACATAAATTTTGACTTCAGCGCGAGTTTTATTCTTAAGCTTGTTTAAAAGTCACGTGGTCTCTTGGCCCAGTTGGTTAAGGCATCGTGCTAATAAACAAGCAACTTCCTTGTGAAACGCGAGGATCGGCGGTTCGATCCCGCCAGAGACTATTAATTTTTTGTTTCTTCTTGAAGCTTTGTTGCGGTTTTTTGATGCTGCTTGCTGCTTTTTTTTTTTTCGTGTGTTGAGTGTGTGTGGGTGTGTGTGGGTGTGTTGTGTGTAAAGGTGACCAACCACAAATCTAAAGTTTAAATCTCAGGTTACTTTATTGTTTGTACATTGTCTTCATTACCACCTGGCGATAACGCGACAAAACACTTTCATTCATTTAGAATCGCAAATTACAAATTAAAAATTATAAAACATAATGGAATACTTAAAATACGAGCTTGAACAATTATCGGAATTGGCCACAGGAGAGCTCAATGCTACCAACATAAAGCATCTCGATGTTCCTTCTGACTTTGACGACTGGTGCAGTGGTCTGATTACTTATTTGGATGACCAAGATTTGGACACACTCCGCGACTTTTTCCAGGAAACGTCTAGCGATTACGATGAACTGGTAGAAAACGACTATGTTCTTGATACAGTGCCGAAATTTTTGCAGGTATACGTGGCCGACACTGTGTCACATCCTGAAATTCGTCGTACTGCACTTCAGGCTGCTAAAAGCTTTACAGACCCTGCAAGGTTTTTCAGATCTATTGAGAAAAGCTGCGTGAATAGCGCCGAGAAACTCGATTGAGCACTGGTTTGAACTTTATCAGCATATTGTCGTTAAGATCTTGTTCATTCGTGTGTTGGATACAAGGCACAAACCGAGAGAAGAAGAAAAAGAAGAAGAAGACAAACTATCAATTTGCTTTAAAGACGGTATAATGACAATGAAATGACAATGTTTAATAGACAGTTACATAATGATTCAAATAATCTATGGAGTTAATAGTAATAATGGTATAAGTTTAATATTTGGTACTTATAAATTTCTATCCACTTATTATAATTATTATTGAAATGGTTGTAATGCACCAAAATAAAAAGTACGTAAGTCTAAGTATTTTAGAGAATGTCTTTGAAATTAAATAGCAAAACTCTATTATTACTTGACTTTTAAATTATTAGCACAAAAAAAGCCAAGGACTATTGATAAAAAAAAAAAAAAGCAAACAAATTATCCAATATTGGTTTATTGAAATTGAATTATGCACGTTTTTGTTGGAATTTAGTCTTCTCGGAAGGACAGTGACATCAAAATCTAAAGCCTAAAAAGTTAATTTGAAAATTGAAAAAAAAAATAAGCAATTTTCTTCTACGCTGAAATATTTAAATAGATTACTATAATTGTCATTAAAGGGAAATTTTATTAAAACTTCTAATCATTAAACATAAGCATTAAAGAGTCGTATGGAAGGGGAGGAAGGGAAAAAAACTAAAATATAAGTGGTTTAAAGAAGGAAGAGACCAGCACCAAGGACGGCAGCACCAAAGATTCCACCTTCAGCAACAATTGAACCAGCAGCGTTGGAAGTCTTGGTGGCGGAAACAGAGGCGTGGGAACCAGAGGCAGAACCAGAGGCCTTTGAGCCAGAGGCAGAGGCAGAGCCTGAAGCCTTTGAGCCTGAAGCAGAAGAAGTGACAGTAGCAGCAGAACCAGAGCCAGAGGCAGAGGCAGAGCGAGAAGCAGAGCCTGAAACAGTGACGGTGGAGGCGGCAGAGGCAGAGCCGGAAGCAGAGCCGGAAGCACCTACAGTGACGGTTGAAGCACCGGAAGCCGAAACAACAACAGTTGAAGCGGCAGAGTTTTGAGCGAGGACGGAAGCGGCCAAGGCAGCGATGTAAAGAGCGATTTGAGCTTGCATTGTTACTGTATGTGTTTATATAGAAGAATAGTCGAGAAATTCAATAATAGATACACTTCTTGATGAAAAAGAAAAAAAAGAAAAAAAAAAAGAGAGAAAAAGAAAAAATAGAAAAAAAAAATTTTTTGAAGAATGCAAGGAATTGATCAGTATTTATAGAAATTAATTTGCAACATTTAAGGAAAGTTAATGAAATTATAAAATAGAGCTAAGAAATAACCTTCTTCTTGAGTAATTTAAGGGTGCAATTGTACTAATGTGCAAAACGATTCCTAAATGGGCGGTTCTAAAGAATTAACTTATAGTTTCCTTATAAGAAATACCTTTTGAATATGAGAATTTTACTGTGACTTTTTTTTTTTTTTCTTCTTCTTCTTTTCTTTCTTTAAAAATAGCTCAGGGAAGGTCGAGTAGTGGAATAATCGGGTTCATAATCATCATTAATGATGCCTTTACTACAAAAAATGAGATCAATTAAGGTAACAAACAGTACATGATACTATGATTATCAATAATTTGAGTTGGTAAGCCGTAGAGGTATGGCGCCTTTTGCAACAAAAGGCATTAAACCTTTGGTCTTAGTTAGTCTTTTACCAGCAGCTTACTCCAGTTGATTCAGTCAAAGCCACTTAATAATAATAGTTTCAATTTTTCATTTATTAAAAGTAATTTTTTTTTCTATTTATTCATTTATTTATTTATTTATTATCTGCAGCATTTTTTTTGAATTTTTGTAAACTCAAATTATCATCAAGGGGCGCTGTAGTCAACGTGTATTTAAGAAGCGCAATTTTTATGGAATTGCGTAATGAAAAACTTTTGGTTCATTCTTATGGTCGCCATCTAAAATAGAAGTCAATATCCGCCCATTTTTTTTTTTTAAATTTCTAAAGCCTTCACGGTGATAATAAATTAAAAATCAGTAAACATCAACATAAGCACTATGGTATATATATATAATGAATGCGTTTTAACAAATATCCACTGAAGAAAAAAACACTACAATAATAATAATAATAATAATAATATAAGCCAATGACCAATTTGGTTCAAGTAGCACGTTTGGAGCCTGGAAGGCCTCGGCTACCAACTTTAAATATGAGGCAGAACATCAGAAGAAGAAAGAAAGAAAGAAAGATGGTTTACACTCATATTGATAGGTGTTGCCATTTAACTTTAACCAAAAAAAAAAATAATAATACAAACAAAGTTACACCCCTGAGACACCATAGCCTCTGCCTTTTGTCCGTTTGAATTTGATTTTCCAATTCAATTGAAAGGAGATAGCAACAACTCCTTTTGAAAAAAAATAAAAATAAAAAATTATTATCCAAAAAAAAAAAAAAACTCACCGGAGCAACAAACGCCTCTTCCACGTGGGGAGGAAGGGGAATTCAAAACTTGGACTTTGGCTATAGGAGACAACAAGAAATAACAAATTTCAACAGGGATAAAATCTGTTTGGTAGGGATAAAGTGGGTGGGGTGGGGAAGAGATGGAAGTACTAGAAGCCGAGTCACCACAAAGTGGCTTGCATAGACGATACTATTGATTTGAAAGATTTGCGGCTTGAAATACAATTTCAAAATCTAGTAGCACAATTAACCAAGTAAACGTTTTTAATTGCTCCTAATCAGAATAGAGTGGAATGGAATTGGAAATTGGTTGGCCTAATTTGGGGGGAAATGATTAAAGAGGTCAAAATATAGGACAAGAAAACGTGACTTGAAATTTCCAAAAAAAAAAAAATAAAAAAATTCAACTTTTTCCCAGTTTGTTCGTGGCTTGAAAAAAAAAAAAAAAAAAAAAATTCTCTTTCTTTGGTGTATTTAAATGGTTTTTATTATCCTTCAATATTTTTCACATAAAGTCAAAGATATCCGAGGAGGGTTTTTTTTTTTTCTCTCTAGGAATTCCAAAATGAATACTGTTGACCAAATCAACTCTATCTTTCTTCAAAATAAGCCACATAAAAAAAAGTTTGAATTTTTTTTGTTTAAAAATCTTGCCATAAAAATTCAAATAATTTTAAATTTCTATAGTTGTGATTTAAAAAAAATGCAAAAAAATTTGTTGAATAATATGTAATGAATTGTTTAAAACTTTTTAAAAGGCCGGAAAGAAATTCGCTACTGAATTTCAAAAATAACATTGGTTAATAGAATTTTCAATTTTCTTTTTGTTAATCACTTAAAGTGATTGAAATCAAAGAAAAAAAAGGTTTGAATGTAAAAATAGCTTCCATAAAAATAGAAACTTAAGAAATTTTGGTAGAGCCAATATTTAGACTTGTTGCTTTTTCTTGATTTTCATTTTCATTTTCATTTTTTTAAGCCTAATTCCAAAAATAGTTTTTCTTTCCACAAAAAAGACGTCTTCTAGAATGCGTATACACTTTCTTTTTTTTTTTTTTTAATTTTGAACTACGTCGCTAAGTATCAAAAATAAATCAGCAAATAAAAAAAATTTAAGCTTTCGACAATTTTTTTTTAAACGTATCTCTTAGAATAGTAGAGCCCCTTGGTTTTGAAGTTCGGGATTTTCCTCTTAAACGTCTGATGAAAGGTGTTGAAATGTCTCTTACTGAACTTCCGGTCCTCAAACTCCGTACAATAGAATCATTAAATTACTTTATTAATATGGCTGATCTTGTTCTATTTGTTTGTTTGTTTTTGAAAAAATCAAAATATTCTTAGTTTAAAAATAAAAGAAACAATGTTAAATAAGCATAAACTGAAGTTTTTAATGATTTAAACCTTTCTTTAGAATAATAATTAGACTTGATTCAAAAAGCGATTTATGCCATGATTATTTGACTTCCAAGCTAACTCTAATCAACTAAAAACAAAATAAACTAAACAGCATATGTTTAATTAAATAAAGTAATAACTTTTTTTATACCATATTTTAGTGGATTATATACTAAATTAATTAATTGAACATGTTACTAGTTTAAATGCTCTGATTTTCTAGTTAAGACCAGTAATTTTTAGGAAGCATGGTTATTTTATCTATCAACAATAGCAGCCTCTCATTTTGATATTACTACAAAATAATACAGGCATTTCTGAACATTTCTAAAAAAAGATATCTTTGTTAGCTTATTTTAAAAAAAGAATTTTTCAGCATATTTGTTATGACTACGCAGACTTAGATAAGAATAGAACTTGTCAACTTAAGAAAGTATAATAGAAGAGTATTATTAACAAATAAATTTCACTGAGACAAAAAAAAATAAGCTTATTCTAAAAGGTTTCATTAACAGCTTAGTTACAAAAATAAATAATTTCAGTTATACTTAGTTAGCATTTTTGTAGATACAAAGGTATTATTCAAAACAAATATGAGTAGTTATTGAGTAATCAGAGCAGAAAAATAGGTGGTAATGAAAAAGTGCTACAAATTAGTACAATCACAGTTGTAATTACAACCGTTTTATTTCGTTCTAATCCAGGGTTGTAATAATATTGTAACGAGATTGATCAATCAATTCGAACCAAGAATAATGCAACGGTCATCCCTACCTCAAAGTACAATTGAGGATAAGTTCAAGTATATAAACACTCTTATTTATTAATCATTTTTAATAAATAAATTTATAAATTTATTTAGAATTATAAAATATAGTTGTTAATCTTTTTCATTTATATTATTTTATCATTTTCTGGGAACCTAGATTTTAAAATAGTAAAAGAACAGTATCAAAGTCAATACTTTGAACTTAAGGAACTTTTTTTTTAAAGATCAGAAAATATAATACATCTGTATTTTACTTAATTTAATTATAATTTAATTACAAAAAAATATACATTGTAACATTGTAACATTGTTTTTATTTTAATGTAAATACCCCTATGTTTCTAGAACTAAGGCTTTAGGGTTGGATAAAGAGGCCTCTAATCAATAGGAACAGCAATAATTTAGAGATCAATATTAAGAGCATGATACTATATATACTTCAAAATAATATTTTTTTATTTGGGCTAGTGAACATTGGTTTATAGAAATAAATGTGGGAAGTGAAGATTTTATGTTAAAATAAAAAGCAATGAAACCCTTCAGCATTAAATGAAAAAATTTTTTTGGAAAATTGGTCAGATCCACCCGCATGGTTTTGTAAAATTATGGGCAACAAACAATTGAGCCATACTAGCGAGGAAATTTTCCTAATGATGGTTGACAATTTTTTCACAGCATAATACTGTGGTTTAAGAAATAATGCAAAATCAGCATTATATTTTCGAAAATGCTACTTATTTCAACAATCCTTTTTTTTTTCTCTCTCTCTTCAGAGTTACTTTAAAAATGAGAATGTTCCTCCATAATATTGAAGTTTTTTTCACTTTGAAAAAGTACCACAAACACTTCAATTTCATGTCTAGTACTTTTGAAATACAAAAGTTGAGAATACAATAGGGAGGAATTGCAAATTTATGCTCATTTCAAGCCTAATCATTACAGCAGACTTTTCAAATCTTTAATTTTCAGAAACAATTATAAATTAGGAGCCAATCCCTGGGATTTTCCAAGTTTTTGTTTCTTCTTCATTACTTTGGATAATAATCAGAAATCAAATATATTTAAACACTTCTACCACTACTTCGCTATTATCTTGCTTTTTTTCTTTAATTTCTTAAATTAATAACAACAACATTAATAAATTTCACAATGCTTTCTGTTGCTCAACGTTTAAACTCTGGCACTAAGGCTGCCTCTTCCAGCATCCCCATCAGCGCTGGAAATAAGCCTCAAGTATTTTTGAGTAATTCTCCCGAGCGTTCCTTGCGTCAGACCATCAACCCTGATACTCTTATTGTTGTTCCTGATAACTTTGAGCATGCATCCAAGTTGAAAATCCCCACCAAGGGCATTTGTGTTCCTCTTAGCAATTTTTTGGACTCTACTTCTCCTGATAGCAAAGACATGTTTGATGCTCTTAATATCCAAAAAGTCATTTTTAGTGATTGGTGTTTTAAAAGTACCGAGGCTGAAAAGAAAAAGATGATAAACTTTGCCAAAAGCCTTGAAACCCGTTACAAGGCCAAGTTTGGTAGCAAACCCAAGTTTGTCAAGCGCATTTCCAACGCAGTTGAGGGGAAACTCCTTAAGCGTGGCAGTGTTAGCAGCATTGGATCAACACTCACATCCAATAGCACTGAGATTGAAATGACGAGCATGACACTTGTTGAAGACGAGTTGTTTGTAGAAAGCAACCAGGTTGCCTTTACTTTTTTCCCCATTCAATTTAAATTCCCAAATCTCAAGGAGTTTACATTTACCCAAATTCTGCACAAGTTTGCGGAAAAGGAGCTGCCAGTTAATACTGTGGAGATTCGGGAATTCGCACCCATTGCCAGCTTTTTGAGCATTATGCCTGGTTTACACCTTCAGCTGACTAATATTTCATGCTTGAGTGAACTTACTCGAATTGGTACCCAACTTGTTGGACTGGAGCTTTATCTTGGGGACAGATCATATTACAAGCAGTACGGGAATAGTTTGCTTGAAAAGCATTCTTTGGTTCCTTTTGAAAAAACAACTTCTGATGTTGTTGTTAAGACTCTTCAAGAAGCTGTTTGTCTTGAAACTTTTACATTTATCCCCCCTTCAGGGACAACTCCTCAACAGTATGCAACCATTATTAATGAGGTCAACAAGCTGCCCAAAATCAAGGATGTTACTACCAGTCACTATTACACCAAGGAAGGTACTACCTTGACAGCCCTTGAATCTCTTAAGCCTGCCGGGATGACTCGCTGCGCCATGAATCTTTTAATTCTTGATACCAGTGTCGAACACTTTGGTTCCGGCAAGGTTACCTGTTTGGAGCTCCCCCAGGTTACGAGTCTTGAGGTCCACATTGGTGCCAATTGGCATATTACCCCTAAGTCTGTTCAGCAGGTGTTGGCACCGCTTAAGCTTCCAAGTCTAAAGCATTTTGTGAATGAAACTGGGTTTATGGGTGAGAATGGACATTTCTTGATTGACCGTGGGGTGATTGATAAGTTGGAAACTTTTGAAGCGACTCTCAAGTCGCACTGTCGTGACGCACTTTGTAATCTGTTGCCTATTGTGGGGCAAGGGCTTGCATCAATGAAGAGCCTTAAGCGGGTTGTTTTGAAGGAGGCTGAATTTGTGGGGTTTAACAATGAGCTTTTTGGTTCAACGGCCGAAAACCGCCAGTTTGCTCTTGAGGTGCGGATCGAGCTTCGGAGTTTTATGAGGGTTATTTGTACAAATTTCCTTGAGTTTGTGCGGCTGACAGATGCGGCTGGCGGCGGATCTAATTGGAGCGAGACAGACGTTGATTATTTTAAGGAGAATATTGAGCAGCTTTTACCTCAGCCAAACTTGAGCAATAGCAAAAAACACATTCCCTTGGAACTTCTGGTGGCAGCTGCCTTGGATCCGATGGCTGTATTGATGGAGTATTATGGATCTGTTGCTTGGCCTGTGGGTACTGAGATGGGTCGTCGTCGTTCCAAGAGCAATAACACGTCAAGTTATAACTTGGTTCCTCGAGGACAGGCATATGATTTCCGCATGTTGAGCATTGTTTTGGAGCATTGTTTTTGGGAATTGATTATGAGTAAGCTCATTTCATTACCTGATTTGGAATATGTTGGATTTGAGCAGGGCGCTGATGCTGGTAATGGGATGATGCGGGGTGTTCAGGGGGTGTGTTTTTTGAATCTTCCTCGGTTACAAATTCTAGCTCGGGTTCATTCCAATTTAAAACAGATTGCTATTCCAGACGTTGAGTTTTATGAGTCTAGGCGGATTATGGAAAGTAGTACAACAGGAGAGTCTTGTGTCCAACAACGTATTTTTAGTCGGGATGGAGGACTTGGGATGTATGTACGGCGCAGAGTATGTCAGGAACCAGAGATGTTTACGTTTGGACAGGTGACAGTTTCCAACCGTTGGAGAGTTGTTACGGTGATTGACGTTAAGAGTTTGCGTCGGGGGGATTTGGAAGCAAATGCGCTCAAGGCTCGTGTGGAGAGTGAACGTGAGGTGGAGGCACTTTTGAGGCAAGTTGTGGCGTGTTGTGGGAATTCCAGCGGATATTCACGGCAGATTTATGACGGAAGAAGAGCATTTGAAAGTGGGTTTAATGGTTGGTTGTAAATTGGGTGAAGTTTGGTGGGTGTACCGGGACCCGGTGTTCTGAGACCCGATATAATTAAAGTGAAATTGTAACGGATGTATAAATTTTTGGTAGTGCAAAAGAATTAAAAAAAAAAAAAATTTTATTGTTAAAGCGAGTTTTTTTTTAATTTTTATTATTTTTATGTGCGCTATTTAGTGCTCACATGGCTAAATTTATTTTATTTTATTTTATTTTATTTTATTTAGTGTGATATGCAACAATGTGCTGATGATTTGAGCGCCATGTGATTGGCAGTGTAGAAGGCCGGGTAACTTGTGGAGATGTTGGTGTGGCAACCAAAACAGCCCACTTTGGGGTGTTGAGGATAATATAAACAAACAAATTCTTAAACAGGCCATTTCCCGCATATTGTTAAAAAACAAATCATTGATCGAATTAAAAAAAAAAAAAAAAAAAAAAATCTACTTGGAAATCTTGAAAAAATCTCAAAATTTTTTTTTTCAAATTGATTTTCAAAGTACTTATTTCTTAATTATTCTTAGCTCCCCCCTCTATTTCTCTCCACCCATAAAAAAAACCTTGAGATGATCGGCCATCATTATCACAACCAAGGCCCTATTTTGACCCATCAGCAGCAGCAACAGCAGCAGCCCATATCTTATCCAGTGGTAGATGCCACAACGGATTCCGCTAACTACCGGTTCCCACCTACTCCTGCAACTACCGCAACAACAACAACAATAACAAAAACAACAACAACCACAACAAACTTAAATCCTTGCGTTCCAACAAACAATCAACAACAACCTCCTCTTTACCACCACAACCACCAAAACACTTTCATCCACCACAACAAGCTGCCCGCCGTCTTAGACGACAGCCCGCAACAAGCTCCAGCAACAGGCCTCTTGTGTGCAACCTATAGTTCTCTTCAGCATTCCACCGTGTCTGCCTCCGACTTTGGTCCACCACCGCAGCTGCCACTTCTTTCTAAGCACGTTGGCAGCAGCAGCAGCAGCAGTAACAACAACTACACCATAAACAATAACAATAACAACAACAACAATAATAATAATAATAATAACAACAACAGTACTTTCTTCCCAACTAAAAGATCTTCCATTTCATCCTCTTCATCTTCATCATCCTCATCATCTTCCTCCTCATCCTCATCATCATCTCCTTCTCCAACATCTTTTGTTTGTCTTTTCCCAGGAAACCCAGCATCCTCACATTTCTCAAACTGTAAGCACGGGCAGTGCCGCCCAAACAAAGACCGCTCACTGTCGTCGCCAGCAAACGTCATGGGCGCGTCTTCACTAGGATCCCCGACTATTGCTCCGTCACCTTATATCCACCCGGTCGTACAGGAGGATCTTCATGCCGTCTTTGAGTCTTTGGCTCTCAAGGAGCGTCGTGTGCTGGAAGCTCGCGATCAACTTTCGTCGGCTGAACAGGATCTCAAAGTGTTTCGCAAACTCTACCGCGCAGTTCTCAATGGACAAACAGTGCAAAAGTCCTCTCCAACTTCTGCAACAGTTCCACAACTTCCACTGACTCTGGGAACTTCTGCAGTCACTCCATCAATGTCCTCTTCAACATCATCTCCACCCCCATCGTCCCCCTCTCTATATTCAGCACCAACAATGTCCAATAGGTCCTCGTGTCTTATGTCCTCAGTACCATCTACCACATCTACCACAGTATCCACTCCTGCGTTAGCCTCTCCTGCTAATCTAAACTCCTCCTCAAAGCCAGCAGAGCCATTCTCGCTACGGCAAATGGACTCTGCTGCAACACATTCACTTCTATCTTCTTTGTCTTCATCTCCACCACCACCACCAACATCACAACCACATTCCATACTGTCGCCTCCATCACAAACCTTATCCTCGCTTTCCCACCTCCAATCTCCACAAAACACTGTCCCGGTCCCATACCTGCCATCATTCCGTCACAGCATTGGTGCAATGCCCACGTTTCAATTCAATAACATTGAATCTTATAATGCTGCAAACACCCTGCTGACACAGTCCCTGGCCACAGTGGATGACGAAATTGAAGAAGGCGACCAATACAATACATTTAAGGATATTTCCCGCAAACAAGCGGCTGCAGCCCTGGAAGGTCGTGCCCTTCATAGTAATGATAAGACTTCGGAGAGCTCTGATGAAGATGACAGTGATGAAAGCGATGATAGTGAAGAAGACGAAGACGAAGAAGAAGAAGAAGAAGAAGGAGATGGCGATACTCTTACTATGAATGGGAAAAGCCTAGTCCTACATGTTAAAAGCGCTGCCGCTACTGCGTCGGCAACAGCCACGGCAGGCCCGGGCTCTTCTCTCGAACACAATGACAATGAAGCAGCAGCAGTAGCAGCAGCAGCTGCTGCTAACGGAACACTGTTGGGCTTTTTCCGGTCGCGTCTGCACAATATTTTTGATCCCCAAGAGGAGGCACAAAAGTCGTTGCAGCTTTCGAAGCATTCATCAAAACCTCATAACCAGGCCAATTCTAAACACAAGCCTTCGTCTATGCACGGGAAGCTTATTGAAGCCGTGCCTACTAAGAAGAAATCTTCCAAAGCCCATAAACCCCCCTCCTCCTTGGAAACCGACCCTCACCAACTTGGTCCTGGTCTGCTGTTAGAAGGCGACCTTATGATCAACACTACTGGCCTCGCTTTCCCAACTACTCCAATATCCCCCCTCACAGCTGTTGGAGAAATTCCAACTCCAGGTAGTATGGGATATCATCATCCTCCAGGTGCCTTCATCACCTCCGTTTTTGGACAATCTGCATTCCCTCTCCATTCTAACTATCCTCTCGCATCCTTTGCATCCCCAGCAACTTCTATTGATGCTGCTTTGGCCGGCCATATTCCAGCTGCTGCAACTACTACGACTCCAGTCAAACCATCTGGACACAACCGTGCATCTTCCATCTCATCCACTCCTTCAATTACCCCACAAAAGGCCCAGCACTTGCGCTCACGCTCAATGTCGCCTACTAGAGGAATTAGCAATCTCAACCATCCTCCACTGGGTGCTCCACTTGGTGCTCCACTGGGTTCATCTCTTCCAGGCCCTCTGTCACTCCAGCCATTGCAAATAGAACTCGGTCCTCTGATTTCTCGGTCCCCGAGCCCTGTATCACGTCGCGGTCACTCTCGTGATAATAGCAATGTAAGTCTTACTATGGGTTCTGAAATCTCCAAGCGGGAACGCCCACCGTTGGCTCCAATAAGCACAGACTGTAGTCCGTTTGAAAGTCACCACCATCATCACCACCACCATCATCACCATCACCACCACAATGGATTCCAAGGCAGCCAGTATACTATTTACGAGACTTCTTCGTTAGACAATGAGGAGAATCCCCAACCTTCAATCTCATCACCACAACGTCATCGACACTCGAAGACGTTATCGTCGTCTGCATTTGGGTCACCACGCCATCACGCACACCACTGCAGCACAAGCAGTATTGGAAGTGCATTCAGCATAAGCACCAATACAAACACAACAGCCACAAGCAACTATTCCGTGCCGAGCTCACCACCGCCTCTTGCCGATGGTAAAAGTTGTCGATCTCCACGGCATAATCGCAAGGGCTCACACCAACTGCCGTTGCAACTGTATAACCAGTATCAACAAAAGATGGAGCAGCAGCAGAAACTAGAGCAACGGCTCGAGTTAGAACAAGAAGAAAAGCTTGCAAAAAAACTTGAGCAATAAGGTTAACTTTTGGAGAAATCAAATGAATTAACCAAAAAAAAGAAAAGAAAGAAAAACAACAAGTAAATAGACTTGAAGATCTCAATTATTTATCTGAGAAAGAAAAAAAAATAATAATAATGACGAGTCGATTCTTGTCATATCCATTTCCATATTTTTATTTTCTCTTCGGAACGTCTGCAATACTAATTTTTAATACTTTTTATATAAATTTTTAAACGATAAAAAAGCCTGCGAAATATGTAAAAAAAATCTATAGAATATTTAAAGAAAATAAAGAAAAAAAAAGGGGATTTTAAAATGAATAAAATGAAATCATTGCGATGATTTAGATGCATTTTGTAAATTTCTTGCACGGGCCAGTTCCTCACGAAGCTCACGAACTTGTTCTGTAGTTTCATTAACAAAATTCACAAGCCTGCTACCACTACCGATACTTCCAATCGGATTTCCCTGCGCTGAAGCATTGCTACGTGCTCTCTTCACACTTGCTGCAATACTATCAACGTCCTGTACGATTTCTTTGGCCGCAGATGCACGCTCAGCAGTATCTTTCACAAGCTCCGTAATACGTTGCTCCAGCACGGCGACCAGCGCGCGCGCCATGATATCTGGGGCTTTCTCAAGGGTCTCTGCAGAGGCCGCAGACGTGACTGCAGGATCAGTCAATGAGCCTTTTGTCTTTTTGGTTGGCACAGGAATCGAAGTCATCGGTAATGGTGGGTCTTCAACTAACGGAGCTGTACAAAACGTTTCAATGGCTGCCAAAGTTTCTGCCCGACGCTTGGTATCTGTGTTCAAAAGTTGGCGGTACACTTTCCGCGAACGAATGGTGAACTTATTGTCTTCAGAATCATCTTCACTTTTTTCACTTTCACTTTCACTTTCACTTTCAGTTGAATGTTCTCTTTCATCTTCTGTTTCATCCGGATGCTCGGCCTCGGTTTCAATCTCGGTCATATCCTCGCGATCTGTTTCGGACCCAGACCCGACTTCCACCATCTCGTCATTAGTCTTCTTCCGTTTCTTTTGATGTTTCTTTATGTTTTCTTTCAGTATTTTGTCTTCGTCTTCGTCTCCGTCTTCGTCTTTATTTTCATTTTCATTTTTTTCTCGATTGGCATTGTCTGATTGATGTTGTGGCCTTCGCCGTTTCTTTCCTGCTAGTTTCTTGGTTTTTCGTGTAGGTTTTATGCCTGTTGCAATTATTTTGCAAAACTCATTCTCAGGCATGATATCTTCCAAGCCAGTCTGCGCAAGCAGAAACTCAGCCAAAATTTCTTGTTTCATAACACTGGACTTAACAACAGTCTATTGAATATGAAAATATTTATATATATATATATATATTTCTTGAAATGGGGAGGATTAAAACTCCGTTCCAGTCTACATGAACTTTGATTTCTCAAGTAGAAGTACCAAAGTAGCAGTTAAAAAATGCAAAAAAAATGCAAAAAAATGTAAACAAAGTCACGTGCCAACCGGTTTCTTGACAACACCGGGACTCACATTTAATCAAAGAGAGCCCGAATCAGTAACTTCTCAAACAGACCGGAGCTATGATTCCTCTAAAACCATTCCATAATATCATTAAAAAAATGTCCAGTGATCCAGTTTTTCTTTTTTTTCCATCACTTGAGAACAACGTTTGCATTACGCAACTCCAAGTACTGCTGGTCAACACCAGGCGCCATTCCCTGAACAATCCCATAAATTTCTGCATTATGGTATCGCAGCCCGTTACGGACCGAGCGGTACCGACCCTCAAGGCCAGTAATATCACACCACCACTTGCGTGGACGTACAGAAGGTGGAGCATCCACAGCTGCATATGATGCATGGAACTTTGGAGCTGTTGACGGAGCAGTGGCAGTACCATCTGATTCACTAGCAGCAGCAGCTTCTGTAGCAGCTTCTGCAGCAGCAGTGGCAGCAGCAGTTTCCGCAGTGGCCAGTGCTTGCAAGCGGCGTTGCTCGTCGGCAATGACAGTTCGCGCGGGTTTATTACGGCGCGAGGGGGTTTTCCATGTGGGGACTTTGAATGTGCGCGGGACAACGTTGAAGTCCAATTCAGCGATTGTTTTAGGTTCAGCCATACTTATTAGATTCAAGTAGATTCTTTTTAACTGTGAGGAGTCTCTGTCGGGGCCCGGGTGTCTATAGTTTTTGAAAATATATGGCGGCAGTGCGCAGTTTGTTATTATAATTGAATGATTGCATTTTGTTTTCCTTGTTGGCGGTGCCTGAACGCAGGGGTTTCCTCGTGTCTTACACGTTACCCTGAATAATAGCCGGTCTCAGAAATACGCATTCAGAACTCCATATTTGCATATACACTCTCCATAGCCGCCCTTCTTGCAGCTTAAACAAACTTACATTGATTGACATACGTTACACCATTTAAGCACCACCACCTCCCATCCAAACAATCTCCAGAAATCAGCAACTTAAAATCTCACGATTCTATATAGATCCCTCAATATATATATATATATATTTTAAAAAAAAAAAAAAAAAAAAAAAAAAAAAAAAACCACGAATCCGATCGTCTTTTCACAACTCAACTCTCACACTCTCTGGCAATGTCACAACAGCCCCAACAATTTGTTGCGGGCCGTCCCGCCAGCATGTACACGATCGAGTCCACAGTCACCCGCTTGCTGGTTGCCACCAAGCAACTGCTGGAATCGCTGACCCAGTGGTCGCGAAGAGAAGCCTCTGAGCAAGATGTTTCTGATATTTACGTATCTTTGGGGAATGAATTCAACATTGCATGCCGTGCATTTCTTTCTTCAGGTGTTGAAGTTGCGTAAGTTTTTATTATTATTATTATTATTTACTGATTGCTGGTTTCTCATATAACCTTGTTAACCCTTTATAGCGACCTTGGAGATGTCCCCCAGGCTTTGCGCGTAATCCTTGAAAAGGCCCTCTCTGAAGATGCATCTCAAGAGAGTCTTGACAAGTATCTGCCATCTATTCGTGATATCATTGTTACACTGCTTCGTCAGCTCAAGCAGAAACAAATGCTCATTCGCTCTCAAGCGCAAGCATCTTCTGCAGCCGCTTCAAATACACATCCTATTCTTCAGCGCTCTTTAACAAACCCTCATGGTTCTTCTCCAGTCTCTCAAACTCTTCCACCAGGCCCCAGTTTGAACCAACAACAACAGCAGCAGCAGCAACAACAACAACAACAATTGTCAAATGCAAATGGTGCTCCTATTCCTCCCCCTCCTAGTGGCATTGTAACATCCTCTTCTACCCCAGCATTTCCTTCAACTTCCGATTATAACAATCAATCTTTTGCATATAACCAATCATCCCAACAAGGAATTATTCCCAGATCTCAACTGGAATCTCAGCCTTCAGTCCGATACTCTGGCCGTCCGGAACCTTCCAGTGCTGCCTCTGCTCGGGTCCCACAACCTCCTCCTCGCAATGCACAACATTCACCAACTCACACTACATTCCCAGCCATTTCTGTTACTGATACAGACTCATCCACAAAACCTTCTTACGCACAGCATATCCGCAACAAGTCTTCCATCACTGGCAGCCGTACCGATTTTGATTCCGCAATACTCCCTCGTAAAGACCCGCTCTCAGTTCTCCAGCGCGGAGAAGCTCTTGAGCGCAGAGCATCACGCCGATTTTCTGCATACCAGTTTGCCAAACTTACAAATGGCACCTCCTCGCGCTCCGATATCCCGGACATGCCTCCATTCCCAGGTGGATCTAACAGTCCTAACCCAGGACTTGGTGGCATGTCCATTTCCGGATTTCAGCGTGGATACCCAACTTCACCATCAATGCCTAATTTTTCAACGCACTTATCTCCGCAACAGCCGCAAGCACCTCAATTACAACCATCAAAACAACAAGCGCCAATTTCTACCCATCCACAATCACAATCACAACCTCAAACTCAAACTCAACAACAACAACAACAGCAATCTGGATCTCAGTTTTTGCCCACAAAAACACCACGCTCTACACAGCTGGCCGAATATACTTCTTCGACCATGCTGGTCAGCGATGGTAATGAAATTCCCGGTGTAGTTCCAGGCCCCAAACAAGCTTCCACATTCCCTTCTCATCAAGATGCCAGGCCTTCTTCCAGTGCATCTTCAACATTACCCTCACTGCAGCGACAGGCACCTCAACCTGGTGTTGTCACCCCTTCGCGGTCAGTTTCTGCACCAACTGGCAGACCACCATCCATGATTCAGCCAGAGCCACCAACACCTGTTTTTTCTCAATTAGATCATGAGTCTCACCCAGAGAAAACAGATGACACTGGCTCTGGAAATCTAGTCTTGTTTTTGCAAATTGGTCGTAGTGTCAAAAAATGCTTTGTTTCCCGTGAAGATTTAACCATCTCAGCTTTGCGTCTTTTATTCATTGACAAATTTGCACATCCAATGTCTTCTTCGGAAGCTGTCCCCGATATTTATATTCAGGACCCTAAATCCGGAATCCGATACGAACTTGATGAAGAAGTTTTGGCCAATGATGTCCATTCGGGTAGTTTGCTTTCATTAAATATTGAGGCCGTGGATGAAGTCAAGAAGCATATCGATGAAGGATTTGCAACTCTTACAAAACAAATTTCCGAAATCAGTGACCAGGTTTCATCACACGGTTCTTCTATTCAAAAAATTAATGAAATGCAAGAGTCTATAACTAACCAATCTGGTTTCAAATCACCCACTGGCACTGTTTTCCAGGGTTCTTCACCCACAATTCCTGGAATACCAAAAAAGTTTGGAGGCAAACCAAGAATTTTGACAAAATCCTTGCGCACGGCTTCCATGCCTGTTACAGATAGTTTGCGACAAATGGATGATCTTCGTAGAGATGTTGCTAGCGTCAGACAAGAAAGCAATGATACTATTACCCAAATTCGTGAAACAATCACTTCCCTGGTGGCCAAGGCTAAACTTTTGCAATCAACTGACACTCTGCCACCTGCAGGGGATTCTTCAAGAGCCTTTATGGAGCGCTGCTTCAAGAAGCTAACCAGTGACTCTGATAAACTTTTGACAGATGTCGATGATTTGCAAGATATTATTGAAGATCTTCGGAAAGATGTTGCCCAGCGTGGTGTTCGCCCACAGCCTAGCCGCTTGGGAAATGTTTCCAAGGACATGGCCACAGCCAAGGCTAGTTTGGATACATTCAGCAAGTATATTCTTTCAGAAAAGGCTGGCTGGAAGAAGATTTGGGAGCGTGAGCTTGACAAGATTTGTGAAGAGCAACAGATTCTCAAGTTCCATGAAGAAATTCTGCTTGACTTGACGGACGATTTATCCAAGGCCGAGGAGACGTTTAATCTTGTTCAACAGTGCTCTACTGAAGCAATCAAAAACAGTTCTTTCCGACAGGTATACTTGCCACCTCCAATTGAAGGCCAGAGTGTTGTACATGCCAAGGACGCAGTTCTCAGTGAAGTTGTTGCATTGCAACCTAACCACGAGCGTCGGTTGGAGGCTATTGAACGGGCCGAAAAAATGCGCAAGCGAGAGCTTCAGAGCCGCGGCATTGTTCCAGATGTGGTCATCAAGGAGGTTGAAGAGATGCCTGAGGAGTTTAAAACCAAAAAGAAGCCTACGGACGATGGTACTACCAAAAAGAAGAAAAAGAAGGGGACCGATGATGAAAAGAAGAAGAAGAAAAAGAAGACTAAAAAGAAAACAAAGGAAGATGGAGAAGAAGGAGAAGGAGAAGGAGCAGGAGCAGGTCTTAAGGAGGAAGCCGAAGAAGAAGGTTCCGAATCTGATGACGATGAAGAGCCCAAGAAGGAAGGTGTACCGGTACCACCAGCCACCCCCCCTCCTCAAGGTATTGTGCATGCTTCCAGCATTGCTCCTCCCGTTCTTGACACTGAGGAAACTTATACCTCATCTCCTGTAATTGTGGAAAATTCCGATTCTCTTGTTACAACAACAGGCTCCCCAATATCATCACCAGCTCGCCAAAAGGTCAAGTCACTTTTGATTGACAGTTCTGAAAGCCTTTCCAATGTGGAAAATACAAAAACCTCGCCTGATTCTCGATTCAGCAATGGTTCAAGCGATGCAACTGCTCAAATCCAAGGCTCACAGTTGATGTCACCCGCTTCTGACGCGTCCAGCACATCCTCAAACACGTATTTCCATGCCAGTGGTGATGGAACATCGTCTCCTACAGAAATAAGCAGTGAGAACGGACATACCCGAACCCAGAATGTGGGGGATCTGGGTGGAGGCGAGCTGGCAACTTTCCACTCTGCTACTTCTTCTCCACATGAAAGTATAGTGATGCCATTATCGCCGTCCCAGAGCAACTCGCCTGAGCAGGTCATAAGTTCTGTGCCCAAGCACCAACCGTCCATTACCGGTATCATTGAAGGCGAGGCTGATCCTATGACGCCGACTCTTTCAACGACAGAAATCGTGCCGCCAGGAAATGGTCAGAATCCCTTTGCGTATTAAAATTCTTTGTTAGTTTTTTTTTTTTGTTTTATATTTATTGTTTTGACTGTTTTAAAAATATTTATTTTTGTTTGATTATATTTAATCCTGGGCAATACCCGTGGAAATACTTTTTTTTCTCTTTTTTTTTTTTATTTTTTTTCCTCGAAATATTTTTTTTACCACCAATTAACCCCCTAATAAGACCCGTGACATCATGGCCCGAAACATGTTTCGGCACCTGCGAGGGAAATTTCCTCGGCGCATGCCCCGCAAATATATCCGGATATGGAACAAAATCGCACCATATTTCTTACCCTATGGTCATTCCTCTATCCAGCTTCGGCGGGCGTTCAAGGCTGCACTGACTACTTCCATATGCTTCTCATTCTCTTGCATCACAAAAGTCAACACACACATGGGTGGCTTTCACTTTTACTGTGCGATGCTTTCGGTCCCCATGAATCCAGGCCGCCGGCTCGGTAGTATGGTTCAAACCGTCATTCTCGGGCTTAGTGCAGTCGCCTGTGCCATGGGCTACGGCCTGCTCACCCATTTTTGCGCGCAGCGTGCTCTGGCTAATACAGGGTCAGAGCAGCGAGCGTACGATGTTATTATTGGTTTTGAAATTGTGCTATTTGCGATAGTTGGATATATCAAGAGCTCAGCTCCTCGTCTATTCACTTTTAATTTTGTTTTTTTCATGCTCACGTTTTTTATGTCCTTTGATAAGCTTGATAGACCAATCCATGCCATGGCTTTTGATTACTCGATACCCACTCTTATGGTCATTGCAGTTTCTTTTTTAGTAAACCTTGTTATATTCCCTGAATTTGGATCAACCTTTATTGGTTCTGCTGTTTACGATAATGTACACGAACTTGAGGTACTGTTTAGCAAAGCTACCTTTTTTTTCACTGGCCTAGAAAGTATATCTCAAAATAAGCATGTCATAACAGAAGTGCCATCCGATCTTCAAACTGCCGCCAAAAATTTACAAGTGCTGGTAAAACAAAAGAAAAAATTGCGTGCTTGTGTTACCCGCTGTGCAGCCACATTATTGGAAGCATCCTACGAATTCTCATACTCATATATGGACCCCGTTGAGCTTCGGCCTACAGTCAATGTTCTTCAACGCATCAGCACTACTACCAGTGCCTTGCTTATGTCTTGTGAACTTTCTCTCAGTATTTTTTCCGGAATAAATGATCAGCAAGAATCAGCAAGCACACCAATAAGTGCCAGTCCCTCTCTTTCAAGCAGAGACTTGCTGGCTACCTTTATCACCACTATTCGCAACCCAGTAGAGAATTTGGCCCAGCTTGCATTGGATTCTCTCAACTATTCAAAGTGTATTCTGGCGCACGTTGCAGATGTCGATTTGGATGCCCACAAGGACTCTAATCTATTTTCAACAACTACCGACAGCCGATTTGCTCCTCTCGACCGTAACCACAGAGCAAGCATGTACGAGCTATCTACAGACCGAATTGATGTGTTGTCAGGTGACCTCGAAGCAGCCAACGAGGTATTCGGTACTTTGGTCCGTGCAGAGCTTGCAAAAATCTCCAACAAAGATTTGGATTTAATTTATCTCATTCCTCAGGAAGAATATTTTGTATTGTCACTGTTTATTCTTAACTTTAAAGAAGCCTCCGTCATGGTGGCGGAGATTCTAGCTAATGCTCGCCATCTGCTTGTTCTCCGTCAACAGCGCGAAGCTTTGCCCTGGTGGAAAGGCCGTCGCGTATGGTTCTCCTTTTTTAACATTATTTCTAACTGGGCTCAGTACTTGAGTTTGGGTTCTGATGCGCCTCCAGAAGGTGACGAAGCAACTATTATTACCACCTTACAACGTGGTGTTCGCCTTTTGAGACACAAGAAATCAAAAGCGTCTCGTGTCAGGCACAGCCACCGCGACAGTCCTAGCAATATTATGTTTCATTCACAAATATACATGATGTTCCATACATTGGTTGTCATTTTCTGCGACACACTACTTGAAATTCAAGACTGGGCGCGCGAGCGTCGCGTGCATATCCACAATGCAATTCGTCTTGCCCTTGCCGTTATGGTAGTTTCATTCCCTGCTTATGTGGTCTCCATGGCCAACTGGTTCCATGATATCAAGGGTCATTGGGTTGGTTTTGCTACTTTTGTTGCTCTCGAGCCCAATGTCGGCGCGACTTTCCTAGTTGGGTTGATCCGAGCCGCTACAGTTACAATTGGTTCTGGGTGGGGGTACGCACTGTATGCGGCTGGAGATTTTGGTCGCGAGCGCTATCTCATGGTTGCAATGACATTTATTGGCACACTTCCCTTTTTTTACTTTTTACTTTTTTCTTCTTATGGCCGCGCAGGTATCATTGGTATCATTTCGCTCGTTGTTGTACCTCTATCGACTCTTAGTGCTGGCACTGATGCTTCAATTCTTCAAAACTTTGCAAAACGTTGTCTTTCAATTTTGATTGGTGGTGCAGTGGCTACTCTTGCAAATATTGTGATATACCCACAAAAGGCCCGTGTGCAACTTGTTGGACAACTCATTTTTGCTCTCAAGTGTTGCCAGCAGATTCAAATTCAGCTGGCCATTGGGATTGATGGGAAGCGCCCAGTTTCTCAGGAGAAAATGCATAGTGTCCAAGTGTTTGATGAAAATATGAAGAAGGCCAACAATGCCTTGACAGCTGCCGAAACCTTGGTTGCGGTAGCCAAAAAGGAAATCAGAGTTAAAGGGTCATTTAAAATTGAAGCTAGAATTTATACTGAAATAATTTTTGTCTTACACCAAATCTTGGACCAGTATAGTAATATTCGGTTTTTGCGAGAACACTACGGGCTCGTTCAAATTGATGAATGGGGGAGTGTAAGTATGAGATTCTCTTCTGAAAAAAAAAAAAAAAAAAATTTTTTTCTTGACTTTCTTACTAACAAAGTATAGACTAGTGTTGTACATTATAGAAAAGAAGTGTTTTCGACAATTATTGCACTTTTACGAACTACAGAAGAAGTACTGTTTTCCAAAAATCCTGTTCCTCAATATATACCCTCTGCAAGAATTTCTCATACCCGTGTTGTAAATGCTGTGCGAGCTCGTTTATTACAAACCTATGCAAAGGGTCTTGGACAAACAGAATCACACATTGAAGAGGAAAAGGCTAACGAAAAGTTTGTTAATATTGATACCTCCAAATTAAGGAAACGAAGATCTTCCATTAAAAATCAAGTTGATGAGTTGCTTAGTGAGCAACACCAAATGCTTCGCACGAAGTACATGTCTTGGAGCGCGTGCAGTGTTGCTCTTGAAGAAGTGATTGTTTACGTTGAAGAGTTGGTACATTTGGCCAAGTTTTTGGTTGGTGTTCAGGAATCTGGGCTCAAGAGAAAGGCGTTGGCATATGATGATTGGGCCAATCAAGTTCGTCAAGACTTTAATGAAAAAATGAACAAAACTTCTAAAGGGCCTCCTCCACCTTCCCCTCCTAAACCTCCATCGTCTGGAAATGATACAATTGAATTTCCTCATCACCATACGCTTCCGGAAAAGCTAAGGGGCCTTGAGCTTGTTCCAATGGCGACTCAAAATTTGGAGAATCTTTATACCCGTCGGCAAAAAAAGAGAGGGAGAAAGATTACTAGCGATATTGATGGTGATTCCTTACCATCAACACAAAACTCTGGTGAAGCTGGGCTTCGACTATCAGACCTTAATCATGTCCATCATAATGCCCCTTTTGTCAGTTTCCAAAATCTTTCTCAAGCTTTGAGTTCTCCCACATCTTCAAATGTCGTACCAATGTCTGCTTCCGAGATTGAAAATACAACTTGGTATCGACAACTTACAGAAGGATTTTCATCGGATGACATTCGAACAGATACGGAAACAGATAGAGACATGACTCAAGACGAGTCTATTCAAGACGAGCATATACAAAATGCATCTACGCAAGTTGTTGAACCTACACAGAATGAAGAAGTTCAACCTGAGACATATCGTGGACGAAGTCAATCGATTGCTGCGCAAATGAGAATGCGCGCTGATGAAAACTCAGACAGCGACAGCTCACAGGAAAGAGGTCAACTTGATGTTGATGATGATTTCCCAGTTGCACTCCAGGTTGTCACAACCCGAATACGCTAATTGATTGATGATGATTTATGATTGATGATTTATGATTTATGATTGAAATGTATAGAAGTTAATAATTAATAAACATTTTATTTTTCTGGTTTTTGGGCACCTGGATCTTGTGGTTTCCATTCAAGCCCCTTGGCCTTGTGCTCTGCATAGATTTCATCCCACTTGTTCATTTTTTCCTTTTCATGCTCAGCTTGTTTCTTCAAGCCCTCGGTCCCCCATGCACACCATCCAAGAACTTGTGGGAATGCTGGATAGGCGTTCCAATCTAGCACCGAGGGATCTGGTAAAATAGCCGAGGAGCGTTCAGAAGTTGCTCGGTAATAGACGTACCCCCAGACTGGTAACGCGCCGCCAAGAATCCTCCAAACCTCGCTACGGGCATGATTATCTTTGAACTTTCTTGCATTATACGATTGCATTGCTGCTGCTGATGCCACATACCCAGGAATACCAGTGACAAGCCCAGCGGCCAGAGAATAAGCCATCTTATACTTGAGCCGCAAGAGTTGGTTTGCTACAAGTGGAGCCGCCATGCCGCCGGCAATGCCGAGAGCAGCACCCAGAAACTCGCCCTGAGCCTGCCGCAGGAACGCCGTCGCAAGAATTTTGCGGTCGTCGGTGGTCAACTGCGAGTCAATTTCATGGAACTCGCGCGCGCCCTCGGCTGCTGTCCGCATGTGAACGTAGTGTAGGGCTTGTGATGGGCTAGTTTCCTGTGTTGGTTTTAATTTAGTGGATGCTAGTACATCAGGTCTTGAAAATTCAAATCGATCAATGTGTTCTTCAAGCAACTCTTCGTTACGTAAATGGTTATCTTCTGCTGTCATATTGGAGTCAATTGGATTGCTGTTGTTTGCTAACTGTTTAAAATTTGAGAGATTTTTTTTCTTTGTTTTTTTAAAAAAAAGAAAGAAAAAGAAAAAGAAAACCTGCAAAGACCGAAAAAAATGGTGGTTAATAAAGGTCTTTTTATACTTTTGAACAAAAGAACAGAACGATTTTCTTGAGTGGTTATATATATATATATATATATATAAAGAAATACAAAATGTTGAAAGTTTCCGGGACATGTGTTTGTTTCTAGACCTTTCCGGTCGCCTCCTCCATCGTTAGTGTATCTTCTTTGGTACCCCGCCATAAAGCCATCAAAATATCGCAGAATTAGTGTCTAAGCTAAATTCAAATAAAAAAAATAAAAGTAAATTTTATATAAAAAAAAAAAAAAACAAATGAAAATTAAAAAATAAATCTTGTAAATTTAATTGTTTGTTTTTATTCAAAAGTTATGATATAAAATGAATATATAATATCAAGATCAATTGGATCATTTTGATTGCCTAACTTATAGTGACTTGCTGTTTATTAGATGTACCTTTTCAGTAGAGGTTGTTACCATCTGTACACTTTATAAAGCCTGTATAATATTCCAAATACCAAATTATTAACAGCTAAATACTATTATCATAATTTTTAAATCTATCTGGGTAATAGAAGCCCAAAATTCATGTTTTTTAAGCTACCTTTTACAAAATATTTTTATTCTGATGGTCGTATAACATAACTTTTCAACAATAAGTCAGCGGATTTAGCTCAGTTGGGAGAGCGTCAGACTGAAGTTAAAACATCAGTCTAAGTAATCTGAAGGTCCTGTGTTCGATCCACAGAATTCGCATATATTTTTAAACTTTTTTTTAAAAAGTTATTTAGAAATAACTTGTCCTTTTTTTTTTTATAAATGAAAATATTTTTTGAAATATATAATTGTTTTTTTATATTTTTAAAAATCCAATAAATTTGTTATCAAGTCTTTTTGTTTCAAAATATATCATTTTTGGATGTGGAAAAGTGAAGAGTTGTTTACTAACTTACCCTTGTTTTTTTTTTATATAACTAAGTGTATTTATCTATACTGTAGTCAATTTAAACAATACACTATTATTACTTTCCTATATTCTTCAAGCCAAGCTTCATAAAAAGTTTGACCTAAAATCAGAAATATTATCGTTTATTGATCAAAACCAAAGCATTATCATTATTGTAATATATTCAAGTTATTTTGAAGTCAGTTTTAAAATGAGCTCTCTTTCCATGTAGTCTTTATTTCATAACGCTATCTTTATAAATTTCCCAGTAATTATTCCATATATATATTAATTTGTAGTATAATGTTAACATCATGATGTTTTAGATTAATGTACTTTAAAATATTCCGAATGAAATTTCCTTCCAAACTAGACAAATATATATTTAATGTTAAGGTATCCTTTTTTTTTTTGGGAGGGGGTTATGCGATATGATAATTGCTTTTTTTTTGTTTCCAATAATTGTGTTAGGCTTGCTATCATATAAATAGCACATTGGGAATAACTAGGGATCGACAGTCATTTAAGTTCTTGTGATGAGTGCTTTTTTTTTTTTTTTTGTATGCTTTTAAGATAAAAAGAACGGGTTTTCTCCAAGCTGAGTAGTTATCTTAAGTAAACCGCAAGGGTTAGGGGAGAATTGGAAATATACAAAATGGCTTTGAATGGAGGATAGAAGGGGGGGATTGTGTGAAAAAAGTGAGTTGGTGGGTAGGTGGGTTGGTGGAGATATGAATAAATGTGTTTAAGGTAAGTTTGGAAGAAGGTTTACATACCAAAGATTACCAAATATAGAAGCAACTTAATAAGATAAAGTGGTCAAATCAATTATGGTAGAAATAAGCCTGGTATCAAATAAAATAAAAATGGATAAAATAGAGGGTTCTTTTTTTTTTCTTTTTTTCTTTTGGTTAAGAATTGTATGCATGAATTAAGGAATAAATAGTAAGAAAAAAAAATTCAAGGATTAATAATGGTAAAGTTAAGGTATCTTTATTCCGGTGGTAATTAGAAATGTAGAAATTATATGGATATTAGAGATTGTTAAAAATCCTAAAAAATAAATTTAAAATAAATTAAAATTAAAATAAATAAATAAATAAATAAATAAATAAATAAATAAAAAGGTAGCTTTAAAATATGGATGTTGGTGATTTTAATTTAAACAAATTTATCTTGATTTCTATCATATGATTACTAATGATTTGAGGGTTAGGGTGGATTAATAAAGAGTTTTGTGAGTGTTAATTTTTTTTATTTTTTTTATATTTTTTTTATCAAGATAACACATGTGCGGCTAGTAAGATGGAGGGGGGTGGGGACTAAAAGAGAGGAAAGTTGAATGGATGCCCACAAAATGAGGAAAATAAAAGTTTAAAAAATAACAAAAAAAAAAAAAATATTGTTTATTTTTTTTTTTTTTTTGGAAAAAGTGGAGAAGATTGGAGAAATAAATAATTATTCATTTCAGAATAAGAAAAACAAGAAAAAAAATAATGATTCTTTTAATTATGGTTGTATTATGTTCTAATTGAATGTGAAAATATGTTTCTCTTATCTTTAAAGAGAAATAAATGAAAATGATATATTTATTAATATCATGAGACTTACTAGTAGTTCCTCATAAACAAAATCTTTAAAATTTTTTTTTTTTAAATAAAAAAAATAAAAAAAAATTTTTGACTTTGTAAATTAGAGTGGAGGAAGATATACAAAAAAAAAAAAATAAAAAATAAAAAAAACACTCAAAAATGAAGTGGAGAAAAAGTGGGGGAGAAATATTTTTTATTTTATTATTTTAAAAAAAAAAAATAAAATAAAAAATGACCCAAAGTTTATATGAAAAAAAAAAAAAAAAAAAAAAAAAAAAAAAAATAAAAAGGTGGAGAAAAAAAAAAAAAAAAGGTATTAAATTTTCATTTGTGGTTTGTTTGTTGTTGTTGTTCATCTGATGAAAAAAAAAAAAAAAGAATAAAACAAAAAAAAACCCCGTAGTAAAAGTCGGCAGATTAGTTTAGTCAAATTCATGAAAAATGTTTAAATACTTGAAATCACGTTTCATTTAATTTTTTTTTTTAATGATCATTGATTAATTAATAAATTTGTACTAGTTTTTTTAAATCAAGTTATTTTCCTTGGATGATTGAAAAAAAAAAAAAATAAATAAAAAATATGTCCTTAAATAGGAAACTTTCTAGCCGTACAAGTTTCCCCATACTTTTTTTTTTTTCCTTTTTAATATAATCGTTATTTTTTTTTTTTTTTCCTTTATTCATTTATTTAAAAAAAAAAAATTAAAAAAATAGGACCGTTGCTTGTAAAAATTCTTATTTTAATAACAGAATTAAATTTGAAAAGTCAGTTTAAATTTCAATATACTGAATACATTTAAATAATAATAATAATAATAATAATAATAGAAAACAGTTTATCATTGACCAATAGATAAAAAAAACAATCAAGTTCTGCAAGAAGACCAAACAGAATTTAAAAAAGTTGCTGTTTGATTCAAAAAATATATATATATACTTAAAGGTTTATTTTCTAAGATTATTGTCATGGTAGAAAAGCAGTAAACTACGTAGCGATAGAGACCTAAACGTGCGGCCATATCGCGCTATCATGATAGTGAGAGAAAAAGAAAAAAAAAAAAAAAAACAATTAAATCTTCTTGCTCTGAGATTAAATTCTGTCCCTCTCACGGCGAGAGCAATAAATAAAAAAAAAAAGAATATTATTATAATATCTTTGACATATATATAATTATATATATCTAACAAATAAATGATGTACCAACAAGTATATATTTTGAAGAAATATCCTGATACTAATTTCCTAGTGTTTGCAACAATAAATAAAAAAAAAAAAAAAAAATTTTTATTTTGGCTGCAAGTTGCTCTGAGATGAATAAAATAAAAAAAAAAAAATTTTCCCCTCAAAAATTTAAAAAAAAAATTTAAAAAAAAAATTTAAAAAAAAAAAAAAAAAAATTTTTTTTAATTTTTAATTTTTAATTTTTTTTTTTTTTTTTTTCCTCGAGAAAAATCAACGTGCGGCTGCTAGTAGATACTCAAAATAAAAAAAAAAAAAAAAGACTTGAATCGGAGCAAAGTACCAAAAGAAGAAGACAAACACCACTCCAATTAAAAAAAAAAATAAAATAAAATAAAATAAAAACCAATTTGAAAAAGAATGTTGCGTGAAAAAAAAAAAAAAAAAAGCTTTACTTACACACTTTTTTTTATTTTTATTTTATTTTATTTCTATTTTTTTTTATTTTTACTTTTTTTATTTTTGGTTTGTATGCATGTCCTTGTTCCTGGAATACACACGTCATGATTGTCAACAAAGAATGCTATCGATTGGATAGATAAAAATTAATTTATTTTTTTATTTATTTTATTTATTTTTTTGATTTTCATGTGATTTAATTTATTTTTATTTTTATTTTTTTTTCACCATTAAAGTCTCTCCATTTATATTTTTTTTTTTTTTAGGAAAACTAAAAAAATTTTAATTTCTTTTTCTTTTTTTTTTTCAATTGACTCGGAGAAACTGTTTCAATCTTTGAAAAATTGTTTGCTTCGCTTGAAGAAGATTTTTTCAAAAAATAAAACAAAATAAAAAGGACTTGACTTAATTTTGAATGGGTCTTTTCTTATATTGTATATTCTAAAACTTTTCATAGAAAAAAAAAATATACCATTAATGGATTTAATACAATGCCCCCCTTCATATTGACAGAGTTTATAAATCATGTTTTTTTGGCTGTCCACCAAACTGATGTTAAAAACAAAGACACGTGTGCAATAACGGATCTTCGCTTCGAATAACTTTCTCTCATATCTTTATGGACAATTATAATTACAAAGTAATCACATAGGTTTCATCATTGTTAATTACAAATAATAGGAAATGTAGAAACTCTTTATTCTTTTTGTTATTGTTATTATTTTTTTCAAGAAATTGTAACCAAGATATGGTCAGATTCCATAGAAACGTTATCTTGATGGCAGTGATATCATCGGAGAAGATATCATCATATATATATGTTGTCTGTCTGCCGGTTGTCCTATGGAGCAATGGATGGTTTTCCTACAAGAAAAAAAAAAAAAAAGAAAAAGGTGATGGATGGCATGATGCTTAAAGTAAGCCGCAATTCAATACGTGGTATTTTAAAAAAAAAAAAAAAAAAAAAAAACACATAGTTGTAATAATATGGTGGGAGGGATGAAAGACTTAAGGACAGAGGGGAAGGGATAGCATGAGGAACTGGAATGAGAAGAAGAGGATGTAGTGCAATGCCAATTACAATAACAATGACAATGACAATAACAATAACAATAACAATAACAATAACAATAACAATAACAATAACAATAACAATAACAATAACAATAACAATAACAATAACAATAACAATAACAATAACAAAAACAATGATAATATTGCTTACATGCCACGGTGACAAACACGGAGGATTCTTTTATTGAAAGTGTCATCCATATATTGCCAGTTTTAGTAGTATTGATTTAAAGTTATTATCTAGTAATATCAATATCTACAGATTAAAAGGTACTTTTTTTTTTTTTTTTTTCTAATTTCCTTAAAAAGATGGGCCCATAAGATTAATTATTATATAATGCATCACACTTGGTTAATAATTAGCCTGGTTATGTTGATCATCATGATGATAAATAGCAATCGGAGTTCCTAAGGAAAATGGAGTTCCGAGAGTTAAGTCAAGTTTTGTTACGTTACGTTACGTTACGTTGCGTTACGTTATATATATATATATATACAGGGTCATGTTGCCTCGTGATGATGTGATTTCTGGGATGAATAGATATTATTTTTTCAGTCTATCATCCAATCAATAAACAATGGAGTGATTTTTTTATGGAGGTGTAGCAACTTGAAGATGATATATATATATATATATTTGGGTATTTGTGTGTGTGTGTGTGTGTGTGTGTGTGTGTGTGTGTGAGATTCATCCCTTGACAAAGTCATTCCACTTGAGCCAGGACATTTGCGCTTTTTTTTTCGTTTTTAAAAAGATTTAGTGATTGTAGTTTTGATTTAAATGGGGTGACTCAAGAGATGGTTGCTACAATTTCTAAGGTTGCTTTTGAAGATCAGATTTTTTTTTATTTTATTCTATTTAGTTCAAACATTCAAACATTCAAACATTCAAACATTCAAACATTAATTATTATTATAGGATTTCTATGGATCGAATTCAATATTGTATATATAGTTTTAAACTCATAAATTCATAAACTCATGAAAAAAAAAAAAAATATATAAATAAAAAAGACGAGGAATAAGATTATTCATCATTACTAATATGTATATATTAGGTAAGAATAATAGATGGAGAAATGGAGCGGGGGGGAAGTAGAAGAAAAAATAAATAAAATAAAAAAATAAATAAAATAATAAAGTGATGAGTCAGCTGAATAATATTAGTCAGATTTAAATATATATATATATATATATATATATATATATATATATGAACCAGTCATTTAAATACCACAAAATTAAAAACATTTAAGAAAGGGGGGTTATTTTTTTTTTTTTTTTTCGAGAAGACCAAATTTAGAGTTGTTAGAACTGCTTATCAGTGTACGGCTGAATTAATTTTTTTTTTTTTTTTTTTTTAAAGCTGGTCATCCACTTTATTTTCTTTTTGGTGTCTTTAAACAAAGTTTCTACCTGAAATTTTAAACCTCCGCTTTTTGTACACTTGTAGCAGCTACCTCGGGATGATCGACGGAAGTGCCGATTTTCTTTTAGTGTAAGATTTTTTTTTTTATTTATTTATTATTATTTATTTATTATTATTTATTTATTCATTTCACTCTATTAAAACTTTTTCTTCCACGTCAGATTTTGTTTATTTGTTATATAAAAGAAATTAAAGGAAAACAAACACAATACAGAGAGTAATCTGGAGAGAGAGAGAGAGAAAGAGAGAAATAGATCCGGGGTAAAACGGGGATCCCGTTAAAGTTGTCTTATTTTTTTTCTTGTTGTTGCTGCTGTTGTTTTTGTTATTGTTGTTAAAGAAAGTCTTTTTATTTGTTTGTTTTAAAATTTTTTTATTTTTTTTTTAAAAAAAAAAAAAATGGCATGTCCAAAGAGATTATTCAGTCTTTGAAAAATTTAATTTTAATTTTTTTTTTTTTTTTTTTTTGTCGGAGTCCTACTTTGTGGGCTATTTTGCATGATGATGATGATGATGAAATTTTTCCCAACTCTACTGTACTACTCAAAACCAAAAAAAAAAAAAAAAATAATATAATATATAAGTATTTTTTTTTTTGACAACCAAGAGATGGACAACTGTGGTCCACTTTAAAAAAAAAAAAAAGAGCTCCGATATTGATTATTTATTATATTTTTTTTTTTGAATCATTAAAATAACAAAAAAAAAACTTTGGTTTATTTCGTATACTTCGTCTGTCTCGAGGTGACTTTGCTAAGATTTATTTATTTATTTATTTTTTTTTGGTTTTCAAGATTGATTGAATTACATAACTTTAAGTCTTGTTAATTTTCAAATCTATTCTCAAAATTGTTTTTTTTTATTTTTTATTTTTTTTTTAACTTGTCTCATATGAAAAAAAAACTTTTTTTTTTATATTCTTTGCAAATTCCTTAATTCAAAAAAATTTTTTTTTTTTTTCTTTCTTTTTTTTTTTTTTTATTAAAATAATAATAATAATAATAATAATAAAAAAAAAAAAAACATGATGTGAAAAAAAAAAATTTTTTTTTCATTTGAAAATGACGCTTATCAGTTTATAGTGGCCAATGTTTTTTTAACCTGCCGCATCCAAAATAGGGAAAATAACGCCCAGCACCGTTTGGAGTGAAGATTTTTTTTTTTTTTTTTTTTTTTTTTTTTTTTTTTTTTAAAATGATGTATGAGCCGCAGCATTTAATAGCTGAATATAAAATTATTTTATTTAATAATTGGAATTTATTTATTTATTTTTCTTCTTCTTCTTCTTCCTGGCGCACCACTAATTTTTTTTTTTTTTTCCCATTCATATCATCATTTCCTCCTACTTTCTTTTCACATGCCGTAAGAAACACCGAAAGTCCCTCTTCTTGTATTTGAAAAAAAAAAAAAAATCTCCCAATTGAGTTGCTACTCTTTTTACTCTTTGATTTCTATTTAGAAATTTATATAAATACCTCCTCAGTTCTCCTTTTAATTCTTGTTTTTTTTCTTTTCTTCCCTCTTTCTTTCTATTCTATATCAATCAAATCATCTCTACTACTATTCAATCTACAACCAAAAAAAAAAGAAACCTTTTTCAATTCAATTAACAACAACTTTTTTTTCAAAAAAAAAAAAAAAAAACAAATATCAACAACAATGATCGCTGCTCCTATTAGAACTTCTCTTGCCACCTCTGTTCGTGTCGCCGTCCCCATGGCTACTCGTGCCATTTCTACCTCCAGAATCATCTCTACAGCTGCTAACCCTAAGGTTAAGGCCAATGATGTTTCTCACTTTAAGACCTTTAAGGAGTACAGAGTCTTTGCTCAACAATTTGGTCCTCTTGCTAGCCTTGCATGGCAAAACAATATTTCTTCTCAGCCTGCTGCTGCTGCTGTTGCTGCTGCCGCTGCTGCAGCCTCTTCACAAGTCGCTGAGGCCCTTGAGAGCAGTATTCTGTTTAACGAGTCTGAGTCTGAAACCATTATTCTTGGTGGTGCCTCTGATTAAAAGAAATGAATCTTTGGTTTTCTTTTGACCTTTTTTTTTTCTTTTTTTTCTCTTGTGACGACTTATGACTTTTTAACAATTTTTTTTTTTTGCATCTCTTTTTGGTCTCATTTTAAATCTGGTATTTAGTGTTGACTTGGCTTTACTCTTTTTTTTTTTTTTTTTTAATATTCTGCATGTTTTTTTATATTTTGGTTTTTTAACGTATTAGTTTTTTTTTAATAAAAAGTTTTTAAAATAAATTCGAATTTCTCTCTTGAAATATATATTTAAACTATTAAGGGTAAAAACAAACGATTCTTTTAATGCTTGTTTTTTTTTTTTTTTTTTTTTTTTTTTACCTTGTTTAATGCTCAGGGCCCTCTCTACCTAGTTGAAGACTAAAATCCCGAGTAGTTAAGGTTGTTTTTTTATGCTTTAAAATTACAATTACAAATACAAATACCCGAGTTTAATAGTTATCTTAAACTTACACGGAGATTTACTTTTTAATTTCTGCGTATTTATCAGCACGTCAGCTTCATCTCATCTATAGATGAAATCTCAACACCCCTCTCATCGGCACGGCTTCAAAATAGCGCCGAAGAGCTGTGCAATAACAAAAACAACAACAAAATTTGGTCTTCAAAACACTTTTTTTTTTTTTTCTTTCTTTCTTTCTTTCTTTCTTCTTATCCATAACCATACAAGTCCAACCCATGGATGGCATGACTGGTCTTAATGGACACCATAGAAACCATGGCATCAATAAACAATCCCTTTGCCCCCCTCACTCCCTTCCTCCTCATCATTATTATCCTCTCCACTTCTTTTTTGAGATCGGACCACCTGGCGCTTTTATTACTAATTAATAAATTACCTTCCACCACCATCCCACCCCCCCCCCCCGCTTAGTCGGTATTATTTAAGCGCCGTGGTAAAGATTCAATAATAACCGCGGTTAAGCGATAATCAAATATCTATCTATATACCCGCCCGATGGGCTGCTGTTCCAAACACCGAGAATAACCGCCGACTACTTACCGAAGACTTAATACCACACTTTTCAGTCTTATTTTTTTTTTATTTTTTTTTATTTTTTAAAATCGCAGTATTTACTAAAATATTTCTTTCTTTTCTTGGACTCATTTTAATTACTTATACTCAAAAGATTCATTTACTCATCAACGCTCGGTTGTCATTTTGCGCGATATCTAACAAAGAAGACAGCTGGCTGCTTTGCTGATAAGATTTACCCGGGAAGACATATATATAAAGTTTTTTTTTATTTTTTTTTCATATAAAAAGAACATACAATTAAACTAGTATCAAGCTTACTACCATTTGATGTATATATGTATATGCGTGTATGTGTGTGTTGCAAAAAAAAAAAAAGACTCAATATTGTCATTGATTTAACATGTATATTTGTCATAATATCCTGAAATAATGATGTACTCATGCAACAGCTTTTTTTAATACCCGAATCTTAAATAGAGTGTTACTGCTGACAAACAGTATTTCGATATCAATGCTAATCGGCACACAAATACCCTGATAGCGAATTTTTTTTTTTTTGGGCTAAATAAAAATGAAATAACAAGGGGCAGCTCTCCAATTTGTATTTGTTGCATAGTGGATACCATCACTATCAGGAAAAAGATTCTTGTTGACAAGTATTTATTTGCATTGCATTGGTGTGTGTAATTAATACTCAGGATTCATGCTGGAAAAAAAAATCTACAACAGAAATTTCTTGTAATGCTTGCAAAAGATGAGTGAAAATAAAAGCTGAATTCAAAAAAAAAAAAAAAAAAACATATATTTTGTTTTTTTTTTTTATAATGTACAATTGAAATCAAAGTTAACAAAAAAAATGGCATGTTTCTTTTCATGATAATCATTGGTTTGGATAACCATTTATTTATCTTGACAATTGAGTTTGTCTATTTAAAGTCATTACAATTGAGCAAGCAATGTCCTACCTTTTAACATAGACTTTCCGCAACTTTTTTTTTTTTTTTTTTTTTTTTTTTTCAACGGCTAGCGGGATTATCGTTATAGCGAAAAAAAAAACATGTTTCAGTTTAAGAACTTAAGTTGATGCTAAAGTGATGCGAGTTATTTCATGTGTCAAAATGATTTAATGAATATGATGATATCTTACTTAATTTGTCCTATTTTTTTATTTTATTTTATTTTTTATATTTATATTTATAAATATAAACTAAAAGCTTGGACATTTGAATTTTTTTTTTTAAAACATAAAGTTATATGTGAATTGGTTCAGAGTCTTAAACTTTTTATTTTTTAAAATTGGGAGAAAGAAACAAAAATAAAAAATTGAGAGGAAAAGAGATTTGAAATTTTATTTTACTAAAAGATAAGCTTTGACTGGTTTGATATTTTTGAATTGAGACAAAAAACAAATCATATAAACAGAACTCAGCAGATAACTAGCAGAAGAAGTAGTTTTGGATAACATAAGATTAGTTTCATGCAGAAATCATATGCTTTTTTTTTTTTTTTATTTATTTATTTATTAACATTTTCGAAAAATAATGTCCTGAGATGGCCAAGACTCATAAAGGTGGAGAGAATATATCAGGATGCAATTGAGTTATCAATATTAGAAGGTATAAAGAAGTATATTATCAATGAAACAAAAGTTTTTTTTTTAAAAAAAAAACAAAACTTGGAAAGCAAAGTAAACATTTACAAAAAAAAAAAAAAAAAAAATGAAATTATAGCAAACAAGATAATCATCAAAAAATGAACTGATACCTCAAACTATAACAAATGTTTGAAAAAATAAATAAATTTAATGCAAAAAAAAACAAAAAAAACAAAATAGTTGAAAAGTGTTTTTTTTTTATATTTTGAGATATACGAGATTTTTAAAGCTAATTGACAAAAAGTTAATTTATATATATGTGTGTTTTGTGGCATTAAATTACCCAAATTGGATTGTGATTGTTTCGAGAGACAATATATATACTGATTCTACTTTATTCAAAACTATACCAGAATGAATCTCAATTATTATTCAATTGATTAGATTAAATAATAATAATAAAAAATTCAAATGAAATCAAATGAAATTAAATGAAACTGGGGCTTTTTTTTATTCTTTCTTTTTGTTTAGTATAGATTCTATTCTAAAGCTGGTTCAAAAAAAAAAAAAAATTACAATAATAATATGTTTGTTTACTTGAATGTATCATACGCCAAACATATTGATAACAAGATTGACTGTTATGTTTTATATCTTTATTTATATATCTTACAATTCCTGTTAAATGATATATCTTTATTTATTTTTTTTTTTTTTGAGACTCGAATTCTATCTACCTTAATGAATATACCTACCTAGTTATCATTTTGAAATTATCAAACATGTGGCTGTTACTACCAGTTATAAAAAATTAATAAAAAATTAATAAAAAATAAAATAAAAATAAACGTATTAAGATAAATATCCAAATTAAGAATTTTGTTTATTTTAATTTTATAAAAATACTTTGTTCAACGTATTTAAAAAATCTTTTTGTGGTTTAATGTACATATATATATCATTTCCACTTGACTGATGTATATCATGAAACACACCCTAACCATTATCAACAACACCAAAGTTTGATATAGATCCGTCTTTTTTTTTATTTTCAAGGCAGAAGAAGAAGAAAAAGAAGAAGAAGAAGAAGAAGAAGAAAATTACAAAACAAAAAAGAATGGAAAATTGATTTATAAGTGAATGTATGTAAAAATTACCAGGAATTTATATCTAAAGAGATTGTTTTTTTTTTTACATTTTTAAAAATGATAGCATTTAAAGGTTTAAGTTATAAAATAGGAAAAAAAAAAAAAAAAAAAAGAAATCCTAAAACCAGAAAGAGCAAAGATTTATCTTTAATAGAAATAAATATGAATTTTTTTTTTTTGTTTTTTTTTATTGTAATTAATTTCGAATTTTACTTAACAAAGAAATATAATAAATTGAAAAAAAAAATAAAAAGTAAATTCCAGTCTGTTCAATAGTTTATATGAAAAAATACTAGTTCTTTTTTCTTTTTTTTTGAAAAACTCAATTATGTCAAAGATCTTTTCTTAGGTGATTTGAGCAAGTAATTAAATAAAGCCATTTTGTTTGTTAATTATTCAAAGAAAAATCCCACCTCCCCAAAAAAAAAAGCAAAATGAATCTTGTTTAAAATACCTCCATGATAATATCTTGCATAATTTTTCAACATGTGATTAAATCTCCACACTAGGATATTTTTTCCTGAAAAAAAAAAAATTAAAAAAAAATCAAAACAGGAATAATTATTCCGATTTTAATGAAATACTAGGTCTTATCCAGTGTATATGAAACATTTAAGTGAAGATTTAAATGTTAAAGCAATGTTAAGATTAGATAATGTTGTAGTTTTCTTTGCTGTTTTTTTTTTTTCTATTGCTAAAAAATGAAACAAGAAAAAAAAAAAAACAAAACGAGTTTGGAATTTTACAATTGTCTTTGTCTTTCTTTCAGAAACCGTTATTGCAAATTAAAAAAACAAAAAGTAAAACTTAAACGTATTTTGTTTTTACAATCATTTTAAACACTTTATGTTTTATATATATATATATATATATATAGTCTTTACCATTTTATGTGGAAATGCTTATAGCGTGCTATTTGCTGAATGAGGATGGATGGTTGGCACTAATGATATACTAGAACATTTCTACAGAAAAAAAAAATATGACAATTTTTGTTTGAAAAAAAAATAAATAAAAAAAAAGAGATTAAGGAGTATCTAGAATTTTAAGATTTAGAAACTGATTAAGTAGTTGCTTAAACAAAAAAAGAAATAAATAAAGGAAAAAAAAAATGAACGAAGAGTGATAATTTTTTTTTCTTTTTTTTTTTTTAAAAAAAAATATATATATGGGCAACCAGCATACAAAAGAAAAAAAAAGGTAAATATAACTTGCTATGACTTAGTTAACTAATTATTTATATAACTAGCGATGATTAA